AAAAAAAAGATAATTTTACTGGGAATGATGTGAATATCTTGTCTTCATCATTAATGGGCCTAGATTTTTAACATGTTTTCTTCCTATTTGTTGAGGCATTGGTGAATCTGACTACCTTTATTTATGGGGAATATATATATATATATTTTTTCAGATTTGTTCATTACCATGTAGATAGGCAACAGTATGCTCCATATGTCCCCATTGTGTGTTCATCTCTCCATCTATCTATACTCTGATAAATGTAAGCATTTAGTCTGTCAGTCCTTTCCTTCATAACTATTGAATAGATATGGATATCTACATTACTGCTATAGAATAGATAGTGAAACATTGATTTCAGGTTTATTTTGAATTCTGAGACATGGTGAACCTTACATTTTTGAGCCAAAAATAATGCAATCTTAAGTTTTGTTCAGAAAAGTGTCTGGCTCCATTTCCATCACATAAAAAGGGATTCAGGGCATACATGATTTATTTGAATTGTTTAGTCAGTGTGAGAGGTAGACACCTGCCTTCGATTTGTACTTCTAGCTAAATATTTGTATTGGAATAAGCTGGTTAAACACTGATCTTCATATTTCCTTTTTGTCCACAATTTCAACAAAGAACAGAAAAAGTGTCCTCCAAAATTTTGGGTAATTAGTATCTGTACTGCTTTCTATTCAGACAAAATTTTAAAGAATTCTCGTAGATAGCTAGGGTTGACCTAGCTATGCAATCAGTTGGAATAATTAGTGTTTCACATCTCTTTGTGGAGTCTTAAGCTATTAATGTATAGGCTTTGTATTCTAAAGAGATCTCGTGCATTTGTTTTGTTTACTGTGTTTATTTTTTTGTGTATTGATGATGTAATGTAATCCGTGTTTCTCAGTACAGTGAGTTCAAGTTTGTTTAGAGAAGTGACCCCAGGGTTGCATACTGTTTTTGTTGTTTCTCTTGTAATCACACAACAATGAACGGATGATGTCATTAGCATTCACATGTTAAGTACCATGGCATGTGTCAGGGAATCCTGTTTAAAGCTGCACTTACGCTCCATGGAAACAATAGATCTAACCGTAATCTTAATAATTTATATACAATTTTATAACAAGTTCTCTGATTGGTCCCTCATTAGACAAGTAACCAATTATTTGCCTTGTCAGGCATTAGATACCTGCATGCAATGAAAAAGCAAGAGATCTAACTGTTACATTTTTCTATCAGAAGCATGCAGTCTGATTGGTACCTTTTTAGGTCACTGCCACATGGTCTGCTTGGTTCCTGCAGTCTGATTGGTACCTTTTTAGATCACTACCACACGATCTGCTTGGTCCCTTTCTAGGTTATTTGATTGGTTTCTATTTAGATCATTAACATTTTATTGAAAGGATGCTTAATTATTGATCTCACTGAATTCTGTTAATGTAAATATAAGCTTTCTTTATTTAACAACAATTGCGAAGCAAGCTATCATCTTATATTAATCACTCTTGTTGGCACGGATGCAAGCACAAGAGGGGTCATACTGTGGGAGGAAATGGCATGTGGTCGGTTGGGCTGGTGACTGTCATATCTTTTCACGTCTGTTCAGGGAATAGAACCCCAGATGTCTAGGTGAAAAGCGATTATGTTACAACTACGCCACCCAACCACCCTTTACATCACTTTAGTTAAATTGGTACATATGGATAAAGGTAAAGGGCAAGGGGAAAGATGACATTGTAGAGAGTAGATGAAGGGAGAGAACCAATGGTCTTATTACTGAGAAATGATTTGCAGTATGAATAAGTGAAATAAAACCATTAGTTAGGTACAAACAACACTTAATTGCATATTGCTCAAACATGTTAAGTTGTTTCCAATAATGATAGGTTTTAAGAAATAGTTTTGTTGCTCAAAAAATGAAATTGTGTTAAGGTAAATAATGATAGAATGCTTATTATAAAGAGAACAGTACACAGCATCCCAAATGGCATTTGGAAGTTGGCCAGGTAGTCCTACTGTTGCTACGGAGGTAGCACTTATGGTCTGCGAGCATGCATAAAATTCACAACATGTATTCAATCCCCAAACTATTTCTTTATGTCTTCCAAATTTTGCTTGATCCTGCTTACATCATTCCCAGTTTCTTTAATGATTTTTGGAGATTTAGGTCTGTGAATTGGTTAACATGTGTAGTGTAGCATCACAAGAGCCTTTGTAACCAGCATAGGATATCCTTGGAAGTAGACTAAAGTAAGATCACTATCCAGGAGGGAAATGCCATCATGTACAGCTACACACTTTTCATTTTATCACTTTAATCTCTTGGATATTATATATCCCTAATAATTACTTGGTTTTTTGATTGGCTTTGTGCAGACTCTTTCGTGAAAAATGTCTGTATAGGTTTTCATACTTATGACAGATTAAAGAATAAAGAAAATAGAAATAAAGGTAAAACCTCCTTTCCAGATATAAACAAGCTGTCATTGGTGGTGTGTCTGTATAATACACATCAGACCACAAGTATTTGAAATGTCCAAAAGATATTTGTTAGTCATTGTGTACTGTAAAATGTTGACTTTTGATGTGGAAAAATGAAAGATGGAAAAATGTGTGTAAAGGGTTTTGATGAAAATATGATCTTATTGTATTAAATTTCCCAGTGTTCTTTTTCTATCTGAATTTTTCAAAGTACAGAAACCACTGTTTGCTTAACTTCAGAAAATTAAGTAATACACCCATTGAAATTAAGAGGATATTCAGAATTTCTTAGTTTTTTGTTAAAAGTAAGAATTTTTCATTAGTTAAGGGAGACAACTAGTTTTTGACTATGAAACAGGGCAAGGAGAAAATGTTGATTTGAACATTGTACAGGTCTATGTATATTGTGTGATTTTATTTGCTGTAAAGGAATAGCATTCTATCCTGTTGTTATCACAGACTTGTGTCTTAATCTAGAGTAAGTGTTAACACAGCTGTATGTAGGTTATGACCACATCTTGGTATAATGTTGACCATATACACCAACAGATTTACTGACCACTAGTTTGAAGTCATAGGGTTTGAATAATGGTCATTGAAATGTGATAATGGTCAGTGCTTTGTTCAGTTGCCCTGAGTGTATAGACTAGTTTATGTTTACTGCCTGTTAGGGCCCTTCATGTACACTTGTTGGCCTCATGTGAGGATGAAAGTACCTCTTGTACTTCATAACAGATATATTTATAATCACTGAGTTCCAGCAATAGCAGACTGGTTAACTCAACATCATTGTTCCTGAAATCTTTACAAACCTTATCCTTGTATAAAATGGAAATTCTTGTTATGAGGCATTGTATTATCTTGTGTGAGGTACTTCCTTTCTCAGTCTGCCTTATTAACCTGTCATGAGAAACTGCAGTAATGAGTAATTAGTTAATTTTGAGGTCATTAGTCCCTCATGGTAGTTGGAGACCTTCTTTCTTTACCATCTCAAAAATCAACCACTAACCTCAGATTTAAATAAAACATGTTACCTAGCAGATTACAACTGCTAAAGAATACTTTTGTTTGGCTGCTGCACAAGCATTTTGGACAAATTAATATCGGATATGTTGTGACCTGTTTGGAAGGTATAAGATTGAAATGAAGCTAACCAGGTCTGTAAGTTGAATGGAAGTTAAGATTATCAGTCAGATTGGCAGTGGAGGGTAGAATAAACATCAAGTCCCTGTTTATTGGAGTAACCACACAGGGTCAGCTGATTTCCTCAGTGTGGCCCAACATGCAAGATACAGCAACCCATACCAGCCTCATCTATGTCTCCAAACATACAAGATACAGCAACCCATACCAGCCTCATCTATGTCTCCAAACATAAAACGTAGAGAAACCCTACCAGCCTTATCTCTGTCTCCAAACATATAAGGTACAGAAACCCATACCTGCCTCTTCTCTGTCTCAAAACATACAACTTTCTGAAACCCATATCAGCTTCAGCTCTGTCTCCAAACATACAAGGCACAGAAACCCTACCAGCCTCATCTATTTCCCCAAGCATATGACCTTCTGAAACCCATACCAGCCTCTGGTAAGACTGACACATTCTTCAGTGTAATGTTATTGTTGAATTTTCTGTCTTCTGTAATAATCCACATGGAAGTCATGGTTGTAATGTTAAAGTCACTTAATAAGTTACCTAATAACATCATGTTAAAGGACATTAGGACAAATTGGCTCAGTATTGACTCTTAATTAGGAGTACGTGTATGTTTGTTTTGGTACCTTGTATGGTTTGTGGCTCCTATCTAGTGTTTGTTTTGGTACTTTGTATGGTCTGTGACTCCTATCTAGTGTTTGTTTTGGTACCTTGTATGGTCTGTGGCTCCTATCTAGTGTTTGTTTTGGTACCTTGTATGGTCTGTGGCTCCTATCTAGTGTTTGTTTTGGTACCTTGTATGGTCTGTGGCTCCTATCTAGTGTTTGTTTTGGTACCTTGTATGGTCTGTGACTCCTATCTAGTGTTTGTTTTGGTACCTTGTATGGTCTGTGGCTCCTATCTAGTGTTTGTTTTGGTACCTTGTATGGTCTGTGGCTCCTATCTAGTGTTTGTTTTGGTACCTTGTATGGTCTGTGGCTCCTATCTAGTGTTTGTTTTGGTACTTTGTATGGTCTGTGGCTCCTATCTAGTGTTTGTTTTGGTACTTTGTATGGTCTGTGGCTCCTATCTAGTGTTTGTTTTGGTACTTTGTATGGCCTGTGGCTCATATCTAGTGTTTGTTTTGGTACTTTGTATGGTCTGTGGCTCCTATCTAGTGTTTGTTTTGGTACTTTGTATGGTCTGTGGCTCCTATCTAGTGTTTGTTTTGGTACCTTGTATCTTCATCCTGCTACAGGTGTTGGAATAAAATGTCAGTTGGTGCAAAACAACAAAAACATAACTATTCTCTCCATAGGGTACCTGTTCATTAACCTTTTAAAAGCTTCTGAATCTATATCCACTTTCACTCTTTTGTTTTTTTAAATCCAATTTCCTTTTGTTATCTTTACAGAAAAACTTTTAAATTCCCATGGAAGAGAATTACGAAGAGCTCTCTTCTCCCTCAAGCAGATCTTCCAGGTAAAGTGGTTTTCATGGTTCGATAAAAGTAATTGTTTTATGACATTTATGTGTGTTGGTCCTAGTTTAAACGTATGAATGTTTGGATACCAAAACAGGCTGCCCTGTTACATAAAAAGTAACATTTAATCTGATACAGAATTACCTTCATTATTAATTGTATTGACATGGTTTTGTAGATATGAATCAGATTGCTCATGTAAGTTTAAAAATCCCTCACTCAAATTCATGTAACCATGCACAAGAAAAATCTCACTGACTATCAAATCCAGATGTTAAAATGACTTTTTTTTATCTTACTAGGATGACAAAGACCTTGTGCACGAGTTTGTTAACAATGATGGCCTTGACTGTCTCATCAAGGTCGGGTCAGAGGCTGACCAGAATTACCAAAACTACATTTTACGAGGTGAGTTATTTACCTTACAGGAAGTTTAAGATAAAGTCTTCTAGTTGTCTTTCATAATTATTGATTCAACTTTGATTGATTTAATGTAAAATCTTGATTAAGAATTGAAATTGTCAGAGATCAAACATCTGTTTCTAACATCTACTCTTTTTTATAAGCATTATCTTAATAATAGTCTATATCACTGTGTAAATAGACCTCTTAGGTTTAGGAGATTACAGTTTAATACAACAATGCACATTGGAATTCTGAAGGTGATATAGGAGTTTGGAGTTGGAAGCATTTGATATCTGTTGTATTTATAGAATAAGTTTACCAAGGGAGATAACTGTTCTCATTGTTTAATTAGCTGTAAATTAGTACACAAAACTAGTCATTCACAAAATTGTAACTTGACTTGCTTAACTAGTGTATTACACTTTAATCTGCTGGTGTGTTGTAATGGTCAGGGTGTGTGAGTAATTATACATAAACAACTGCTTGTAAAACCCCTTGAGCCCAGTGAGATCAACTTGAAAGGATTAACACCTTGTAGGAGTGTGTCAGTTATACTTAGTAGGTCAGTTGATTTATGTTTGTCACTGTTTACTGGATCAGTCACTAGAAAAAGAGTCTGTTTGGTCCCTTATTGGAGAGAAGGCAAGGCAAGATGAAAAAGCATTGAAAGCATACCAAATGATGAATTTTTTGTCAATTATGTCCATTACTGAGTACATGCCCTTTATCAATGGAATTCCTGACCTAAATTTTAAGTAAATCCTATAAAGTTGATTATGTTTACATGAAGAATTGACTAGTGAGAGTGGTTTCTAATGATAATGTTTGTGATAAAACGTCTAACTTGACTTACTTATACTATATCATACAACTTCACTTAAAAATATGATTAACTGGAAAGAGGGGTGTGGTTTACTAAATAATGACTTATGGCCAAGCATAGGTTATTGGATGTAGTTTGTTTAGTGCAAATGATTTGTGAATTGTCCATCATTTATCTGAAATGAATTGTGTTTCAGCCCTGGGACAAGTGATGTTGTATGTGGATGGAATGAATGGTGTTATCAATCACAATGGCACCATCCAGTGGCTATATAATCTACTGGCATCTAAGGTACTATTGCTCTTTGCCTTGTGTTCGATTCTTATCAACTTACGAAAAACTAACAACGTGGTACTCTACAGCCACAATAAAAAAAACTTGAAAATTCTGAAGCTACATAATATGTGCACTCCCAACTATGGACCTTTAATTTCTCCAAAAAAGCCTTGTGCATATTACATGGATTTTTACAGTAAAATGGGTGTTTAATGGACTTTGATCATTTGGCTCTGACATAAGCGCTCAGAATACAGCAGAAGTGATACTAATAATAGCAATGTATCATGGTTTTATTGTGTTGACTTGACTGTATAAATAGAAACACACAAAAATCCCAGACTTATTTAGTGAAATCTAACAGGAAACTCCAGCTAATTACCCTGTAATGGTATACAGAATTAAATAGATTGACCTGCCCTCTACATTGACCCGGAGTAGCCTCCCTTTTTATTACATTAACCTGTATGAGTAGATAGAATTAAATAGATTGACCTGCCCTCTACATTAATCCAGAGTAGTCCCCCCTTCCTATCACATTAACCTGTACAGGTGCACGCTAATTAGGTCAGCTCTCTGGTTGATGTGGAGTAGCTGGCATCTTCCCAGCGTATTTTATTAAGTGTGCACTCCACACCAGACCACAGGTTCATGATACCTCCAGGCTCCCCTGTCAACCTACATCTGTGGTTTTTAGCACGATATTTTCTCAGGACAACTATCACAACTATCGTGAAGTTTTAATAATTGTTAAAAGCATTGAAAAAGTACATTATTAATTATGAGGTATTGTTGAGGAATTGTCATATAAAACACATACACTTGTGTATGTTGTATCATGTGTGGTACCCTGTTATGACAATTGTTAGGGAGATATCTCATTACAATCAGCTCTTTGTTTTTTTTTCAATAATATCATTGTTCATTTGAGGGGGAAAAAGCTTTTCTTGAGCAGATCATTGTATTTTGATATTGTTCTAATAACTGAAATAGAACTTTTGCTGTTATTTGAAAAGATTACAATAAGGGAAGAACGCCCTTACAGAGGCTGTTTAGTATGTACACCCCAGTGCTATTTCTGTACAGTAGGATGACTTGTCTGAAAAAACAGATTTTAATCATATAAAATGACTACTACAGTAAGTACTATGTCTGTACAATGACAGAAGATGATTTGTTTTAGTAGGCAGATAAATCATGTTTTAAGTGTGAAGGACTAGAAGAGTGAAGTACATACACACACTACCTACATACAATACATGCCATTTAGTATGAAACATAAAGTTAGGCTCATTTTCCCACATAAAAAGCGGATGTACCACTCACAAACAAATTAGGGGATGGCTATTTATTGACGAGACAAATAATATTAACTGCACATCACTAGCAGGCTAGGATGATGTGACATCTTATATTTTGTTGGTTGTGAAATTTATTTTTATGTTTGAAAAATGTATGTAAAAGAATACAGAATGCCAAGATTTACTATGCATGTGAGTAGGTTTTTATTCCTAAAGTTGGAGTTTCCTCTTGATATTGTTACATAAACTTATGAATAGATTTACTTTCATTTTTAAATGGGATGATTACTCAGAAATAATTGAAGGAGATTTAAATTTAGCCTGTGTATCTTTGTATTCTTTCTATATATATATGAAGAAAAAATAGTGTTTCCAATTTTACATCAGATATATATATATTATTCTTGTTTATGTAAACGACAAGTTAATTATGAAATGAGTTGAAAGCAGTGCATTCGTATTTCAAGCATATATAAAATTTTGTGTCTCCAGCGTTTTCATTGTGATGGTAATCAAAATGAGTTTTTAATTTCTGAATAATCAGCATTTGGACATTCTCAGAAGATTACTCCCGTTTTCTATACCAATTCACTCTGGTGACTGTACAAAATCTTTATGTCCACACTTTTGATTTGTTGTGTAAATGTATAATTTTTTCTGTTCACAGTTTCGATTGGTTGTGAAGACATCACTGAAGCTACTGCTTGTATTCGTGGAATATACTGAAACAAATACCATGCTGCTTTTGAAAGCTGTCAATGAGGTGGATAAAAAACGAGGTGAGAACTTTTCTATCCTTTGTGGGTGGCCTAAATTGTTGGTCATGTGCAAATGAACCAGACAAAAAGACTTGATTCATGATTACAAAAAAAAAACTCAATTCATGATTACAAAAAAAAAATGTTTCTTTTCTGACCTTTGAGCAATCATAGGAATTTAAAGTTTTATAATCAACTCTCTTCCTCTTAATGGATAAGTAAACTTACTTTATGGTTTTTAACATCTGTCTCAGTGCATTTATTTTAGAAATCCTTTTAAAGAGTTTTGCCCCTTGTATACAATTTTGTTCAGAAAAGTATCAGTTTACATGTATTTTCTTTAAACAAAGTGGTGTCTATCATCTAATGATATCTGATTTTGTTTTAAGGAAGGTGGAAAGTGTGTAGCTATGTACAGTTTTTATCTTGAAGTAGAATTCTATAGTTAGGTAGAAAAAAAAATCATTGGTCGAGATATGCATTGACTTTTCAATGAACTTCTAAATAAGAACAGTTGTCTTGATTTTGATGGCAAGTGACTTTTAAACCCTATATTTATAAATCTATATCATATAAGGGCATTTTCCCACAGTCTACAGATATAAGGAGTATAAATTGACTGTGACCAATGATTGAATACATCACAGTAAATAAACACTGTAAAGCTGTATGACTCCTGAAAGGTAATCATGTAAAGTATTGTCAACTCCTGAAGGCCTGCTGGCATCAATGCTCCAAAATGATTGTCACTTTTCTCATATCCAACCATGCTGAAACAGTCCTTATGGGACACGCAAAGTCTCCCTGTGTTAAGCTCTGTGTGATACCTCCCTATAAAGTTTTGATAAAGGAGATTGGATTACGATAGTCTGGTTAGGAGCTGGTATTTATTTCGCTCCAATACACATAATTACCTATTGTAATACTTACCTGTATTAGAAAAGTGTTACATTTCTACCTTTGACCAGGTGTTAACATATGATAGTGTTATGTATGTCATATATCTTGTTTTTGAAGTCTGGAAAGATATTGACGAGAAACAAAATCCTTCAATATAATACATTATTTTTCTTTGAAATTTTTCTTTGAAATCATTTTGCATTTGAAAATCGGTCATAGTATTTTTTAAAAACTTTTACCTACATTCAAAATTTATGGTTGTTTGTGAACATACACAAAGATGGACATCTCATAAACTCTACAGTACGTCATTGCTCTGACATCATACATTAGTCACTGATACTGACTTTCTCTGTGTTTGTGATCAACATCCTCATGACGTAACAGTGTTATGGGGGTCCTACTCTCTGTCACTAGATCAGAGGGTACACCACAAAGCACACTAAATATCCTGTGGGGGATCATGTCAGCCTTTAAACTCTACACAAAATGTCAGAGAACGCATTAATACCATTATAAGGTATTATAGGTAGCAACTGGCATATGAATAATACATGAGGACAAAAATCTATGTTCAGTTGTCACAGTAAATTGTTTTAATGGCTGCTAAGTGGTTTGATGGCATACGCCAGAAATATAAAGCTGATTTATTTACCTACAAATATACTCCATTTCACCAGCTGTAATGTGGACATAGACAATTTTATCCTTAAACTTTGTTGTCAACTTTGAAAAAACGAAATTTGTTGTAGGATTTTGTAAGATAAAATTATGTTTCTCAGCATACTGAAATACAGATGCTGTTACTGTCTTTGTGTTCCTGCTGGTGAGGTGATATTGAGTACAAAGACTAGGGTGTAAACATGTGTCACATTATGTATGCATCCACAACTATGGCTGGGTCTTAGCACGCAATCCAAACTTAAGATTAAGATAACACTAATGAATAACGTTAATGAAATTAGTTTATTGAGGAAAATATCAACTGTGATCATGAATAAAATTAGTATATTATGCAAAAAATGAATGCTGAAGAAGCTTGCCAGCAGTGTGTAGCTTGAGGTGTAAGTATATCATGAATAAAGTGGGGCATACATTTAATCAGACTTAAGGACAAATTCTCTGTACTTTTTTTTTTTTTGGCTTGCATATCTTTTTTTCCTCTCGTCACTGCTAATTAGTGATGAATGTATAAAGTACATAGTATCTGATGTACCAAGCATCATCCTTAATCTGACTTATTAACAAGCCAACAACATCAATGTTCTGATATTAAGCAGCTCTGTTCCGTAGATTGAAATGCTTTCAGTAAAGGCTGTATGGCCATCATGAATTCATGCCAAGATTTCTATCTTCAAATAGTTTCTAATTTTACTTCTTAAACATCAGAGTTGCTATTTTAAAACTCGTCCCTCCTGATTTACAGTCCTGATAAGACAGGATGTATCCGATTCAGCTGATATTGGCTCTGTTGATAGGTTCAGGTATCTCCAACAAATATCAACATTTACATAGAGATATTTGATTTAGCTCCAAATTTACAAGGTATACACACATCCACTGCATCAGGAATTTTGAGTATCGTTGTGAAAAGATGTCAAAATCAACCACAATAGATTTGTGTAAACAAGGATGATATGGGGGCAATGAAGTTTGTGTCACAAACTTCAGACCAATTGTATTGTTAAATGTAAGCAGTTGAGGGTCTGATTTGATAGCTAGACCTATTGTAAACCACACAAGAATTGGAAGTAAAATCAGATTTGAGATGTGAAATTCTTTCTTGTTGAATCGTAAACTGTCCGTAAATTAGATTTAGTGACATTTCAACAACTTGTCATTGTATTGTCAAGTGGCTGTTAGTTCTGTCAACATGATGCTTATCATCTTTACTCTGCCTGATAGATATTTAAATACCAATTGTCCAACTTTTGTAACCGGACCCTCCAGCCACCCCTGAGGGCTAGCTAGTACAGCTCTGTAGGGCAATCTTGTGTCAGGTTTACCTGATCTCCGCACCACGCCTGGTTGCACATATTTACATCCCTCGGGTGGTCGTACTTCTACGATTCCCCGACCTTTGCTTGTGTATACTCCACTAGACAATCTGATCTGATTGGCCTTGTTTGATATGTAGATATGTAATAACTAGGGGCTAGCTATAAAAAAGTTATAAAGTCCAATTAAAATTAGAACACCTACATCTGATCTTGTGAATGGATTGGTGGACTTGTCATGACGTTGGCTGTAATTAGCTCTGTAGTGGTCCACAGAAATGTCCCATACAATCCTATGGAATTTCATGGCCAAATCTGTGACACCATCTGGCCACGCACCCTTAGTCCAAAACAATGTCTGTACTTCTTGATAACAATGGTCTCGGTTAAATAAAACAAATGGTTGGTTGTCATTTTACAATGGAATCAGTTGACACAGTACTGAATACCAGACTGTAAAATAAGTATGTGACATATGTAAATGTTTTGAATGTTTCCAAAAATAAATGAGATTCTTAGTGAATAGACATAAGGATGTCTAAATTTAGCAGTAGCATGTGTCACTAAACAAAGGAAGTATAGCCACTAGGTACTGGCTGAGTTTAATCCATTCAGTCGTAGCAGCACTCAATTGGAAGTAACGTCATACAATGTTAAAAATTTGAAGTATTTTCAATCCCACTTCATCTTATCATTTGTGGAAGGTTATGTAGTGCAGTGTTTGTTCTTAAAAGTCTCCTTGAAATAATATGAACATCTTTGTTGCCCATGAATATTGCGTGTTTTGTTCCTTTATTAGGAGTTACTTCAATAAAGAAAATTTATACACAACATAAGAAACGCCATAGATAAGGTTTACATACTATTTATTATTTAAAACACTACACAACAAGATTCATCATAAAAGAAATACATTTGGCTCTTTTTGGGGGGCTACTCACCATCTGTATACCTTATAAAAACAAGCAAATATATCCTTAACATCCTTTTAATTTTACCTGATCCGATACTTAAGTGATAACATGTAAAAATAGTTATTATCGGAATGGGGAAAAGAATTTCCTGGAATTCTACTGGCCTGAACAGTTATGAGTCTTACTGAATGTTATGAATTACTTATAAGTAAGGTAACTTTAGAAATTAAAACATTTTGTAGAATTTTTAAAAATTTTGCTTCAGAGACCTGAAATATCAGAAATTCTCAACTCGGAGAAAATAAGAAATGAGCTTACAAACTCTTTTTTTTTGTAAATATGTTTTAATCAAGGTCAATCACCTGTCATTTTATCCTCCAAAATTTAGGCATGATGATGGATTTAAGATGTGTGCATTAAGGAATTGTTGTTAGAAAAAAGCAAAGGGGCTGTTGAAATTCATTAGTGGTTAGAGGCCATGATTGGACATCAATCAAAAGTTTAGGCTTTCTGGTACCCTGTTTTACTGTAGGTAGTTCAATTGCACACTTAAATTCAAAATGGTTCTTGTATACGTGTACCAGTAGAATATGATATTCCATTGGTATACATTATTGTCCTTAAATTAGCAGAAGCCCACACATGATTGAAACTGAAATGTGGAATTTTGTTCTTCCAACAGGTGTTATGCCTTGGACAAATATCATTGGAATCCTTGATGAAAAAGATGGTGGAGACACTGAACTTCTCATTTACTCAATGACACTGATCAATAAGGTAAATGTGTAGGGATGTTTGAGTTATCTCCCTTGTATTTGTTTGACAGTTAAACTTGTGTAGTTCATCAAATAAATATCTGATTGAAACTGTTTTTATTTTATCCTGTTTCAGCTTTTACTTGTGGATTGCAGATTATATTAAAATTCCTTTCTTAGTTCTTTTTCAGGTTTGAAAATTATTATTTTAAGATATTTTATTGTTTACTACATATTACATTTAAGGGAAACGGTTCTCTCTAGCAAAGTAGCTGGTCATTAACATTACTCTACTGATTTCACAATACCATGATTGGTAGATTACATTAGCTTTTCCTCTGACAGGTACTGAATGCAATCCCAGACCAGGATACATTTTACGATGTGACCGATGCTTTGGAGGAACTAGGCATGGAACAGATCACACGGATTTACATGAACAGAAATGGTGCTGACCTTGACCTTCTCTCACAGTTTCAGGCATATGAGGTAAGATATTCAATCCTTAATTTGAAAACACTAAAATTGAAGCAGATATGAAAGGTTTCATTTTAAAATTTTAAAGTTTGTAATTCTTATGTCTATTTATGTTTCTGTATAAGTATGTTACTCCAGAGCGGTGATAATTAAAACATGTATATGTTTTCTGTGATTTATAGGCAGCTTTGCGTAATGAAGATGGGGAAGAAGATGGAGACATGTCACAGTTAGAAAGTTTACGGTTTGTATGAAATAATTCTTTGAGTTGAAAAATATGCAAATAACTTTTTATTTCTGCCTTCATGCTGTGAATCAGTACATTGTGTTGGATATTTTGCAAGGATTTATAAACAAGCAACAACTTTTGTTGCAGAATCAATATGATTATTTCTTTGATACAGTGCCTCTTCGTGTAAAATTACTTCATCAGAGATATCACCAGGCAGATTAAACATAATACAATATTTCCAGCAGACATTTTTATTTGTCATTTAGATAACATGATCTGATTCAGGCTGTATAGGTCATGTAGACAGTGCATGTTGAACTATAGTTGGGTAAAACTGAAGTAAGTTCTGTGTATATGACAGACGAACACCTAGAATTAAGAGTGACCAGGACAGCGTCAGAAAGAGTCGTCGCTTCTCCATGGGAACAGGTCCAAAGAAAATGAACAAGTCCAAAAGTGCACCAGCTCTACCTGCTGAGGACATCAACCCAGCTGAGGAATACATGAAGGTCAAACAAAAATCTAAAGAGTGAGTGTTTATATTGTGATTAGGAAAACTGATTTCTTTGCTGGCATTGGTCAATTTTAGTCTAGAGTTTTACTAAATTACATAAAATGACTACCACAGGGAGAAGGCAAAACTGTATACCGGAAAGTAGTATATACCCACTTATAGAAGTTACACACAAATAGTCTCTTCTTGATAAACTTTTTACGTATGACTTTGGCTGTTGAATCTTGATAAGATCAAATGAATGAATTTAAATCTTCAAATTTGAAAATGTGATAAATGGTATCAAAACTTTCCTTTTTCCTTAGACATTGCCTGTTAATGCCAGAAGAACAACATGACAAACTTCCAGAGCAGCGCCGAAGACGACAAAGGCTTGACGAGTTACAACAAACTGTAGAGGAGGCCAGACCACCAGACAAACCAGGGATGCCTCAAAATATTCAAGTTAATGGCACAGCTGAGCTCTCGCCCAACACACAGTCAGCATGTAAGCTTTCCTCTGACTCAGATTCTCTGTGTGAAAATGCTCCAGATTATTTGATAGAAGAGCTAGCCAGCTTTTCGCAGATTGCTTCCCAGCTTTCAGATGAATCAGCTTCGCAACTAGAAAGTATACAAGAGTATGAGCCAGATGAGTTTATGTCCAATACCCCAACTGCTTCTAAGCTTTCAGATGAATCGGATTCTCAAATTGAAGGTATCCGAGACTATGTGACAGCAGAGCTTGCAACCATGTATGAGTCTGATTATAAGCTTTCAGGTGAATTGGAATGCGGAAATGAACATTCAGATTCATTAGGTTGGTACAATATTTTAAGTTTGTTGTCATGCGAACCCAGTGGATGCAGACCAATGTTTTTCCTTCAGTGTCCATTAGCCCAAAAATATATCATAGCACTCAATTGTCTGTTAGATACTTCCTTACCTCAGGGATCAGCCATAGAATTTGTACCTCTAAACTTGCCGTAGCCCTCGAGTGCGTGTGACCCTGTTAACTGGCGCCTGTGAGGGATACCTGTGGATAATCGGATTGGTGGTATTGTCTTGGCGGCTCACATTTTAATGAATGCAATTCTTGATTTATTTCCTGCTGGTATTGGTTATGTTGCCTGCTGAGATGAAATGCTTTCAATTGTTCCCATATTAACTTTTGATGAACTACATCCATATAATGGAATAATCTTCTTCATTACAAATACATTTGTATAATCTTGCAAACAATGACATTTGTTTTGACAAACACAACTTTGTTTAATGCATGAAAATATGAAGATGTTTTTCATCTGATGCTGAAACTACTTGTATGATGTTAAAATAATGTCTTGCTTATGAAGATCCATGAAAATGTAGTCATTAATTTTGAAGAATGACACCATGACAATGTTTTTCTTACTTTTGTTTTTCTTTGTTTAAATGCCACTTGTTCACCAACACATGTTGTGGACACTTTTTAGCATGACTTGATGTTTTACAGTTGCTTTATGGTCACAACCTGCATTCAACAAAAACAGAAAATACAGAAAATATTGCAATATGATTAATCTAATTGATTAAAAAATTAGGTTATTATCATGAAAAAAATTTATGCAGTATAGTCTTCAGTCATATCAAGTTTTGGACTGTTTACTCTTTTCATGTCTAAATTTTTTTCTTAAAGTAGTCTTTAATTTTTTTATTGCAGTCTTTGGTCATAAAAAGGGGATTAAGTGATTGTTGATTTGTAAATAATTTAATTTTTCTTTAGAAATATCTGTTAGGTTGTGATCAAAGCTGGTTGTTATGCTGCTATGAATTTGCCTTCTATTTACATTGATTTGGGCCCTTCTGCCTTTTTACATGTCCTTTATCTAACTTGCAATGTTTCTTTCAATATCCTCTCTGATTGGTCCTTAGCACTGTGTGAACTTTTCAATTGTAACATTGGGTTGCCTAGCAACAGTGGCATTAACGGTGACATGTGACTTGAGTTTCTCTGTGTGTCTTACTAACCTGATGGCATGTTTGCCCACAGATGTTCCTCGCACGCGACGAGACCGGCGGGAAAGACAGAGGTCGTTTGTGAAAGAGCAAGAATTAGAACGAATACGACAACGATTTCAAGGGCGCAATCATGCTGGCGATCGATCATCTGTGTCCAGTTCTGCTTCATCGAGCACAATTAGTAGTGGTACATTGTACACAATAACTGTCCCCAGTTAGGAGTAGTAAAGCTCTCACTCACACTTTTACATCACAGCATTTCTATCATCCATAATTTCTCTACCTAGATTCATCAGGGAAAGTTCTAGACCTTATGAAGTATTTCTGCATCAGCCTCCTTGGTCAATATCAATCTTGGAACATCTTCATTTGTTTAAAAATTTGTCAAAGTATTGTTAGTTTATATTAAATCACAATTTCTTCCATTTTCAGGTCATATTTAGCTTAAGCTTTCAAATATATGCAAAGCATATCATACTATCGCTAGCTTAGATTTTAAATTAGTAATGTCTGGCTAAAATGTGTAATAATATCACATATATATCCTATTTAATGAATTCAAAGTCTATTTTGATGTCACAAAATACAACACCATGGTATCAATATAATAATGACAAAACAAGCAGGTCTCTTTTTTTTATGTTTAAATCGCTCTGCGTCATTGGTCCATCACCGTCCATTCGTTATCCATTAGTGAACAATTTTTATTATCGCTATTTCTCAGATTGCATATGTAGGTTCCCTTTGGTCCCTAGTTATGCCCATTTGATTTTGGGACTGATCAAAACACAAAATGGCCAACAGGAAGCCATCTTAGATTTTTACCTAGTAAAGATTGTTATTGCTATTTCTTAAGAAGTACTGAATGGATATCTCAAATTTCATACGTATGTTCCCTTTGGTCTCTCCTTGTGTTCGTTTGATTTTATGACTGATCAGAAGAAATAAAGTGGCTTCCAGGTAGCCATTTTGGATTTAGCAGATAAAGATTATCATAATGTTCAAATGTCTTATCATTAAGACCAAAAAACAGGGAAGAGAAAAGAAAGAAAAAGATCCAACTTTCAAAGAGCATATAAAGATCAAACAATGGTGTGTGCCAAGATCCCTCTGGGATCTCTTGCTTGTGTTTGAATTATCAGAAAACTCTCTTTATTTGGGTACAGGTCAAAGACAAGTAATCTTTAAATCATTCTCATTATGACAGGACTTTATGAGAATCTCAGAAGCTCTAGATCTTACAAAAGTTATATGAAGCTGATATATAATTGAGATCATTTATAAATGCAGAATTTATCTTATGTCATTACAATGTTCCAGATAAATAACATATAAAAATGTTAAGGAATATATTCTGTGAATGTAATGCTATCTCAAAATTATAGCTAGGATGTAAACAGCGGCAATATTTTGATGATTCTAATGATTGTAACATATTTGTAAAATTACATCAATTTTTATATCACTAGTTACAGATCTATAGAATTAGACTACAACAGGGCAGACACTTAGATTGTAAGGGCAGGACACTTGTTCAGAAATAGCATCTGGTTATTTCGTTTGTCTATTTGAATGGACTAATTGAAATTAAAATAAACGTTTGAAATAAATATATTACTGGGTGCTTTAGTGTAATCTAGCATTATGACATGGAGATGATGGAGAATGATTGGTTCGTGGTCTTCATGAGTACTGAACTGGAGAATGATCGGTTTGTGTTCTTCAGGAGTTATTAAAGTTTTTTCTCTAGTTGATATTTCTCTCTCAACATACATCAACATGTGCTACTATTATAGTTATGGTGTGAGTTGAACTAGAAATAGCTGTATCAAATTAGTTTAAACATGTCAATGTTTTTATTTGTAGATGACCAACAGATGAGAAATGGTTACTCAATGCGACAAGATTTGTCCAAGGAGTCTGGTTACCTTAGTAACGGTGATTTGTCTCAGAGTCAGAATGGGTTTGAGTCTAGAAACAATGCCATTAATGAGAGTATGAGTAATACAGTGTCCCCCACAGCAAATAACTCCAGCAACAGCCGTTGGGCCAAATATTTACAGACAAAAAAAGAAGATGTTGAAAAGTCACCTGAACCTCAGCCCGAAAATGAACCGGGCATGCTCAAACGACATCCTTCACTCAAAGGCGACAGCTTGTCTCAGCGAAAGGAAAACTTGCAACAAGGTCACATAGGTAACGCGATACAGCGGGTGCCTATGGAGGTTCTTGATGCAGAGGATAAAGACAATGTTACGACAAATATCAGTCGTTTTACAACGAACGGTGAGGCGGAAAGTGGGCCTAAGGAGTTGTCTAGACCCACAGGTGATCTCAGTGGACTTATCAGTAAGGCTAAGGGTGAATTATCACGGCAAACGGCCGTCAAAGAACCACCTAAACCAACCCAAACACCTACCTCTCCTACAGAAGTGAAATTAACTGAAAGTGACCTACAATGGGACAAAATGTGTAAACGCTTACGTAGACCTTTAAAAATAAAAGATTTAGACTTTACAGATCTCAATGATGATGATGACTGTGATGTGTTCGCCCCTTCAGCCCCAGTGTTTGGCATGGGTATGGCTGGTGGTCCTCCACCACCCCCTCCAATGCCAGGCATGGGATTGCCCCCACCCCCTCCCCCTCCTCCTGGTGGCTTACCACCACCCCCACCTCCTCCACCAGGTGCACCACCCCCACCTCCTCCTCCCGGGATGATGGGAAGCCCAGCCCCTGGGTTAAAAGTAAACCTGCCTCCTGCGCCTGGTGCTACTCTGAAAAAGAAGAAAAAGACGGTGAAACTCCACTGGAGATTGGTACAACCTGAGATGCCACATCCTGCTACCAAAGGGGAGACAATCTGGAAAGACATAGTTGAGGTCAAGGTTGATCCAGACAAGTTAGAACATCTGTTTGAGACCAGAGCATCAGATATGAAGCAAAAGGTCAGTACCTCAGGCTGGGTCAGCATGTGTAGACACCACAAGGATTCATATATACTAGTCTGCAACAGAAACCAAAATTTGATATCGTTTAATACTTTTGATAATTGCTTGTCTTGCTATGTGATACACAAGTGGTATAAAAAACAAGTGCATGTCTACCTTCTTCATATTGATGATTTTATAAGTTAAAAATCCATTTCATATTTTTTCAGTGCAACTTCTTTTGGGGAAAATCTATTTTATCATTTTGTCAATCAAAATTTTATGATCATATGACATATCCCATCATGCATCATTGTTCATTGATTGGCTTGGTAGACTATCTAGATGTTCTATTTGGTTATGTTTTAATTGATTTCTTACTTGTGTTCTTTGTTTCAAATTTAAATGTTCATTATACACATTGCTATCTTAGGTGTCAACATATGGTCTTAATTTGTACAAATTTCTGATTGAAAAATTAGATATTGAGATTATATTAAATTAAAAACACTTCTATCTTGAGAAAATAATTACTAGAAATATTGTTTTGATATTGGGATTAATGTACTATTTAACATACAGAAAAAACTATTGGAATTGCTGTTGCAACTGAAAATGAAATAAGTTTGATGTATAGTTGTGATATGATGAACATTTTGCTTTGAGACAAAGACATAATTAACTTCTGTTATAAATGTAGATTTGGGATGAACTTGGAATCGATATTCATTGTTTTGTTTACTTTTTTGATATTTGTTGTGTTTCTGGTAACTTTTCCTTGTTCCCTTGTACAACAGATACCCTGTTACTCGTCCCCATCCATGTCAGTCCACAAACATGCAAGAATCTATCATTTTTGTATCCAAATTTTCGCTTTATTGGAATAGCTGTTACATGCCTATGATTTGAATAGGAATAGATCAATCTAAATGTCTATGTATGTTGATATTTTACTATTTCTCCCTTCTAGTAGATACTTCTGGATTAAGAAACTAATAAACTATGTAATGAAAGACTGTTTATAAGGCTACGGAAGTAAAAGTATTTTACACCTTTGGCTGTAGTATGATTAATTGAAATAATCTGTTCTTGTAGATAGAAATAACACAAGATAATGTAGTTAAATGATTTTCTGGGATTGTAGATTTTTTGAGGTTATAAGGGACCCCATTTGTAGATTTTCTGAGGTTATAAGGGACCCCACTTGTAGATTTTCAAAGCTTTTAAGGGGCCTAATTTGTAGATTTTCAGTGACAAGGAATCAACTGGCCTTTTCTGTGATATGAGCAAAGGTGCATCACTGTTGATGTAAATGTAGAATACTCTTTTGAGGTGGCTGGAACACACTTACTAATGCAGAAATATTCTCGTCTTTTTCTTTCCATGCTGCACATTCTCGGCTGACATCGTCATGGTGCCTGTGTAACTGATATGAATGGCTATTGCATGTGTGTTGCCATTTTTGTTTACAATGCACAAACAGGACTTGGTAAGATCTGTATACCAACATATGTTAATGTGTGAGACAGGTTGGATGGAGCTATGTCATTGTTTCTAAAACATTTTTTACAAATCTTGCCAGAATATTAAACACAAGCTAGTTCTGATTGCAAGTCATTACAAAATCACAACTTCGTTAGTTTAACTTTCCTGAATATCATACATGTATTGTGTGATTAGATGCATTGTTCTTAAATCTGTGTAATCCTGGCACATATTTTGGATTTCAAAGCAAGTCATACTTTCAAACAGAGACTTAATCATTTGAGAAAAATCCATCCAGTCTGAATTTTGTCATTTGTTGTCTTGTGGACAAATATTTTCATTGTTGTTGTCTATGTATGTTGTATGATATTTTGTCATTGCAAGTTAACCTTTCACTATTGAGTAAGAGTTGAGGAAAGAAAATCTGAATGTAAAAAGAATCTTCATTTTCACTTATATATAGTACTGTACTTACATTGTCAAATGAATCTTTCTTAAAAGCAAATGTTTAATAATATAATTCCATCAGTAAGTAAGACAATAATGCATGTATAAATTTACAAATGAACATGTTACTGACCCCTGAAACTAATAATACTAAATTAAGCCATGGACTTTGTGTGAATGTTATGTTGTCTTACGTTTTATTGCATGCCTTCATGAAAAGAACATTCAGTTCACATTTTCTACTAACTATTATTTCACCTAAACCATTGAATAGTGACACTTTCCATACCTCCCTCTGTGAAGAGTTCTGGAGTTTAGAACAGATATCACGTTGAGTGTTACTCCCCTTCCTAGATGCCATTTCAGTTCAGAGCATCTGATCTAAGATGCATTTTATTGCTTTAAGAAGTTCACCTCTCCACCGCAGCTTGTGCCCTAGCTAGAGTGGATTTGAAGTGTACCAACACCCCTACCTTCCAGTGACCATTGTCGCTCTCCTCTCGTGTGCTTAGAATTTTTCCAGCCCTGCAGTGAATGTTGGTGAAATAGTTTCCCTTTAATTGCAGATTAATTTCTTATTAATCAGCCAACAGTACTAGTCCCTTCCATGAATTAATAAGGATGTTTATTTCTCACAATATCACACCCTGTATATAACTGAAGCCTATATATTACAGAAAACTGACACAAGTGGAAAGAAAGAGATCTCCGTGCTTTCTCCCAAACGTTCAAATGCAATCAATATTGGTCTGACAGTCTTGCCACCTCCTCGAACAATCAAGGCAGCCATTTTGAAGATGGATAACTCTATCATGAACAGAGAAGGAATTGAGGTAAAAGTTCATTTATAAATTAAAATCAGGTTTAAAATTATGTATATAGCTTATTACTGTAACATTTAACAGTGAGAAGAAATGGCTACATATGTTCACCATATTTTCTGGATTACAAGCCACACCTTTTTTTCTTTGTGTGTCAGGCCTGCAGCTTATAAATAGAGAAAATTGATTGAGAAAAAAGACTAAAAGAAAACAGGAAGTGTACCAGTACACTGGTATGAGACAGCACAGAGTTTTTTTGTGAGTCATGTGTTTGTCAGATCATCTAGAGCCATCATTTGCAATCATATACAGGATGATTTGAAGATTGAACTAAAAAATATAATTCTTGTGGATTTAATTAATCCTAGCTTTTAGTGTGAATCACATATCTTCTGGACTTTTGTTGTTACTTCAAAGCTAAAGCGGAAGTTTAGGATAGCCTTTTGCATCCTGGGATCGATATATCATCAGGTTGTAGGTCAAATTCTAGAACAGCCGCTGTGCTTGTTTATGATATGAATGGCTTTGTGTAACTTACAAGAAGAAATAAGGGATTATAAAAATGTGAATTGCAAAGGCCTTCGTTAATATTTAACAGTACAGGCAGTGATGGTGAGATTATATCTATGTGTAGTCAATCTGTAATGAACCTAAGTCAAATGAGTTCAATATTCGCTATTTTTTACATATTTTTTTCAATACATCAATAAAATAAAGGATTTTTTGTGTAGAAATCATTTGCAAACTTTATTAAATATTTCATTGAGGATCTTGATAGATTTCCCACCGTTGTCTGTTATATCAACAAACTTATGTCAACATAACAAATACCACTTGGTAGAAAGGATGTGGCTTATATTCCAGTGTGGCTGATATGTGGGTTAAATTAAACAATAGGTAGCGTATATACTGGTGCAGCTTATAACCCAGAAAATATGGTCTATGAATGTTAAACAATAGTTTGTGTGGTACATTACTGTGTGTGCCGAAATCACAGATTCAAAAGTAAATATGTACACAATGGGGTGGTAAGTATTTCAGTAACATATTTCTACAGATTTAACGAAAAAATAAAAGGAAAAAGCTTTCTTTTTTAACTTCGCAATTCTTTTTCAACAGGTATCCTTGTTTTAAATCCTCATATAAAGTTGAAAATAAACCCCTTAGTAATAAGGATGTGAGCATTATCTCTGGTACAGAAGCCTCTGATGCATCTCTATCAGTTAAAAGATTTTATGCTGTAATGCTACGATTTGATTTTGAATGAAATGATTTATAGAATGAGCTGAGATAGTAACTGGAAACTAACTGTTATTGCATTTTCTTGTTTACAGAAGATTCTGACTTCCATGATGCCGACAGAGGAGGAGAAGACTTTGATCTTGGATGCCCAGATGGGAAACCCTGATATACCCCTAGGAACGGCTGAGCAGTTCCTCCTCACGTTGTCCTCCATCAGTGAACTTCAAGCCAGACTCTCACTCTGGCTCTTCAAACTTGACTATGAGACAGTAGAGTCTGTAAGTAGTTGTCACCCCTTTCAACAAATTACATATGATTATTCTATAAATTTATTCATCATACTTCTAATTCCATTGCATTCCCTTGTTAATCTGTAATCATGTCTGTTAGATAAAGAAAAACAAGGTGTATTACATGATATGTTTACCTATAATGCCTTTTTGTCTTGCCAATAACAGGAAGTAGCTGATCCCTTGAGTGACCTGAAGAAGGGCATCGAGGAGCTGCTGAAGAATAAAACATTTAAATACATCCTGTCTGTGATATTGACGATTGGAAACTTTCTTAATGGTGCTCAGGTAAATCCTTAGCAACATGTTCTTGCTAGATCTCAATAAACGAATGTTTGTTTTTATAAAAAAACATATTTTAGCTGGATGTGTCACCCTGTAAACAGTGAGGGTAACTTCTAGATGGGGGTCATCTTATAGTAGCTAATGGCTAGCTCATGGAATATCATGTGAAAGGCAAGAAGCATTCTATCATGTGTTTGAGTAAAGTTTCTTAGTGTCCTTGGAAGCATCCTTGATGGTACAAGAATGGTCTGTGATCTCAATTTTGAGAGAAATAAACCATACTGGTAAGGGATTGAACCACAGACTCTAAAGAATAAGGATTCTAGAACACAGTAGATATTGGACATGAAATAAAGATTTCATTTTACTTTTATCCTCAAAACCAGCTGTTATGTAAATGACCATGTCTGTGAAAGGTAAAATAAACCTATGTTTTATGTTCCAGGCTAGAGGTTTCAGTATAGAGTACTTGACCAAGATTCCCGAGGTAAAGGACACTGTCCACAAACACTCTCTCCTACACCACCTTTGTGTCATCATTATTGATCAGTTTCCAGACAGTACCGACCTCTACTCTGACATTGGAGCCCTGGGACGCTGTTCACGGGTAAGTTATCCTAGTCATAGTACAGTTTCTGCAGCAGTAAGAGTCAAGTTATCCATTAAAAGGGTGCCATAGTACATAACCATAGCTATGAACTGTTACTGCTGCTGGGATTCTCATACTGAACCTTTGGCTTGTTATAAGCAACTTTAAAATCGGTACTAAATCAGTGACACAAATTGAGAAATATCTTCATGCTTGCTTCAGAAGCCAAGGTTGTAGAGTTTAGTTATAAAAATTATATTCTATATATAATATTCATCATTTTAGGTTGTTCATTTTTAGAAAGTATACTGTCAGTATTTTCCTAAATGTCACATGTCTCAGCTAAATTCCAAAACAGAAAGCTTCTTTTCTGCACTGTATACAGTTTTTAATTTGTTTGAAAGTGTGCATAATATGTCTTAAGCTTGAAAATAATATTTAACATTTTTTATTGACCAAATAAAGAATTGAAGACATGTAGAACATACCTTTGACCTTTTTATAGGTGGACTGGGATGAACTGTCCAATAAGCTTGAAAAGATGGAACGCGAGTGCAAAGGATCATGGGATCATTTACGTGCAATCATAAAACATGATGGAAGTTCAAATTCAAGCATAAAAACAAAGTAAGTACAGGCATTATTAGAGTATTTTTAGATGAATATATAGATAGATATTAAATTTTATTATCATGTACGAGTCATATCAGTTAATGTACTGCTGAAGTACTATAATAACGAGTATAAAAACACAGTAAGTGTCTGTATATAGATTACAATGTTAACATATTTTTCTCTTTTCAGGTTGTCAGAGTTTTTGGCTGATGCAGCAGAAAGAATAATGATTTTAAAGATTGTCCATAAACGGGTCATGCAGAGGTATAGAATCATTTTCATCACATAAAATCATATTATTTTCATATTTATTCTGTAAATCGCTCCTGAAGGTTTTGTTTCACTGACATTAAGATCAGAACACAATGATTAAATATGGTGATGAAAAAGAACTTTTTATTTTGGAAACTGGAAATAGACCTAACTGACATTTATTTATCTGTTCCTGTCAAGTGTATAATGATCTTATTTCACAGGTATAACAAATTACTGTTGTACATGGGCTTACCCTTGTCAAGTGCAAAAGATCTCAAGGTAAACGCCTTCTGTAAAACAATAAGTGAATTTGCCTTGGAGTATCGAACAACACGAGAGAAGGTTATTCAGCAGCTACAAAAGAAAGCCAACCAGCGGGAGAGAAAGAAGACGCGGGGCAAGATGATTGTCGATGTAAGTACTGGACTGTTTTCTTGTTACTGTTATGATAAAGGTGTTAATTATGGAAGGCTTTAAGTTTGACAGAGCCAGTCTTCAGAAATTTTTCCCAGTTGTATGGATGCTTCTGCCAATGTGTATTTGCCATCACACGATTTACAGAATAATTCTTTTATACAGACGGAAAATTTCTCAAGCTCCAAGTCCAAGTCTAAAGATGCTCAGAATGACGAAGCATTACAACGGCTCCTGTCAAACGGTTACACGAGTGCTGACGACCGGGGCATGCCTGGTCACAAACGCAGACAGCGTGGTCCACGTATGTACATTTTGTTATTTGATCTGGCTGCAGTTTAAAAAAAAAGTTTTGTAATGTGAACTTTTTGGTCATGGAGGATTGAGGAAAATTATTAAATTATAGTTATCTAGACAAAGTATGTCTTTAACCCCACAGAACAGTTTGTGTCATTTTATGGATCTTCTGTCCTTGCTGTAAGTACGAAAATTTGGCAGCTTCATCTGCCATATACAAAGTGTTGGTCTTTTCTAAAGTTGGAGGGAAATATAGGTTGCTTGCAGTGTGCTACCTTGTTTTATTTTTTTTTACTTGATCATAAGGCATTATTTGAATTTAGTATGTGAAATGAATTGTTGTTTGTAGTTGATTCCAAATCTCAGTCATCACGAGGCTGTGTAACAACAGACTCTGAAATGTATGACACGGGAGATGATGAAATTCTGGAGGCATGTGTGCGAACGGCAGCAGCCCCCTCTAGTAGGCCCAATAGGGAACGAAAGCGGTCCAGTAAACATCGTAAATCATGTAAGTATTCCATGAGGTCAACTCACACTGAACTTCGTGGTAGATATTGTGTTGTTAGTCCTGTCAGTGTAAAAAAAACAATACAGAGCAAAACAAAATTGTTGTTTGTTATACCATTGTCTGCTGTAAATCTATTGTGTTTAGCAAAAGCAATGCTTATTTTCTATTTCCTGTTTAACCCAGCCATAATCGTGGAAATGTACGAAAGTTATTTTATTTCAAATGTTAATATTTATGTGAATATTATCTGGTTTTGCTAAATGCAAAAGATTTACAGACAATAAAAATTACACTTTAGATAAATCAACTATGTTGTATATTACAAGTAATAATTTCAGATTTATACGTGATAAAATATGGGCCTTTCAAGGCTGTGACAACACCTCAAACAGGGTATCTATTTATTGATGAGAAGATGACATTTTTTTACCCATAATTCCAGTGACGCCAAGAATAGACACGAGGTATTAGGTTTACACGAGGTTGCAGACAGGTAAACTTCTGGTAAAAACAGTTATAATATTGACTGATGACCCTTAGCTACCTTTGCCCCGGCCATTAATTCTGGCCAGTTATATACCTGTTTGCAGTGCTTTTAATTAATTACAAACAAATGCTATTTCATTATATGATATGTATGCATTCAATCAACATTGATTACTATCATAATTATTATTGGTTATGTACTAATAGAACATAATGCAACATTTTATTTTCTAGTGATTGAACTTCATAAATATCATGTTAAACTTTGGAGGCTAATTCAGTCCAGGAATATTTCATAGAAGAAACATGTAAATTAAATGTAGCAAACAGTTTAGAGATTTTGAAGTCCAGCTTTCTGGAACTTTGTTTCCTTTTCACAACAGATGTTGCATTAGGTTAATGGTTTCTGTGACTTTTCAGCATTGGAAATACGACCCTTTTCAGCTTTGACACGGCTGCTTCACAATCATTCTCTCACATGATATCTTTAAGAGGATTTTCAGTCAAACGTCAAAAAGAAAAATTAAGATAATTTGAATTTTTTTAGAAATGGTTGAAATTTGAAATATACCAATCGAAAAAATGTGAAAGAAGCATGTAGTGAAAGGGATGATTGTGACGACAGGGCAAATTATGTTCGGGATATTTCGCATGGTTAAAATGGTTATGGATTCAAGCATCTGGAGGACTAAGATTAACAAACGTTACACTGTCAGCTGGTTATGTGTATGTTGTGATGTCTGCTACTAGAATGGGGATCGTGGGTGTATCATTTTAGCATATTTTGGACAAATGACATGAAAATGAGAGAAAGCTGATGGTAAAACATTGTTTTTTCATTCCTTTTCTCACAGAGAAGATAACAAGTTCCTGAGATACATTGAGACCTGTATATAGAGGACTCGTAGTCCTCTATATACTGGTAAGGCTAATCTGTAACAGCCCAGATTATTACTATGTGTAATTTGTGCTATTAATGAATTGTTTTACAGGTGTCTCTCCTGAGCCTCCCCACCCTCTTCCCCCACAACCCCCTGACACTTTTAACAAATACTTCCTGGTAACCCCTTCCTTATTTGAATATTAAATTTATTTTACTGTTCTGTTTACCCCTACATGTTTAATTTAAGTAGAGATGTCCATGTTTAATACTGATAGTCTGTGTGTGATTGTTACAACTCCCTCCTACATGTTATTTGATCTTTTGATAAACTATTGCCTGTTTTCCTTCAATTTGTATTAAATTATATTATTTCTATTAAGGAAATTATTCATCCTGAAAAGACAATTGTCATCTGTATCTTATTGAAAATTTAGGCCTCTTTATATTGCACTTATTTGCTTTTAGAGTTTCACTGAAACCAAAAGCTGTTCTCAGTACTAAAATGACCTTTATGCTGGAGTAAATAAACTCCAGCTTGCCATAAACTACCAGACATTATGTCACATGCATAGTCTGCACCTGTATTTTATGGATCACGTACAGGAAGTTCACATATGTAACTAGCTGTAGAACACACCTGTACTATAAAGCCAATTTATGGAGATCATGTCACATGGGAAATCTACACTTGTATTGTACGTAGGTTACATATTATATCTAAGGTGTAAATGGCTGTAGTAACTGGCTGCCAATTGGCTGATACTTAATCACTTGGTTTGGCATCTGTTTCAGCATTTTGGGATAGTGACACTGATCATTATTGATAGGTAAACAATTGTGTGTTGGTTGTCGCAGCATTCACTTTGTATTCTGTACCTATACTGCAGTCCTCTGTAACACCGTTCTGTCAATTGTGTTCGTCGCTCAGAGAGCCTTTTAATTATTTGTTTCTATTCAGTTTTTGCATTTTTAGATATTTCGTATTTCTATGTTGATAATGTTTGTACATAGTTAAGCCTGTATAGTGTTTACTAACAATAGATGCACAGCTCATTGCTATCCCAGCGAGACTTTAGCAGAATGATTGGGAATACCTAAGTCCGTGTCGACACGCAGTACCTGTACTGAGGTGTACAAGTATCGACACGCAGTAACTGTACTGAGATGTACAGGTGTTGACTCATAGTAACTGTACAGAGGTGTACAAGTGTCGACTCTTAGCACCTGTACTGAGGTGTACAAGTATTGACTCGTAGCACCTGTACTGAGATGTACAGGTGTTGACTCATAGTAACTGTACAGAGGTGTACAAGTGTCGACTCGTAGCACTTTTACTGAGGTGTACAAGTATTGACCCGTAGCACCTGTACTGAGGTGTACAAGTATTGACTCGTAGCACCTGTACTGAGGTGTACAAGTGTCGACTCGTAGCACCTGTACTGAGGTGTACAAGTATTGACTCGTAGCACCTGTACTGAGGTGTACAAGTTGGAATTAGTTGATGCTTTATAGTAGATGTGGCAAAACAGCACTTATCTTTAAGGCATGAGGGCTAGAATTTTCTGTAAAGTTACAAGGGCTAGAATTTTCTGTAAAGTTACACAAGTTGACTGTGATTTAGCTCCTGAACTGATCTTTTTTCCTTTCTCTTCTGCTCTCTGTCATCTACTTTTTCTTACACTGGATAAGATAAAGTATCAGTTTTTGATCAGAAAAAGTTGACAGCTGAGGTTTGTTCAAAATAAACAAGCCATTTACATAATGTGTCAAAGGTTGTCATCCTGAACTTCCATTCTTGAAACCATCCTTTACTTTCCACCTTCTTTTTGCATGTTGTTTTCTTTCTTTCATTATTTCACAGGACAGAAATAGATTGTTTTACTGGCTGTCAGTTACAGAGATCTTTCATGTTTCAAGGAAATGGCTGATTTTTATGAGAATTTGATTAAGCTGTACAGCTTACCAACTGTTTTGTCTTCATTCAGCTAAAGTCAAGTCGAAAAACATAGAGCATAGGTAATCACACGGTATTTGACCAGTAAGTAATGCAAAAGCTGAATTTGTGATGTGGAGTTGTTTCCCAGTGTCAAACCTCTCCTGGATAGATTTACTGTGTTTCGAGTGTTTTATGGACTGTGTGGGGATTCTTCCTTTTCCTAAATTGCTCATCATTATCCATGATATTTCGCCCCCTACCTTTTTTTTCTTTTTGTTAAAATTTCCCTTTCGTTGCTAGAAATGAATTGATGATATTTTTTCCTAGAGTTTGATTGATGTTTTGTCAATTTATTTTGTTTCAATTATCTTTACCTGTAAATAAGGTTCAGATTTATTGAGCATCTTCAAAGATTTATTTGATCAGATTTAATTTTACCGACTAGATATCTGGTCACAACTGCTGAGTTTCGGAGTTTTATTCTATTGTCCTTTTAAAATCAATCATATCTCTCATTAAATATTGAAAGCATGTAATTTTTAAAGTCTCAGTAGTTATTGTTTGTTTTGAAAAGGGACCAAAAACAGTGAGAGTATAGGTTTTGATGCTGTTATTGTAGTAATGCACTCTGTCGTAAAGAATTACAAGAAATGTCACCTTTTGTTCCTCTGTGGTGCTTTAAATCATTCACGTCCTATGTTCGGTTGAACATTAACTATGTCTCCAGCTCTCGTTAGCCGACACAGCATCAGCATCACATTTAATTTTAAGGACACTACACAGAGATTTGTTCTATGTATTTTTAAATCACACAATCTGCAGGAAGAGTATCCACATTTCAAGAAATTATTAACCCTTCACACAAAATAGTTCTAACAATTTATATGTAAATGTTTCAAATGTACACATGTCACAACTATATACACCAGGATTGCTTCAGGTTAATATTTATAGATACAGGTTTGACAGAAAATATTTCAAACAGTAAAACCACAGCTGCTAACACTATTAGATGTAATGTATATGCTGGCATGTGAGTTTGGGAATGTTAGCGAATGGGTTTTCTTATTTTAGTTATCAATTGTTAGTTATTTTGAATTTTAAGTTTATTTATTTGAGCATGGTTTGTTTTTTAGGGTTTTGAACAAGTTATTATAGCTGCATTTTAAGTGATCTTTGCAATTTGACACAAAGTTTTTCGTGTTAACGATTACAAGTGTAAGCTATTTCATCTTTGCTTTGATGTTGTAGGTTGTAAACTTCCTTTTACTGTCTAATACTCAGGTTAAATGGTGATAAAATCAACTGAAATAAGATGTCAGTTTAATGTACTAGATTATTGCTTTGTGTAAATCTTCACAATATCAAAGTTTCTTTGTTTTGCAAAATGAGTTAGAATCCCTAATTAAGGCAGCAGTATGAAAAAAGACTCATCAGAATAATTATAGGTACAAAATTATTTTTTTATAATTGAGTTCTCAACAGCATTATAATAAGATAATGAAATTTGTGTGTTTAAATTGTATTCACGTAAAAATATATTCAGTGACAGAGAGTTTGCATTTCATATTGTGAAGATTAATTACCATGTTGTGTATACAGTGTTACCATTCATGATAAACATGCCATGCTCTAGCAGTGTAGAGGTTACCATCTAAATCATAGTACTGTTGCATTACTGATAAATATTAGTCATTATTTTAGAGTGCTCTCCCTTTGTTTGAGTAGTTTTAGCCTGGAATGTCTTCTTTATTTGCAGTAGCTAGACATTATAAAAATATTTGAGAATATTTTGACATGTGATGACTTGTTAATGATAGATATGTGATATATCACAAAATTATAGCTGATTATGTCTGATCACAAGATAAACATATATCAATATATATATAAATATTTCTTTCACTGATTGAATGCAAGATAGTTACAGAGTAGTCTCCCCTGAATGATTTAGCAGTATCATGATATATCATTTGTATAATAGTAAACAATCAAGAGTGTATATGAATATATATGTATATGTTAAAATCATTTTCACGGTTGATTGAAATTCTCCATATATGGTATTATACACGTTTTTGTTATTTAGTTACCATGGTAATATAGGGTGATTGAATTTATTTGAAGTTTCTTGTTATTCATGAACAGTTATGGAGAGTTTCAGTGCCACTGATGATGGTTTGTAACAACATGTAAGATCTGTAATGACCTATAGAGTAGATAGCTGTCATGACAGTGTCTTGTCTTGTGAGTCTTGTATTATGTGTACCGTGTACCTTGGTTACCCTTTGCCGTCGGTATGGCATTGTTATATCACAGTTATTTAGGAATCCTACATATGACTCGGAGACGTGTCCATTAACCTTTCTTCATCACATTTCAGTGAGACGGACGCTGAAAAGTGGGCTTACAGCAGAAGAATGGGAAACCGTGGCTGCGTATTCTGATGCCGTTTAGAAGATTTTACAGTTACAACATCAAACTGTTTATATTAGAACCATGGACTCTAGTTCATACCTGGAAGCAGTCTTCAATGTTGTGTCACTAACCAGTGGTGGAAATATGGTTCTCGTATCAGAAATCTGTCCTCATATTTATCATATCTTTGGATACAGAATGGAATTGCTATTCAATGAACCGAGTGTCCCTTGTCAACTATTAAAAAGCTGTCTGCCTGCAAGCCATCAGGCACAGAAAAGTTGCTTAAGCTCGAGATTATCTGTCTGCACTGTCTCGTGTATATACATACTGCAAAGTGTATTTGTCATGCAAACAATTTAAATGTGATTAATTCAGTATTCATTCATCTATGTGCTCTCAAGTCTTTCAACCAACCAACATGTCATTTTCCATTAGGCTCCCTACATTCACATCATATTGATTGGAGTCTCGAGATTCACCAATCATCCTTTATTGTTGTTTAGTGTTATGAGATTAATTGTTCGTACCGGGGCAGGTTCTCCTGTAGTGATGTGTAATATCATAAAGTTGATAAATATTTATTTTGGTTTTGTTAGGTACACACAAGCTTGCCTTTTTCAGTGTGCATTTTGAGTTAAATCTGTCTCATTGTTTTATAAATAGTAGTAGTAGTGTGGAACTGAAAAAAAATTTTTATCTTCTTTTTGCGTCAAAACATGGAATTGATTTTAGCCTGATTTAATGGTTTAGTAGAATATCAAAACTCAGATACTTAGAAGCAAAATTGATTGTTATTGAAAACATTATCATACAAATATACCATTTGCAGAAATTATTTACTTCAGGGAAATGTTCAATACATTAAAAGGTGTGTATAAGTATATACTAATATATATTAATATATTATGTACATATTCGTATATCTGTTATAAATCCATTAACGTTTTATGAAATATTATCCATATGTGCACTGCATTGTAATGATGCCTTCTAGTCAACCATTTTTAAACTTTCATATGCAGAGTCAAGTCCTGTTTATGTAATAGACTGAGTATCTGTTGATATCTAAAGCTGTGTGTTAGGTCTTTGTTTGTGTCTTATTGTAGGGTAAGGGTGAGCAGTGCTCTTAAAACTTATGATATTCTGAGAAAATGAAAGTAAACACCAAAACCTGTGAGAGATACAACAATATGCAAGCAGTGTAAAAGAATATATTTATACGGAAAATAAATATTCATGCAAGTTTTAAGAGAAAAAAAAGTCATTTATAGATATTTCAGTAATGAATTATAATAACATGGGTATGGCAATCAACATTATATAGAAACTGAATCATTCATCAAAATAAATGTATGTATTTTGATTAAAAACAAAGTGCTCACTAGAATTATTTTCACAATAGACATTCTTTATACCAAAGAAAATGTAACTCAATGTTTGTCAGACTGCTAGTGTATATGATAGCAAATAGATAGAAACATCTTTACATGTTATTGTACAGCTCTCTAAAACAATTCATTAAATGGAATCAGAAATCTTTGACCTTATGTAAGTGGAATAATGAGACAGTATTTATTTAATAAAATATTGACGAATTTGCACTGAATGTGTTGCTATGGAAACAATATATATATATGAAAGTGAAAAATTTCCCTACAACTATTTTATTGGCATTCTTGGTGAAGATATGACTTGTTATATTTACTGTATCAGCCTACATTTAATATTGCTGTATCTTTGTAGCCGAAATTCCCTTGTAATCATTCTGTAACTATTTTGTAGGCATGTGTGATTTTACATGTGTATTTAATCTTTGTCACAAGTGAAAAAAAATCATTTCATATCTACTTAACTTATTCAGCATTAGGATATTTCTCAATTTTAAACCTGCACTACCATTGATTGTTGCTATGGTGATCAATTTTCTGATAGGTGGTTTCTGCTACGAATTCCTGGGAATAATTGTTGATGTCATCATTCTTACTCATTTTAGATTCTATTTATAAGTTGAGGGAAAAAGAACTTTTTAGTCTCTTTTTTAAGTGATTTTATTTCTCCTTGAAGAGTTGATATAACAGTAAGTGCTTTAGATGATACTGATGTGTAACATATGTATGTGTACCACTAGGTGATGCACATCTCGCAGAACAATGAACCATATACCTTTTATCTGTGATTCTGATTTTACAAAACCCTGTCTGTACAGTCCCATGCTTGTACATAACTGTCGTCACAGTTGTTGTCATGCTGTCGTGATAATATAGGAATCTCAGCCCCTTGTAGATGTCGTAAGACCTTGGACAACAGTCCAAAATCATTTTGCTAGTAAGCTTAAATATGTTTGTAAATTAAGTACTGTATATTTCCTGCCCAATTTATTTATTACAAGTTTTAATCTGTGTATTGATCAAGATTTTTAACACCGTTTTGAAATATTTTAATATATTTTTAGAGTGGAGCTGTGTTCATTTGTTCTTTTTCTGAGAATTGATATTTTCTGTAAGATAAATTGGTTCAATTAAGGCCATAAAATTGATTCCCAGGCCAAATAACTGATCTTAATGGTTCTTGCATCTGTATTTGAATGTCTACAGCAGGTAATCTCCCCTATCAGTATTACAACACTACCACCAGGGGTATGTGTTGACTATCCATCCTGTCTGTAAACACACACCAGTATTTGCCCATAGTTACTGCTGTGTCATATTGATTTATATAGACTGCTAAGCAGACCCTATCTATTGTTTCCAGTAATCAGCACGGTTCATGTGAGGGTGGCAGCAATTTGTCTTCTATCTGGACTTGAACCTTTTTACTGTTCCTAAATTTGCTTCTGTGTTGTGGTCCTCACAAACTAGTCACTTTTGTTTGTTATCCATTGTATATGTTACCATGCGGACACAGCGGCCATGGCTGTCATGGTCACATGATTGTGTAAATTTTGCCATTCATTAAACCGGATTGTCTCTCACAAAGTGTGAACAAATGTCTATTCCACTAAAATTATGTTTTATATAACAATTGCAAATTCCTGCCATATTTTGTGTACTGATTTTTCTTTGAACAGAAACTTAGAGACATTAAAGGATTTGTATAAAAGTATGAAACAGTGTTGTATACTTATTCAAAGTTTCTATCTCACTGACAGTGCATCACTGTTGATGGGGGCGAGTGTTTGCTATCATCATCAATATCTGGTAAATAGGTATTCTGATCTCCTAGAGTAACTTCCCTTTGTTTAAGTGGATGGTCGCCGAAAATCAGTGAAGGTGACTAAATAAAATGTGAATAAAGCAACAAAACTTTCATGGTGGATGAATTTAGGGATGCTTATTTGGTATATTTCTGTAGGGAGCAATTTCCAGTGACCTATGATTACTCGAGGATTGATGTACTACTTCAGTATTACCATGGGTGCAGTGACCTTTGAGTACTCTGTATTTTAAGTGCTATTTTATTGTTGTAGTGGGTCTAGTGACCTTTGAGTACTCGGTATTTGATGTACTACTTCAGTGACGCCACAGTTTTATTGACCAAGTGTAATCGAATAAGTACCCTTTAAGTGATTGCTAATAAAAAAAAACAAGAAAAACTAAGACATATGAAGCTATATATTATCCAGTAGAAATGATGTAAGCCCAGAAGGTTTATGCACCCAGGAGTGGAATATTTCCTGGTTCTTTAAACATTTCCATGCTGTCTGGTAAGCTGTTGCCATGGCTTTGTACTCTGCATAAGTTACATCAGTAGGCTCCTTGGTTGAGCTGCAAATGTTAAAGGATGCATCACTATATAACTTATCTTCTACCATTTTATATCGTATATACCAGATAAGACTGACAATGTCAAACTGATTGGAAAAATTCCAGAAATAAAGTCTTTTCATGGAAAAAAAATGAAAAATGTTGATAAAACTCTTGAGAACTTCCACCATGATGCCACTAAGGAAAACATGACTAAACCCCAACACACATCGTTCCCTGGTGCTTCCAAAAGGTCATTGTCAAGCAGCATTTCCTTGAAGTAGAAAGAGACCTGTCCCATGCCATCCACAGCAAAATGTTTTGCCCAATGACATTACAACAACAGCACAGACTCATCTGTGTCTTAGCTTCCTGAGAAACAAACTGCCATGAGTAGGGAGTGTAAAACCACACACCTCTAATCTTTACTTGAAGTTATGTTGGTCAAAGCTCAACTGAATGAGCTATCATGGCCCATAGGACAGTCAGACTGTCACTGTATTAAGACCAAAATAAGTCCACTTCTTGAGGAATAGAGAAGACAAACAAACTTTCAAAGCTCAAGAAGTATGTTGGGCAGTCATATTTCTTCTTATTAATCTTGACAGTAAGTTTGCACAACGAAGGACCACATGTGGAATTCAGAAACTATTGTTTGAGTTATACATGACCAATATGAATATTAAGAATTGTTTTAAAGTTGACAAATGACAGACACTTCAATCGGCTGTAATAATTGTTGGCTATTATCAGGACTTCGGACCATGTAGCTTTTTAAAAAGTTGTTTAGGAAATAAAAACTGATGAGATGAGATACCATACACATTCTAAAATTATCACTGCTGGTGATAAAAACACAGCTTTAGCACTATGAATAATTACTTACCTGGGAATGCTTTCAAGAGGAAGTTTCTCCTTGGGAATAACTTCTAATATATGTATGTACCGCCGCAACAATTCTAAACTGCAAACTTTGCTCCTAAAAGAAGCATAAACAAAAAGCTTGTTGATTTCCCACATTCAAAAGCACTAAAACAAATAGACAAATCCTATTACACAGGGTTGTTACTTATAATCACCTCCTTCACATACATTTACTGTTATTCAAAAACACATTTGTTTAAATGATAGAAGATGAAATCTTAAAAACCTATATATAAGAATCACTATTTACTTTGTTTAGAATGTGACTTACCGTACTTTAGGAGTATGAATCATCTTCTTAGTAGCACCGTGCTGTCTGCCATTGACCAGAACCTGGTGGAAGTTATTCTGCTGTCTACAGTGCCAGGTAATAGCTTAACCATAAAAAGAGAAAACTTTGACGAATAATGAATCATCAATATCATATCTACCCTGGTGTATATACAAAACATCCTGTTTTGTTACGGAGGGTATATAGTGTTACCCACGTCCCATTCTCCTGTCACATCCCATTTATAATCAATGTCATATCCTGAGGACCTCGTAAGGGACTTTATATTTACTCCCACTACACCTTTACGTCAAGTTCCACACCTTATCAGATTCTGGTTTGTATGATAGCAGGGCCATATATGTGTAATTGACATTTTCTAGCTGTAGATATTGATGAAAATTTCAGCAAGTGAAATGCTTTATCAAACTAGAACGGTCATCCTAAAGATAACTGATAAACCCTGCAGATGTGAAGACCTCTAAATATTAAACTTGGTCAAAACGCCATTAAAAAGCCAAAATCAGTTGAAAATTAATTTCTGTATTTCCTAATACACATATCTTTTATATACATATAATTACGTAAAAGAAACCCAAACAATATCTAAATTTCAACTAAGAAGAAGCGACAATTTGCCTCAGCATAGCTGTCATGACAATAAAACTTACACAGTGATGTTTGGCATTCCCTTATGCCATTATCAGCCTTATGTATCCTATGGTTTTTAATTACCTATACCATTTAATAATCAAATAATTAAATCTGTTGAATAACTAAGGAGTAATGACTATTTAGAGTAAAACTTGTTTACAGGGTGATTCCAGTATAACCCCTCCCCCCCCCCCCCCAACTTCATTGCGGGGATATAATGAAGAAAGATAACAACAAAGTTATTCAGCTAAAAGGACCATGCCTGGTAATATGCCAACCCATAACACTCAGTAGAATTACATAATCAAAGTCAGTGGTGAGCTTAAATCAGGACAATGAACATTGTTTTTTCGTTGACCTGATTTAAGCTCACTACTGACTTTGATTCTGAATCCATGTTGTTGGTCTCTTGGCTCATTACAGGATAGACAGAGTATCAATGATTTTGTTATAACATATTATAAATGACTAGAGAAGATAGGAACAAAGTTTCATGAGAGGAAGTCTGTTCTGAAGATGTGTTGTTATATGATCTTAACCTGAAATCTACTTACACATTGGGCAAGGTGTAAAAGAAACCTGGTGATTTTTCTCCAAGGAAGTGCGAGAGTCTGGGAAGAGTTCAGAGGACTGGAGAAGCTGTGGGTTTCCATGACGATATCCAGGAGGAAGTGGACCTACACCCATACTCCTCTGTATCACAGCTCTATCTAAGGCCTCTTGGCTGTAGGGACAGCTAAAGGTGAAGCAGTGAAATTTTTATATCATATATTCATTACATTTCTCCATTTGTCCTAGATTGAATCCAGATTTTCATCTGAATTATTATCATTTAACTGCTAGTTTTAAAACTATCAATTTTCAAAATATCAACTGAACGAATATGTATAGATCTAAAATATATTCAGAAATACCAACCTGCCTATAATAATTGTATCAAAATAAATTGGATGGGACAGGAAATTGGAAAGTAATGCCCCCTGACATCCGACAACATTCCAGCGAGTCAGTTTGTCACTACAAGACATTGAGAGAGTTCTATCTCCTCGACCTGGCTTGGTTCTCAGCACTCCCACTGTGTGGTAGCCACATCCAGCCCCAAAGCTGTCCTGCTGGCCCCCAGGGACACACTTGGCCCCCGTCCTGTAGATGTCCCCTTTAGGCCCTATAGATGACTTGCTACTTGTCACCAACCTCTCACCTTCCACAGAACATTCTTTATTAATTTCATCACTTTGATTTTCCTTTATGATACTTGTACTTGAATCTGACAAGTCCTCTGAGAACGTTTTAGCATCATCACTTTCATCTAGATGTCCTTTTTCAATCATTGACCTTGACTTTTTTACTTCAATTTCATCCTCACTGTCAATACTCAATTTATGTTTTGAACCCTGACCTCCAGAGCTTGGGACTAATTTATTACACTTCTGAAAACTATTCTCAGACATATCTTGTAGGTGACCTTCAACTCCTGTTTGTAGATGACCATCATCTTGGTGGATCTGATGGGATTTGTTGTGATTTTCAACCTTCACACCAGTGTTTACAATACTATCCTCTGCTTTAGGAAATATAGAGGCATCACCACCTGTGAACAATAAATCTTCAATGTTCATGGACAATAATGAATGAATCAATGAAGACAATATCAAGGAAGGCCAACAACAATTTAATTTTCTATGATTCTCTATGTGTATCTCATAATGCCATCAGTATATTTATGTAGACAGACCCATAGGGTAATGATGACCTATATCCATATAGTTTCGTCCATATCATGCGCCATGCATTAACTTCCAATCCAATTCAAACAACTTTCTCAATCAAATGTCAATAACCAAAAGGCCAAGAGCACTGATAATTGACCTGTAGCAAGCTAGAATGAAGGGCTATCAAGTTTGTTTCAACAAATGACCTTGACCCTGTTTCACGTTCACAGATGACCTAACAACCCTGTAAATTACATTTTCTATACAAGAGATCCCAGATTGATCTTGGCACCCACCATTGTTTGATCTGTATTTGTTCTTTAAAATGTTGAATCTTTTCCCTTCTTTTCTCTTCTTTTGCTCTTAATGATAAATTAAGAAATAATTTGCAGAAATATAGTATTAGAAATAATAATCCTTAACTAACAAATTAAAGATGGTCAGCTGGAAGTCATTTTGCTTTTTTTGTCTGATTAGTCCCAAAATCAAACAGGCACTAGGGACCAAGGGGAACCTACATATGAAATCAGAGAGAAATCCATCCATTACTTCTCAAGAAATAGCAATAACAAATATTGTTTGTGGACGGACAGATGACAGACGGACAGAAGATGGATGAAAGACATAGGTTGATTTGAATAGCCCACCATCTGATGATGATGGGCTAAAACACTGAATATGGTTTTACAAAATGCACTTAAGTAAAACCTAAAAACTTTTGAGAAATGAAAAATCAACTTCTTCAGAATAACATATAAGGGAATGTGACTTGTAAGGTGTACATACAGGGATTGTGACTTGTAAGGTGTACATACAGGGATTGTGACTTGTAAGGTGTACATACAGGGATTGTGGCTTATAAGGTGTACATACAGGGATTGTGGCTTGTAAGGTGTACATACAGGGTGTTTGACTGGCAAGTTATACATACAAGGTGTTTGACTGGTAAGGTATACATACAGGGTGTTTGACTGGTAAGGTGTAAATACAGGGTTTTTTCTTGGTAAGGTGTACATACAGAGTGTTTGACTGGTAAGGTTTAAATACTGGGTGGGTTACTGGTTTGTAATACATACAGGGTGTGAGACTGGTAAGGTGTACATATACAGTGTGTGGATAGTTAATTATACATACAGGGTGTATGACTAGTTAATTATACATACAGGGTGTAAAACTAGTTAATTATACATACAGGGTGTAAAACTAGTTAATTATACATACAGGGTGTGTGACTAGTTAATCATACATACAGGGTGTAAGACTAGTTAATTATACATACAGGGTGTAAGACTAGTTAATCATACATACAGGGTGTAAAACTAGTTAATTATACATACAGGGTGTATGACTAGTTAATTATACATACAGGGTGTAAAACTAGTTAATTATACATACAGGGTGTATGACTAGTTAATTATACATACAGGGTGTAAGACTAGTTAATTATACATACAGGGTGTATGACTAGTTAATTATACATACAGGGTGTATGACTAGTTAATTATACATACAGGGTGTAAAACTAGTTAATTATGTATGACTAGTTAATTATACATACAGGGTGTAAAACTAGTTAATTATATATACAGGGTGTATGACTAGTTAATTATACACATACTGACTTTCCTGGTTAATTATACATACAGTGTTAATCATACATACAGGGTGTATGACTAGTTAATTATACATACAGGGTGTAAGACTAGTTAATTATACATACAGGGTGTATGACTTGAGAAGAAATGGAAACTGATCCCATCCTTGACTTTGACCTTTGAGTTGTCTGTGACCTCCAGCACCTGACTTTCCTGGTCAGTGTAAACAAGCATCAGCTGGTCGTACAGGTAGCTTTAAAAAAAAAATTCTTTTTTTTTATTTAGTACACTAACGACCACAATGTAATTTTTCAACAAAGAGGCATATTTCCACAAGGACAGAATGAAGAAATAATGCCCAGGTGTGCAAATTCAGAAGGGATATTTAGGATATTACATCCACTTAGCTGCAGAATAGAAAAAAAGTTTGGGTATACACTACTATATGACTGTCATCTTACTAATTGTTGATTCTGTCATATCTATATCAACATATCACTGTCATATATAAAACAACACATCTTTTAACTTACAAAATCTCTTTTAACTTATAATTCTACGTTCCGTATATGCAACAGGTGTTTTCCTTACAAAATCTCTACTAGTTTATAATGCTACATTCTGTATATAAAAACAGATGTTTTAAGTTACAAAATCTCTTCTATCTTCAAATTCTACATTCTGTACATACAACGGATATCTTACCTTACAAATCTCTTCTAGTTATATTTCTGTATTTGTTTAGTAATACACAATAATTACCTTATGAAAGCTCTTCTAGCTAAAACTTCTGCATGGCTGTCATTGATGATGTCCCCTGTGAATGCAACAACCAAATATTACACATCACTTAGAATGAGGATCAGGATTTGATGAAAAATCATAAACAAAAGGTGGACATCCATTATTTTTTCCAGAAAGAATCTCTGAAACATCGAGATCACAGATGAGATGTTTTAAGAACCAATAGATAAAGTAGTGGTGTGAGAGTTCTACAACACCTGTATTGTAAACGCCTTGGTCTTAGGGCACAAGGACAACTTTTTGTGGGTCTTTTATCCTAAGATAGTCGAGAGCAAATACAGATATAGATTTTAACATTTATAAACAAGCACAAAAAACAAATACAACAGATCTCTATCCCTACTGCCTAATTTAATAGGCTTATCCCTAGAAATTTACATATTTCAATTGTGCACGGTCATAGCGAAGGTGCATGGCAAGACTTTATATAAGGTACTAGGTCTACCGTGAAGGTGCTACCTACACCGAAGGTACTACAGTAACCATAAGGCGTGTTATTGGCCTTAAATATAATTATATGAAAACAGTAACGGTTATAGGATAGATATTCAACAAATAATGAAATATATTAAAACACTAAATTGTCATTTCCTTATTAAATGCAGCCAGCTACATATTCGTGAATTTGCTCTTGAAGGTGCTCCAAAGTCCAGTCAAGCTGTGGCTAAAAACTGCTAAGCACACAAGGTATAGAAGGTGCAGCTAAAAACCTACTATAGCAGCAAGGTGCTGTTAAAGACTTCTAAGCCTTTTATGCCTTTTATCAGTGTGCTGGTTATTGTCTAATATTTACCATCGTATGACATTGCTATGATGTAACCTTACCAAAGTCAGTTATGTATTACCAGCTCATGAACTGCCAGCATTATAGGAATACTGTAAGTTATATAAGCAAATTCAGGCTGTCTTTCCTTGTGATAAAATGAAAACTGGAAATGGAAATATACCCCAGTAAGCATTGAACTACTTTCAGCTGGTATTCATGAGTAATGAATTATGACCATGAAAGTCAACTGAAAGCAGTTCAATGCTTCAGGAAATATTGTTACCTTTATCTGTCAATAATGACTTCCCAATACATCTGGATCCTGTTCCTATGGAAAGAACATCAATAATGTCTCCTCGATCATGGTCATCACTGGGTTTGTTTTCTATTAAAATAGATAAAATAGAAAATAAGGCTCAATGGTGATTTTTTTATTTCTTTTTTTGAACAAATTTAGATTTAGCCTTTTGAAGTCTGTAATGTAATATGTAAGTCAAGTAAATTAAATGTATAACTTTAATAAATTAGATGTATAATTTTCGTAAATTAGATGTATAATTTTCGTAAATTAAATGTATAAAAGATTTTGAAATATAAGTGTATGCATTTCTTAGGTCATGACAGACTCTGTTGTTTTTTTATTTAATTAATGATCAACAGCATTTTCAGCTGATATACAGAAAATAAAATAACTACACAGTAAGTTGCTACTAAATAAATTCACATAGGTGAAATTAAAGCTAGAGGAATTACATTTAACCAGTGCAGAAATACTCATCTGTCAGGACATATGTTACATCACTTGTTTAGAGTGAGAATTCATTAACATTGATAATATTCTAGGTATACAAACTATAGAGTAGGAAGGTTACTCTAAAGGAAGGTTTGTCTAAAATGATGAAAGACCATAGTGGTGGACATAAAAACTGTTACATAGATAAAAAAAATAAATGGCTTTTACCAGTATCGCTGACAGTCATGACAACGGCTGCCATTAGGGTCCATTCTCGACCCTTCTGTGGTTTCCCCTCCTTAGGAAGCTGTTGGTACTGTTGATAGCAGCGATTGGCCACAGTATCAGCAAAGTGCTGCCCTCTTCTGGTTGACATCACAAATTATCATGAACCTCACCTGAAACTATTTTTTTTTAACAAAGATAATAATTATAAGCACTATCAAACACATCTGTCTTTGTATGTGTAAAAAGGTTGCTATGTGACATCACAAAACTTCAATAGTTTATCAGGGATGTAATGCCAAGTCCTGAATTTCCAAATCTGGAGGTCTGCCTCACTTCATTTATGGAATACAAGACTGCATTGCAGTTTGAATGTGTTGCACTATAGTGTGTCAATTCTAATGCATTTTTTGGAAGACCTGTGTAGCCTTATCTATGTCAATTATGTTCATAAGGTTATGATCTTCCAGACTTTTTTTAATTCTGTTGAGGCCTTTGATAATAAAAAGGTTTTGAACAGAACTTTCCAGTTTCCCTGAAGAGATGCCACTTTAATCACTATACAACAGGCCCTTGGACCCTTATTACCTACCTGGATATTTCAGCTTACTCTTTAAACATTTTGATTTGCTATTATATTATTACATTTTCCTCAAAAGATCAGAAATTTTAATGCTTCAAACATTGTACAAAGAAACACAAATGAATAGGATCTTTTAATTCAATTTTAGAGATAGATACAATACAGCCAAATAATTAATAAACAATGAAAACAATGAAATTAACTGCATCATGCAACTGATTCCCCTTTTGCATTTCCCCAAGGATTTTTCAAATGAAATTGGAACAGAAGTCAGGCATTACTTATAAAAGGAAGATTTTAAATAAATTGCTCTATTTCCCCTAATGGGCCCCACTCATCCCACTCAAGAGTGTTGAGACCTACCATTTATACAAAATTGGTTCACTTTCAACAAGGACAAAAATGTGTACAAATGCTGGCACTCTTCCAGGAGGATTTTAAATAATTTTGCTCTAGATTGGTCAAAATCTCCCTACTGTCATTCATGACTACTACAATTTGTTAAAAAAGTTGTGGACATTTGTTAATGAAATATGGAAGCTGCAGTGAGATCAACCTTACCTATATACTAAATTGGTTGTCAGATGAGGCTAGTACCTGTGGATTGTTTATCTACATTTAAAGCAGCCCTCATTCAGCAAAATATCAATAAACAAGAGGCCCAATTGGCTTGCAGCACTCACCATAAATATCTTTCTAGCCTCTAGGCCTTTCAGTTCCTGAGAAGATGTTGTTTAAATGTTATAACAAATTTGACCCCTGTTATCTTGATTATAAGCTATTTTGTTGGGTTTCATCCTAGAAACATACCAGCCAAATATCATGCCTCTTGGCATTTTAGTTCATGGAAAGGTTGTTTAAAGTTTTTAACAACTAAGACCCCTGTTACCTTGAATATAGGAAAAGGTCATTTCTTTTCGCAATTTTTTTCAGACTTTATCCTAGAAACATACCAGCCAAATATCAAAACATTTGGTCCATTGGTTATTGAGTAGTTGTCTAAAGGAAAAAGTTGACGCCACATTGAATTATAAAAGTTCTAAATATAGTTTAAACATACCAATATACTTTCATAGTTATGTAAAGTGCTGTATTGTTGTATATGAAAATCTGAAAGTATTGTGTGTAATTTGTGTTTCATCACACAAAATGTTCGTGAATGAAATAGAACATAAGTAAATTTAAAATGTTTGAAGATTTTATGCACAAACTATATCCAAGTCCACACTTTGTAAATCCCAAAGAGACTGGGTGCAATAACATCTTGAAATTATTAACAATAATACCTGTCTCTGCAGGCCTGAAGCTACCTAAATCATTATAGCTGGGGCTTGTCAGGACATCAACTCATCTGGACAAGCTTCTATGTGTAACGTCAATAACAGTAACAGTGACAGTATACATTTGTCTTGCAGTATAATTGCAGTTGGCACCGGCCCATTACATTACAGATCAATTAATTGAACCTCATTCCTGTCGGTATCAATGTAAGTGTGTATCGTTTTGTCTTATCTTTGGCTTAACACAAGCAGATCTGGCTCACAGTACCTAAAGTTTAGCACATTGCCATGTGTTGTTCACTGTTGACATTCTGTACAGGAAACAGAAACCTTGGTGGAAGGGAGGTTACTCCAACAAACCTTTTACCATTGAAGTTAATATAATTACATGCACCTGTTTCGGGAACGTAAACAACATAATTTGTATGATGTACAGTGGACTGAATGTTTGTTTATGTTGTTTACGTTCCAGATACAGGTGACTTTGATTTGATACTATGCCAGCAGCATTTGCAAACATACATTAGAGAAGGCAAGGGGCGTAGAAAAATGTCATATAAACCACCAGGTATCCTATATGGTAGATATAGATCTTAATTTTGGGCTGAAAACCAATTTAATGTTTTGTTTTTTTCATAACTTTAACTTTATTTTCATCATATTTAGAGTTCCATTGATCTATGTTCTGAGTGGCAGTTAAACTTTGCTCAGTTGTCATGACATTTTAAATGTAATCTTACCTTGTTTTAACCAAGTGAGATTGGGCTTTTTCAATCCTTTGACAACATAAGTACAAAGATGAGGATAAAATGTATACCTATGATTTCAGTGCTCTGTATATAAATTCTTTAACATCGGTAGATTCATGATTTCAGATTGATTGTGTTAAAGATATCAATGTCAGGATCACGCTCACAACTCAATCTGACCGATTTGCCGAGTATATTTTCAGGTGGAGTGTCCTTACATAACTGGTGGCTATCTCATGCTGAATGTAGTGATGAACACACTGAAGAAACTTGATGAACAACATAGGGAGATCCATTACATATCACCCAGAGAAGTTAAGGTAATTGACTAACTTAGAACCACAACAGCAATCTGGTTGGTTTCTCAATTTCCGGAAGTGTCAAACCAAAACTACATGAACATCAGATTTTCATCTCGGACCATACTTATATGCCAGTGATCAAATGATACCCTCCCCTTCCACCACTCCCTCTAAACTTACAACCAGGAAATAACAATTGAAAAAGCTAAGACTATATAGGCATTGGATGAGAGATTCACATTCTTTTTGTTTGGACATTCTTACCAAGAAATAGCTCGATATTTGTGTGATAAATTGTAGAAAGCAGCTGTACAACAGAAAGGGTATCAATTAGTACAACAATGATGTGGCATTCTGTTTTCATTGTGTATGTCGGCTCAGGACAATATCTTTCATTAAATGACACTATTCATATCATATACGTACAGCAATTAGACTTGGCTTAAGCATCGTGTAAACATATAGACACTGGCTTCCACGATGTACCTCAACACACTGTGATCTACCTTGACACACCAAGTTGCACCTTGGCATACAATGATATACCTTGACATACCTTAATGTACATTGACACACAATGATGTATCTCGACACAGTCTTACACATACATGAAACAGTAATGAAGGTTTTCTTCGGACACCTGTAGTATGCTGTTCTTTTGGGATATTTTTGTTTTGGGGGTTGTGTTTTTTTCATATGTATACTTAGTCGAGATAAAAAGTCACAGTGACCCTACTTCAGTATGTTTGATATCTTAACTATTTCCATGTACAAATGAGAATGATTGATCAATAATATGTAACCCCAACTTTTATCAAAATTCTTTAGTCCTGTATAAAAAAATAAGAGCCTGGTTTTAAGTAACAAAATTTTATTTACAGAAAACACAAATGGAACTTATAATACACACATATATATGATAAAAATAATGTCACAATTTCAGAAATAAGAAAATAAAAACACTGAAAATTTTGTATCATAATTGTTTGATGCATTGGTCCAGTAATACCAAATTGCCGTCACAAGTTGTTACTGAATGTTGCTCACATATAATCACAATGACTGGATACAACCAATAGTACTTAGTATTGAAATAAGGTAAGAAATTGAAAAAGCAGCAAAAATTTATTTTACCAATAGACTAGAATGAAACTCAAATTAATCATAGAACAGAAGTAATATGACTATTTTTCATAAATTCATAGGATAGGAATAATATATGTACTTAAAATTCCACTATCAACAACATCAAATATATTTTAAGCTGCAGTAGTTTCGCCAGCTGAACTTCCATAGGTTGATATTTGTTGTTATACTTCCATTCATGGTTGAGACGATCTTTAACAGCCATACTTTCAACAGCTTATAACATTTACGGCCATGCTTCCAACAGTTGACAATGTTTACAACTATACTTTGAACAGCTGATAGCATTTACAGCCATACTTTGAACAGCTGATAAAGTTTACAGCTATACTTCCAACAGCTGATAACATTTACAGCCATACTTCAAACAGCTGATAAAGTGTACAGCTATACTTTCATTCATTGAGAACTCCTACAGCAATTTTTCTGAACATGTTTTTTACAGTCATCTTTTTTTTTAATAAATTGTTACAGCTTTATTTCCAACTGTTGAAAATTTGAACAGCTTTACATTCAATAGTTGAGAGTTTTGACATACCATACTTCCAATAGTTAAAATTCCACTTGTTATGAATTTTGATCTTTACTTCAATCAGTTCAGAATTTTGGCAGCTATACTTCAGAAGTTGACAGGTTTAACAGCTGTACCTCAACAGTTGAAAGTTTCGACAGCCTTACTTCTTAAGGTCGAAAATTTCAACAGATGTGCTTAATATAGTTGAGAACTTGGACAGCTGTGGCTCTAATAATGTTTTTAACAGCAGTACTTCCACTAATTGACAATTTTTACACCTGTACTTCCATAACTGAGAATTTGACAGCTGTACTTCCCAAGATCAAAAATGTCTTAACATATACTGTATTAGAATCAATGTTAGCAGCACAGTTTTGTAACTTTGATTGTTTCAGTCAAGCTACATATTGGTTACAAAGTTTTTTTTATCTTTAATCAGAATATTTTTTGTGAGAAGAGATTGTGTAGAGTTTGTAAATGCATAGTTACAAATTTTAATCACTAAATCAAAAACCTGCAATCTTTTGGTTGAACTTCATCTGTACACAAATTTCTGAGACCATATACATTTACTTAAAGAGGCAACTTATTGTTTACTTCCCGCAAATGAATTAATATTTTATTGTTATAACTGGCTTCAGCTTACACGTCAATATCCACCATTATATTAAAAGGCCACTCCTATTTTAAAGCAGATTCTAAATGGAAGTCACTATAAATTGTAGTATACATGTGACATCTTGGAATGTAATGTAACAATGCCACAATAATTTATAGTCAATGTAATAAAGATACTTGTCCTTACTGAATGCTGACAGCTATCATATCTCTCCTGGTACTTCATTCAAACAGTTATACTCATCTCTTTGATTAAATACAAATACCTACAATTCCTGTTTCATAACCATATTTGTGTGAGAATCATTAAATGTTGCAGACAAACGAAATTTATTTTAGTTCGTGTCACTCTCAACATGATATAAAATCATAATAAAAAATTACATGCAATTTGTAAGTAGTTAAAATTTCACTATAACAAAACAGTCTTCACAATTTCTTCATTGCCTTCTCTTTTCATTAAGTACATGTACCTGAAATTTTGAATTAAATCTTTTTCTTTGTTTATCATAAGCCAAATCTTGCTGTAAGAAAATTAATAAAAACTATTCTGTTCATAATGATAAAACACAATGTCTCCAACAATGTGACCAAAGTCAATATGAGGTTAAGAATTCATCAGTGACCAAATGTGTTCTCCCCGCTGTAGGCAATGTACAGAAATCCATCTTCATCTTTGTGTTCCTCGTACACCTGACCCATACTGGCACTGTAAAAACAACAAATTACAGGTTTTAAACATGTTACTAAAAAAAACCTGCGAATAATAACAGATGTTATAACTACCGTAGTAGAAGTCCTTCACAAGAACTTTGATAGCCTCTGGCCAATAAAATTAAGTTACTCTGGAAGTACAATATGGTTTTTCTAACTGAACATACAAGGGCACAAAAATTATCTCAAATGTACCTGGATACACGACAATGAGAAGCTTAAAGACGTTTGTTAAATTTAGATCGAGGAAAACATCTTGCACAATGGAAAAAAAGAAATCAATTATACCAGATAAATGAATTTGATAAGAAGAAAACACTTCAAAATATATATCATAAAACATCCAAACTATAATGTATAGAAAATTTCGTCAAAAAGACATTCTGGAAGCGGATGGTAAGGGTTGATGTTCAGATGACCTTTCAACTCACCAATCATATTGTGACTGGTAAATTTACCATTTATGCTGCTGTCAGATCTTAATAACAGTGATCATGAAGATCTGTATGTCATTCAAATTAAATCTACCAACATACTCTTACTGATCCATTGCTTTATATGTATGACCTTCAAGCTAAGAATACACTAACACTGATTTCTTATCTCAAATAAACATAAAAACTATTACACAGCAAATATTGGTGTGACGAAGGGTCACAGGAGGCATCACATGTCTGTTTTGAAGACAAACAAGTTTGTAAGCACTTTACAGGTAACATTTTATTGCAAAAATCTTAATGGACCTGCAAATATTAATACAGTCCATAGTCAAAGCTTGTCAGAAAACAAAAGTAGATCACTAACTCCACCCTTATTTCATAAACAAACAACCCAGGTATAACTGGTCAAACTGATAATGAAAACAGCCTGACTAACGTCTGGGATATTGTTATTACATATAGGTACCAGTCAATATAATTACCTACATTGCATGTACATAAGTATGCAGGCAAAATTCATGAATACCCTATAGAAAGCACTCTAACACAATCTTGTCTCATTCAACACATTTTCTACTTCAAGTTAACCAAACATTTGATCAATATTGCCTTTAGCCTGTTTCTCTAAACATCATGACTTATCACATTACGTTTTTACCTAGAGGGTATATGACACTGTCTATGTATACATGATAAGCTTATCAAAGCTGGCAATTTACTAGACAAGTTTGTTTCCTGTTTACAGTTACTGTACAAACAGTCTTGCACTGGAGAGTGCTTTATCTATTTATTAATTTATGTATTGTTGTTTTCTAAGACTTTGCCCATTAGAAAATTTAGATTTCACAGAAAAAAATTGTGTTTACTATGAAATGAAAAGTTAGGTACAATTTTTGGGAATGTACTTGAAAACACTTTCATTCACCAGCAAATATTTCCTTTTACAACACTTGTCACTACATTCATCCTGAGGCCAAATTATCACAAAAAACAATTCAATTTTAGAACAGAGTGTAAAATGTTCCCTTCATAATGACATAACCATATACTTTGTTAAGTTAATTTGGAATGTACCAAATGACCAAACTCAACAATCTTTTCAGAGGTGGAGATTGTCAAATTGTTAAAAGAATGAGTTCAGTACACCTTCATTGATGATGCTAGAGAAGATTGTAACTGAGGATCTGATGAAAGGCAAACCTGGCAGTGTAAACACTACAAATATCATATATCTCTGCTGGCATGTGTATTGACCAGCCAAATCTACCCGAGTGGTAAACAACCCCAGTTCGTTACTATATATAGTATGCACCGGTACACCTGATTAATATATATAACCATCAGATGACCTTAGATATACCGGTGATAAGAAAAATGTCTAATCCGTGATATCACAAGGTTGCATTAAAAGATCCACATCTTTCCAATTTGATGATGTTTTTTTGTACCAAAGGTAAAATGTATACCAACAGTAAACTGTTAATTTGAATTATTCTGACCTTTTATGAATAGAGGTTATATGAAACCAAACTTCGTTAAAGTTCATCATTGCAACAGCAGGAGACATATTTGAAAGAGTATGTTAATACAATTTACCTTGAACCAGCCCCACAAATTACACAAAATTTTGCACTTATCCCAGATGGCTGCTCTTTGTCAAAATATGTTCATCCCAACAGAAGAAAGATTTTGAAGTTATTCCTTTATTTCCCTACTGCAGGTTGAACAATGAGAGTTAGACCCATCATTTATATGAAACCTCATTAACCCACTTCATGCAAAATTCAGACAGAATCCTTTCATTCCAAAAAAAGAAGATAGGTTTCTTAGAATTCAATTCCCCTCTTGAGCCCCATCCCACAGGCATGTTTATCAATTAAAGTTGGCCAAACATTCCATTAGTGTTTTAGGGACAAATAAATTGACTTATGATGGAAGACATATTATGACTAGCTCACCAGTCCTATGGACCCATTGATGTAACGAGATCCCAGAGTGATCTTGGTACCCACCATTGTGTGATCTTTATTTGTTTTCTAAATATTTAGATTGTTCCCCTTCTTTTCTCTTCTTTCCTTTTATTTGCTCTTTATCGTATAAAATTTGAATTTTTGTTTTATCAGTAGCAAAACTGAAAGGGCACATTACAATTGGGGATCAAGTGGAACATGCATTACAAATTAGAGAAAGATCTATCCAGTCCTTCTGGAAAAAGAGCAAAAACAAATTTTTCATTGTCAAAATCCAAGACGGCAGCCATTTATTTTTCTAATCAGTCCAAAAATCAAAAGGGTACAACTAGAGACCAAAGGTAACTTCCATACAGAATATTGGAAAGATCCATACAGAACCCCTCCAGAAGTAGTGATGACAAGAATTGTCTAAGGAAGGCAGATAAATCATGGACATAGGGCGATTTGAACAGCCCACTTTCTGAAGACAGTAACATGACTAGAAATCATGTTAGATAGTTTCATTGCACTGCTACCTGTCTATAAGACTAACCTTGATTGTGGGAGGACTTTGCCGACAAATAGGAAGATAGCTTTTTCTGATGGTAGTTGAATACGTTTACGAATAATCCACATGAACTGTGCTACAGAAATGTCATTAGGAACAAGAAATTTCCGTTTGTCTATATCCTGTATCTGTGATTTGGGGTCCTTCTCAACAATCACCTGTAAAAGATAAATAGGCATTTACATATTTGGATATATATGTAGTTATAATAGTAATAACATGTAGTTTGAAAGTATTAATATAAAATAATTTATCATGATTTATCAGACTCTGATTAAATTCATTTAGCATGTCAAGTAAACAATATTTATAACCATGTTATTTCTCCATGGTTGTTCAAACTTCAATATTCTTTAATAAGTTGTTTATTTTTCGCATACAAACTTGAATATACAAATTAATAACAAACTGAGTTTACCACATCATTAAAAGGATTCTTTATTAATACTTACAGGAATCCTTTCTGGGTATTTATCCTTGATCTTAGTTGACTCTGCAATTCTTTGTTCTTAAAGGAAAGAAGAAAAACAATATGTAAATAATTTTACAAAGACCAAACCTTCATGTGCTCATTCTAGGTAGATTTATATAGGACAAAATAAGAGCTTCATTCTGCCATTGTTGAGTCAAGCTGTCCCACTAGAAACATTGAAGTTGAAATAACCCCATCTATTTTCTGGAAGTCATTAAAATTTTAAAGAAGGACCCCAGATAATCCCAACAGGACCATTTATAACATATCCAGCTAATTTAAACCCTAATGTTTAAAATCAGTACTGTGCAGTCATGACTAAAAGATACCATGTCATCAACCAAAATTATTAAGGATTTTCCTTAATTTTCTTAAAAATGTATGCGAGTTAGGTGACATAGAGAATACTATACTAGCGTCCATTTCACATTAGACCAGTCCAACAATTTAATACATGTACTGGTACAAACTTAGAAATAAATTTTATAAAAACCAGTAAGATCCATTGTAAACAAGTATGAGTGACAAAGCATTTACAGAATATAAACGGTTATTACAAATCATGTCCTAACAGACTGAATGTACTAAATATACAATTTCTAAACTACATAGTGTGAACATCCATATCATATACAATTAATGACACAATTTAAATATGACTTCTGTTCAAAACAAAAAGTTTCCTTCCAGTTTGCATACCAAGTATCATTTGTATTCATGGTCAAATATTTCTTCTTCACCAAAAATTATTTTGAAAAGTCTAGAAATCTATTGAAAACAGAAGGGTAAACATTTTTCAATTAAGAATGTATTCCTTTGAATCAAGTGAAAGCACATTGATGATTGTGACTTGTCAGGAATATGTTACCAACTTCTTAAGAATCAACGGAATGCCCTGATTCATGTAATTAAGAAGTATTGTTTGAATTGTGGAGTAAACAACAAAACACTTAATCACAAACCTGTTCTACCTGTCATAGTGTCATTTCAGTATAAGGTGTTATAAACAAGTGCACACAAGTTTATAGGTCAAGGGTATGTGTTGTAATGTCACTGTAGTAAACATATATAGGTTGCATGGATACATAAAGAAAACAACATATACATGAATAATCAAACCGTTGTACAGCTTACAGTAATTCCAATATCTCTGTTAAGACATTTCTCTGTATCTATAGAACTTTTTTGTTTTCTTCCATTTCTTTATAGATTCAATTTTGACAACATCAATAACTATATGACAAATTAATGTAATCTACTTTTCAACAGAGAGTCACTATTCATTACTTTGAATATGTACAATAAATTAGTAATGGCATCACAACAGCCAGGAATGTATATATCCCTGCAACAGCTAAAGTCTTCTTTCAGGGAATTAAATTCCTCCACTAATTTTGATGATTTTGAAAGTGAAGACAGTAAATCAAAATGCTTCTATGTATTGAGAAATCTGCTTAGAAACTGTACTTTGGGTGATTTCATTTATAAATTGAATTTCTCATCAAACTATCAGGGATAATTACAATGCAACACTTATAAATAGATGGTACCAGATTATATGAATATTAAATGAACATAATAAACCTGTATACATATGAACTTGTATGGATTCATTGGTAATAACTTCTATAAGTTTATTGATAATATTGTAAGCAAGAGACATACGTAGCACAATGAATATCGATCCGACTTTATTTATGACACAATATTTGAAAATGAAACAAATGTTTGTATGCATTTGGCACATTTAGAATTTTAAAATGGAATACTCTACTGTACAATCAACAAAAACAAACACGAGTGTTTAAAACAAAGTTTCATAACATCTAATTCGAATTAGATGTCTGTGTTCGTACACTAAGGAACTAAATGACATGCCTAACTATTTTTAGAACTTGCTATGACAAGATTCACGTGATTCTGTGTGTTTACTTTATTTTGAAATATATAGTTTTTGTCAACTTCTCCGTTTCCAAATTAGTGGTTATTGTCATTTGAAACGATCTTAGGAATCTACATAACGAATGAAAAGTGATAGAAATTATATCGATTCTAAATCCATAAGGAGGTTTCACAACACGAGTATTTTATCCTGATAGTGACAGTATACATACTGAAAATTACCAAACCAAGTAATCAAATCAGCCAAAAGAAAGTAGTCCCAATTGATTTTATCCGGCTAAATCAATGACTATACATACCAAGAGTGTGTTCTTCCCTAAATTTAAACTTCATATTGTTACTGGTGGCGGAAAAGCCAAACAACAAACTGGTGACAACTGTAAACAAAGACAGACAGCTGACTGCGTCAAAATGGTTCTCTTCTGTTCCTTTGGTCTATGACGTCATAACAGGAAATGGACGTTCGGCAACCTTGCTTCGTAAGTAAAATGCAAAGAAGTCCGATGAACGATGTCCATACGTAGAAAAATGGCGAACGGAACAAACCTTGTGGACAGCGAATACAAAGAAAATTTGAGGTATTATACGACTTAAACATTAATCAACATCATGATTCTGTTCTTTGTAAATAATCATATGTACTAAGTGAACTTATAGCAAGATCAATGTTGATAATTTCAGGGCCAAAAGTAATTTTTTTAAAATCAATGAGGCAGCGGGTTTTAGGTTAGGCTAGTACTAGTTTTGTAACGAAGAATTATCTGGAAAATTAATGTGAATTTTGAAGAGCAAATGAAAAGTACATTTTCGTCTTTGTTGGATACAATTGGATACATACATTGAATTTCCTACACACCATCTCCTCTAAGAATATATAGTCCTATTAGTTATACACGTTCTAGAGTCAATGACCTGAGAACTATTTGGGCCTATCGCAACGTATCTATAAAATCAGAAGAATAGGTCAACCTGTAAAGTTATTTCTTCTGTGATGTACATTTATCTTATTTTATAGAAAACCTTGTCTTGTCCAAATATCTGGCCCATTCGTGTTTCTCGGTCAGAAAGATATATATTTCTGTTGCAATGATGTGTATAAACACGAATGTTAACCTTAGAAAGGTGGCGAGTTTTTCTTTTCAGCTAAAAATCTCCTATATCTATGTAGGACCAATTTTCTGTATCCAGACATCACCTCTGTATCTTTTATAAACTCGCATCTCAGACACTTTTATTGAGTTGGGGACATATAGTGTTATCCATGTAGTAATGCCCATTTTGTGACATTAGATGAGCATTAGTCCAGGTTAAAAGATCAAAGGTCACATAATGTATGGGAGGGAGAGCATTCATATTTTGCAGGGATTTTTGGTTTCTTTCTAAATAAACTTGTTTGTATAACCGGCATTGACTACAAATATTTTGTTGTCCTACCTACAGTCAATACATGTATCACATGACATCATCTCTTTAATGATTGCAAGGGGTGAACTTACCCATAAATGGTAGGACTAGGCAGCCTTAGGGCCTCAGACAGGCAATCAATAAGGGGAAAAATTGTGTCATGTCCAATACAGATGCTTATCTAGGGTTTTAGCTTATGAAAACCAATTGTGAGCAGAAAACATCAAAGATTTTAGACATTTTAAAAAATTTTGATACTTGATTTATGTAGGAAATATTCAGTGCAAGGAAATATATAAATAAGCAGGATATCATACTATCAATATCTTAGATCATAATAAGTGAATTTCTCAGTATATGTCAAGCTAATAAATACCCGTTTGAGTACAGCTGTGGTGCATGTAAACCCTGTGGTCTCGGACAACGAGCTTTACCATGTGTATTTCAGTGAAATGAAATCCTGCTTTATCATTTACAATTGCTTAAAAAACAATAATTTTTGTGTTTCAGTGAAGGGGAGACAACCAGCAGTGAGGATGACACTACAGAGCTAAGAAGTGAAGCACATGTTAAACCATCGGCACCCACATCAAAGAAAGATAAGAAAAAACATAAACACAAACATAAACACAAACATAAGCATGGAAGTGACAGACACAAGCACAAGCACAAGCGTAAGAAGCATAAAACTGATAAAACTGAAGAAAATCCTCATCCAAAAAAGAAAATGCGTCTTGAAGACAGTGATTTAGAAAAACTAGAGGCTGCTAGAGAAGCTCTGAAAGCAGTTCTGAATGCTGAAGGGGACGAATCAATGGTTAATTCCATGAACCTTATCGCACAGGGTTATGCAGATAGTGAAGAGGAGGAAGAAGAAGAAGGGGAGATTGATCATGAGGAAACAAAGGCAGAAAAAGTGAAAAGACGGGAATGGCAAATGTTGGAAATGGCTTTAGCAAATAAAAGGAAAGAGACGGAAGAAATCGAGGCAACTTCAGATATTGAAATTACTGGTGTAGAAAATATGAAAAAATCAAATTCTGGTAGCAAAAAGGGTAAAAGAAGTGATAGTAGTCATATACGAAATGAAAGTAAAGACAGGAGAAACAAAGAGAAAAAAGACTCAAGTAGAAAGAAAATATCAAGGAGTAAGTCTCCAAAAGGGAGACATGACAATCATACCACTGATAAAGATCGTGATCACAAAAGTGAACGTGATGATAGGGCATACAGGATGGAACGCAGCAGACCTACAAGTAGGTCACCCGTCCGACGAAGATCTCCCAAAGAGAGAGAAATTTCACCCCGCAAGTAAGCCTGTTTTCTAATAAAGAAAACTGCCATGGAATATTAAATATCTGAAGTCTTATAGTGTTCTCAAAATTTCCACCAAATGTTCGTATCAATGTTGATAACAATCCAGCATTAAATATAAACATAGTAGGGATTGTATGAGGTATCTATACACAAAGTCTTTTGTTTTGCTAATTTTCTGTTTGTATACATTTTCTCTAGGGAAAGTAGCAGAATGGATGAAAGGAGAGTCAGAGAAGATGAGAGAGACATAGAGTGGAAAAGGAAGCGATCACCCGAAAGACGATCTTCTTCTTTACGACAATCTTCTCCATCTCGACGACCATCTCCCGGTCGACGAAGTCCTCCCAGACGATCTCCACCTGCTCGACGATCTCCACCTGCTCGACGATCTTCACCTAGCCGAAGATCTCCTTTGCGTCGACTTTCCCCTTCACAACGTTCTTCACCAACACGAAGAAGATCACCTGATCGGAGGTCTCCAGGAAGGTTAGGGGATAGATTTAGGAGGTCTCCTGGAAGGAATAGGTAAAGCATTGATTTACAGTTCTACGTAATGATTCTATTTTGTTGTTGGTAAGATAAACTCAAACCAAATATGATTCTAGAATGAAAAAAATACTGTATCCTGTTTTGGCAGTATTAATTCTTATGCCTAGAAAGGGTTCAAATAAGAAATTGCCTGCCTCTGTTGGTTGTGTGTTACCATGTCCAAATATCAATAAATAAAATGCCATGCATCATATGCAGTTATGTGTATTCACGGGTAAAATTCTGATATTAAATGCCTGCACTGATTGTGTCTGAGCTATCTATTTTTGAGATATTCTGAAATCTTTAAAGTATGTTCATACTACCTTATGTTATATAGAAAACTCAATACTCTCACAGCTGAATCTAATTGGTAATTTGCAGACGAACATATGACACTGATAGAAGCAGAGATCGCCGTGGACGGCGAAGTAGATCACGTGATCGACACAATCGGTCAAAAGACAAACCTGAAGACAAGTTTAAAGGAAGTCTGTCGGAGGGCATGATAAAGGGCAAGGAAGAATCTGACGAGGAGTAAGTCTTTCTGTGTAGGATTTGTAAGGGCTGGGAGAGGAAGAAATGAAAAAAAAATATGGATATGTCAATATCAGCTTTTAAAAATTCAGAGGAAATCTGAATGCTATCATTAATTGGTGTTTCTACAATTTCAAGTATGTAAATAAGATAGTCATATGTATATGATTGCTCAATGGGTTTAACAGATTTGGTCAAAATATCTTTGTGAGTTTAAGTATAAATAATTCTTTGTGATTTTTAAAATATTTTCCATTTTTCCTTATTTTCCTTAAATTTTCTTACAAAAAGTTCAAGTAGTCAGCCATGACCGCAGATTACATTTTCTATATAACAGATTAGACCTTGATTTCTCGAGTGATGAAGATGATGAGGATGCACTGATAGAGAAAAGGCGGAAAGAAAGGGAGGCTTTATTACAGGTAATAGTTGAATTATAAAAATTGGGACAAAGTGTGATGTATGCTATAGATAGTACTTGTTTTGGAAGGATAAAACTAAATTGGTATGTTGCACTGTAATCTATGGATTGGTCATTGGATCAATAGCATAATTATTTAAGAGAAACACACATGCTATATAGCAGTAGGTGTGGGAAACAACCTATTCAATGGCTACTATAAATAAAACATGGATGTCAACTTTTATATTTTATATCTCCTGTTGGATAATATATATAAGCAAATACCAAATACGTTGCTAAGTTTATGTCAAAGGTTCTGGGAGACAAACCCTGTCCAAAACACAATTAATTAATTATGAAGATTAATCTGCCAATATATATGGAAAAGAAAGTTATTTTGGAATTTGTGGTTGATTGGATTTTAACAAAAGCAGATGTTTAGGTGGGGATTTTTTTTATATAAGGTCTTTGATTATCTAAAGGCAATACAAATGTCTCACTTGTTATGAAATAAATTGGATTACCTATCATAAACTCTTCATCTTTTTGTGATTCTTAACAACAGCCTCTGTCTGTATAACTTGGAAAATTGTAGTAATGCTCTCTTTAAAATAAGGAAGATATTCTTGATTATTTATCCGTTTGGGAAAATAGCATAGTGTTTGATAGGGAAATAGCCTATTTTTGGCAGTAAAACAGGACAGAAAAATCACTGTGTACATGATGTATATGAAACTCAACAAGAATGAAATGATTTGCAGCTTTTTCAGTTTTCATGTGAAAAGAAGTGGCTCATAATTAATTTTGATATAACAAATCATTATCTTCTATAGAAACTGAAACCTGTGGTAACAGAGGATAATGAGGAGGATAGTCGTCTGACCACAGATGGTGGGGAGACCATGGCCACCCACAGTGGTAGTGACTCTTCTTCCTCTTCTGACAGTGATGACCTTGTAGGTGAGGAGGACATATACGACTTTGAGGAGTCCATGGACAAAAAGAGGGAAACATTGCAAGATGTCACAGCAATCAACACCAAGGGAGGTAAGTCATAATTACTGTTAATACTTTTGTTCAAGGCTTTTTGTTCTTAATGGGAATTTCCAATAATTTGGAGGGTAAAAGCTGTTTGCTTTGTGTTACCTTGTACTAGTGTCATAAAAAAATCCAAAGTTGTTTTACTTATTTTGGTCATGGTAAGCTTCAATGCTCATGTACAAATACTCTTTAATGTGCTTGAGCATTTTATATGATGTTGACATATCCTTACTCATGTTTCTATTTATCATCCAGAAAAGGCCGTGTCAGAGCCAGAGAAGTCTGCACTCAAGAAGTCGGATATGTTCTCTGAAACCACAGATATGTTCAATGAAAATTACATCTTCAATGTAAGATATTGTAAAAACATAATGAATAAAGCATGTTTTTTTTTACATCTAATAGGAAACAAAATGCATTGAAGGAATTACTGTACAAATCACCACAAAATATATGTATTACAAGAATGAAATCGTGTCTTATCTGGTGATGTATTTGTTTCTTGATGGATAAAATAGATCCTTTGATTGTAAGAATTTCGAGTGTTGATCGAAGAGAAATCTGCAAATAGAAGCATTACGGTAAAAATAATAAATTGTGTCTTTTGATGTTTCCATAAAATGATAAAGTTTTGTTCATTTAATATTCTTTACTGATTGCAGCAAAGTCCAAGTAGTGCTTACCAGTTTATGTCATCTGCTCATGAAAATGCAAACCTCACAGACAACTGGGATGATGCCGAGGGTTACTACAGTAAGTAACAGGGACTGGCTACTTGAACATTACAAAAACCAAGGGTTTTGAGTGTCATTAAATATTGGAAGAACGAAATGACTTCAGTATTCTTCATTGGGTTAGTAGGTTAAAACATGATGTCTGGTTTCATTAAATTTCCTCATAACAATTCTTTACAATCTATATAAAATCATATGGTGTTAATGTAGACATAATCTTCATCGTAGAATATTTCCATGATGCGATGAATTTCTGTTTGAATATACTTACGACCAATGTGAAATTCTAGATGGTCGTTCTTATTGATTGTTGTTGTCTGTGGATAATTTCAAAACATACATTGAAATCTTATTCTGTTTCTCAAATGATGATTTCCATGGTAACATGAATATGTTTTCTCCTACAGGAGTACGTATTGGTGAAAGCCTGGACAAACGTTACACAGTGTTTGGTTTTACGGGACAGGGGGTGTTCAGTAACGTAGTACGGGCCCGTGACACTGCCAGGACTGGACAAGATGTGGCTATAAAAATCATCAGAAACAATGAAATGATGTAAGTATCAATCTGTGGTAAGGAAAAAACATGGGTGGATCAAATACAGTCGAATTAACAAAAAAAGGCTGTGATCTTTTTTCTTACTTAATACAAGCTAAGACCCCTCACAGTTTTATTTATCTAGATTAATAATCCCATATACATCAAATCCATGTGCAACCACTTGGATTTTGAAATCAAAAGGTTGTCAGTACTGTTTCTCAGTACAAAACAGATTATTTGCTAAGTTCTTCAGTTTTTTGATTTGCAGTTTGTAACTGCAATTTTTAATAATTAAGTGGGGACCTTTGTCAAAATTCAGTTGTTAGTTATCTGGTTTGATTTCTAATATTGGGTTTCAGGATGATCAAAACTAAGATTGTCATCAAGCAGACATTTTGAATTTTAGAAATATAGCTTTTTATTGTTAGTGGTATTTTCATATAATTTTTCTGAAATTCGCCCATGATCATAGGTTGATATTACTTTTTGAAATGGTTGGAGACATAAGATGTGTGATTGGTGGCCTTTAATGATTTTGAGAGTTAAAAATTGGTGATGTTGAAGATAGGCCTGACTGGATTTGTTTCTGAGAAAATTCAACAGAGTTGGTTCACAGATACAGAATTAAGATTGATTGTAACTGATGATGACTGGTTGGTAGCCATATTTTATTCCCTAAGTGAAAGGTTGTTAGCTTTCTTAAATTTCACAAGTAAGTTCTCTGAGGACCATAATTGTGCATGTTGAATTTTAGGATTGATCTGAAATCAATTTAACCGAATGCAGCCATATGAAAAAAAAAGTAAGGGATTGTTTTTCGGTAAGTCTCCAATGTTGAATGACGTTTCCACCTGATTCAATATGAGGCATACAAAAATATAATCAAGAGGAAAAAATGAAACTGGAACAGAACCATTGTAAATCATACTGTGCCCATCTCCTTGACGGGTGGGTTGGTCTAAGTGCTTGAGTTTGTGACACAAGGGTTTGAAGTTTGAGAGGGGAAATGTAATATTTAGTAGACAGTTGGAAAAGTCATAGTATATGTTACCCTAGAAAAAGAATCTTGTGGTATTGATGATACTTTGTTCTAAATGTTCTGTTGGTTTATATATTTGACCCTCTATATGGTCGTTTTTAGGCACAAGACAGGTCTGAAGGAACTTGAATTTTTGAGGAAGCTAAATGATGCTGATCCAGATGATAAATTCCACTGCTTGAGGTTGTACAGACACTTTTTCCACAAAAACCATCTTTGCCTTGTGTTCGAATCTTTGAGGTAAGTGAAAAAAGTAGTAATGTACTGGATTTTAAACAGAACTGTGCAGTTTGACAACCTTTTTTATCAAGTGAAAACGAAAATATGATTTTCCCTGCTTGCAATAATAAATAGACTACTACATGTTTTCAAAATAAGATTAGTATTTAGTACCAATGGTCTGTTTTTACCAGTATGAACCTGAGTGATGTTAGATTTAATGTCTGTTTTTACCAATATGAACTTGAGTGATGTTTAATATATTGTCTGTTTTTACCAATACATGAACCTGAGTGATGTTAAATTTAATGTCTGTTTTTACCAGTACGAACTTGGATGATGATAACTTTAACATCTGTTTGTACCAGTATGAACCTGGATGATGTTAATTTCAATGTCTGTTTGTACCAGTACGAACCTGGATGATGTTAATTTTAATGTCTGTTTGTACCAGTACGAACCTGGATGATGTTAATTTTAATGTCTGTTTGTACCAGTACGAACCTGGATGATGTTAATTTTAATGTCTGTTTGTACCAGTACGAACCTGGATGATGTTAATTTCAATGTCTGTTTGTACCAGTACGAACCTGGATGATGTTAATTTTAATGTCTGTTTGTACCAGTACGAACCTGGATGATGTTAATTTTAATGTCTGCTTGTACCAGTACGAACCTGGATGATGTTAATTTTAATGTCTGCTTGTACCAGTACGAACCTGGATGATGTTAATTTAATGTCTGTTTGTACCAGTATGAACCTGGATGATGTTAATTTTAATGTCTGCTTGTACCAGTACAAACCTGGATGATGATAATTTTAACATTTGTTTGTACCAGTACGAACCTGGATGATGTTAATTTTAATGTCTGTTTGTACCAGTACGAACCTGGATGATGTTAATTGTAATGTCTGTTTGTACCAGTACGAACCTGGATGATTATAATTTTAATGTCTGCTTGTACCAGTACGAACCTGGATGATGTTAATTTTGATGCTTTTTGTACCAGTATGAACCTTAGAGAAGTCTTGAAGAAATACGGGAAAGACATTGGCCTACACATCAAAGCAGTACGTTCCTATGCCCAGCAACTCTTTCTGGCCCTCAAACTCCTGAAGAGGGCTAGCATCCTCCATGCCGACATTAAACCTGACAATATTCTGGTGTGTATAAATCTGCCAGGCTGTGCTTGTTCAGAGTCTGTTGATGTTTTAGAGTTAATAAAGGAAAAAACAAATTGATCTTTAAACAAAAGTAATTCTTTTATCATTCCAGTCTGAACTGTCAAAATATGTAGCCATGGAATTTATGATAGGATGTCCTCTATTTCATGTCATTCATATCTGAAATTTTCACTGTCAACTCTAAAATGAGCAAACAGGGCCTTGAGAACAATTAAAGGAAATATTTGTAACTTTACATGTTATTATGCATCTTATTTTTATCATTCATTCCAAATCCCTTAGCTGTACTTCAAACTTTGGTTAGACTTTTATTTAAGTTCATATCTCTGTCAAAAATGATTTGATGGTTTTCAGCTTTGAGATTCCTTTTTCAGTCTGAAAATATGAATGATAAAGGTTAAAAAGCTATTGTGATTTTAAGATCTTTTAAACCTAAGTATTCTGTTTTGTTTGAGGCAAAAAGGAGTGACTGATTGTTTTCTTAGAATAAGTGTTTCTATGAATTTGAAAGAGGTATTTAAGAAATATGTTTCAAAATTTTTATATACTTTAATCAATTTTATTTTGTTTATACCAAATTTGTTCTCAATGAAAAGTTCTTACCTTCCAGGTGAATGAATCTAAATTACTTTTAAAGTTGTGTGACTTTGGCTCTGCCTCCCATGTTTCTGAGAATGACATTACACCATATTTGGTGAGTCGTTTCTACCGAGCCCCGGAGATCATCATTGGAATGGGGTACCATCACAGTGCTGACCTGTGGTCTGTAGGGGCTACCATCTTCGAGCTGTACACAGGTAAAATCCTCTTCCCTGGCTCCTCTAACAACGAGATGTTAAAATATATGATGGACGTTAAGGGCAAGATGCCCAACAAGATGATCAGGAAGGGTATGTTTAAGGACCAACATTTTGATCCCAGCTACAACTTCCTGTACCACGAAGTGGATAAAGTGACACACAGGGTAAGTTTAAACACACCCCACTTACATGTCTACAACGTCACACCCCACTTACATGTCTACAAATGTACACCTTACGTGTCTGCAACATCACACCCCACTTACAAGTCTACAACATCACACCCCACTTACAAGTCTACAACATCACACCCCACTTACAAGTCTACAACATCACACCCCACTTACAACTTACAAGTCTACAACATCACACCCCACTTACAAGTCTACATCACACCCCACTTACAAGTCTACAACGCCACACCACACTGTGAAGTGTTTTAATTCGGTACATCACACCCCACTTACAAGTCTACAACATCACACCCCACTTACAAGTCTACAACATCACACCCCACTTACAAGTCTACAACATCACACCCCACTTACAAGTCTACATCACACCCCACTTACAAGTCTACATCACACCCCACTTACAAGTCTACATCACACCCCACTTACAAGTCTACAACATCACACCCCACTTACAAGTCTACAACATCACACCCCACTTACAAGTCTACATCACACCCCACAAGTCTACATCACACCCCACTTACAAGTCTACAACATCTACAACATCACACCCCACTTACAAGTCTACAACATCACACCCCACTTACAAGTCTACAACATCACACCCCACTTACAAGTCTACAACATCACACCCCACTTACAAGTCTACAACATCACACCCCACTTACAAGTCTACAACATCACACCCCACTTACAAGTCTACAACATCACACCCCACTTACAAGTCTACAACAACACACCCCACTTACAAGTCTACAACATCACACCCCACTTACAAGTCTACAACATCACACCCCACTTACAAGTCTACAACATCACACCCCACTTACAAGTCTACAACATCACACCCCACTTACAAGTCTACAACATCACACCCCACTTACAAGTCTCACACCCCACAACATCACACCCCACTTACAAGTCTACAACATCACACCCCACTTACAAGTCTACAACATCACACCCCACTTACAAGTCACACCCCACTTACAAGTACAACATCACACCCCAACATCACACCCCACTTACAAGTCTATCACACCCCACTTACAACATCACACCCCACTTACAAGTCTACAACATCACACCCCACTTACAAGTCTACAACATCACACCCCACTTACAAGTCTACATCACACCCCACTTACAAGTCTACAACATCACACCCCACTTACAAGTCTACATCACACCCCACTTACAAGTCACACCCCACTTACAAGTCTACAACATCACACCCCACTTACAAGTCTACAACATCACACCCCACTTACAAGTCTACAAATCCACACCCCACTTACAAGTCTACAACATCACACCCCACTTACAAGTCTACATCACACACTTACAAGTCTACAACATCACACCCCACTTACAAGTCTACATCACACCCCACTTACAAGTCTACATCATCACACCCCACTTACAAGTCTACAACATCACACCCCACTTACAAGTCTACAACATCACACCCCACTTACAAGTCTACAACATCACACCCCACTTACAAGTCTACAAGTCTACATCACACCCCACTTACAAGTCTACAACATCACACCCCACTTACAAGTCTACATCACACCCCACTTACAAGTCTACATCACACCCCACTTACAAGTCTACAACATCACACCCCACTTACAAGTCTACAACATCACACCCCACTTACAAGTCTACAACATCACACCCCACTTACAAGTCTACAACATCACACCCCACTTACAAGTCTACATCACACCCCACTTACAAGTCTACAACATCACACCCCACTTACAAGTCTCACACCCCACTTACAAGTCTACAAATCACACCCCACTTACAAGTCTACAACATCACACCCCACTTACAAGTCTACATCACACCCCACTTACAAGTCTACCACACACCCCACTTACAAGTCTACATCACACCCCACTTACAAGTCTACATCACACCCCACTTACAAGTCTACATCACACCCCACTTACAAGTCTACATCACACCCCACTTACAGTCTACAACATCACACCCCACTTACAGTCTCACACTACATCACACCCCACTTACAAGTCTACATCACACCCCACTTACAAGTCTACATCACACCCCAACATCACACCCCTCTTACAAGTCTACATCACACCCCACTTACAAGTCTACAACATCACACCCCACTTACAAGTCTACTCACACCCCACTTACAAGTCTACATCACACCCCACTTACAAGTCTACATCACACACTTACAAGTCTACATCACACCCCACTTACAAGTCACACCCCACTTACAAACATCACACCCCACTTACAAGTCTCACACCCCACTTACATCACACAACATCACACCCCACTTACAAGTCTACTTACAACATCACACCCCACTTACAAGTCTACAACATCACACCCCACTTACAAGTCTACATCACACCCCACTTACAAGTCTACATCACACCCCACTTACAAGTCTACAACTACACACCCCACTTACAAGTCTACTACATCACACCCCACTTACAAGTCTACAACATCACACCCCACTTACAAGTCTACAACATCACACCCCACTTACAAGTCTACAACATCACACCCCACTTACAAGTCTACAACATCACACCCCACTTACAAGTCTACAACATCACACCCCACTTACATGTCTACAACATCACACCCCACTTACAAGTCTACAACATCACACCCCACTTACAAGTCTACAACATCACACCCCACTTACAAGTCTACAACATCACACCCCACTTACAAGTCTTCAACATCACACCCCACTTACAAGTCTACAACATCACACCCCACTTACAAGTCTACAACATCACACCCCACTTACAAGTCTACAACATCACACCCCACTTACAAGTCTACAACATCACACCCCACTTACAAGTCTACAACATCACACCCCACTTACAAGTCTACAACATCACACCCCACTTACAAGTCTACAACATCACACCCCACTTACAAGTCTACAACATCACACCCCACTTACAAGTCTACATCACACCCCACTTACAAGTCTACATCACACCCCACTTACAAGTCTACAACATCACACCCCACTTACAAGTCTACAAAATCACACCCCACTTACAAGTCTACAACATCACACCCCACTTACAAGTCTACAACATCACACCCCACTTACAAGTCTACAACATCACACCCCACTTACAAGTCTACAAAGCCACACCCCACTTACAAGTCTACAACATCACACCCCACTTACAAGTCCACACCCCACTTAAAAGTCTACCACATCACACCCCACTTACAAGTCTACAACATCACACCCCACTTACAAGTCTACATCACACCCCACTTACAAGTCTACATCACACCCCACTTACAAGTCTACAACATCACACCCCACTTACAAGTCTACAACATCACACCCCACTTACAAGTCTACAACATCACACCCCACTTACAAGTCTACATCACACCCCACTTACAAGTCTACAAAGCCACACCCCACTTACAAGTCTACAACATCACACCCCACTTACAAGTCTACAACATCACACCCCACTTACAAGTCTACAACATCACACCCCACTTACAAGTCTACATCACACCCCACTTACAAGTCTACAAAGCCACACCCCACTTACAAGTCTACAACATCACACCCCACTTACAAGTCTACATACACCCCACTTACAAGTCTACATCACACCCCACTTACAAGTCTACATCACACCCCACTTACAAGTCTACATCACACCCCACTTACAAGTCTACAAAGCCACACCCCACTTACAAGTCTACAACATCACACCCCACTTACAAGTCTACATCACACCCCACTTACAAGTCTACAACATCACACCCCACTTACAAGTCTACAAAGCCACACCCCACTTACAAGTCTACAACATCACACCCCACTTACAAGTCTACATCACACCCCACTTACAAGTCTACATCACACCCCACTTACAAGTCTACATCACACCCCACTTACAAGTCTACATCACACCCCACTTACAAGTCTACATCACACCCCACTTACAAGTCTACAAAGCCACACCCCACTTACAAGTCTACAACATCACACCCCACTTACAAGTCTACATACACCCCACTTACAAGTCTACATCACACCCCACTTACAAGTCTACATCACACCCCACTTACAAGTCTACATCACACCCCACTTACAAGTCTACAAAGCCACACCCCACTTACAAGTCTACAACATCACACCCCACTTACATGTCTACATCACACCCCACTTACAAGTCTACATCACACCCCACTTACAAGTCTACATCACACCCCACTTACAAGTCTACATCACACCCCACTTACAAGTCTACATCACACCCCACTTACAAGTCTACATCACACCCCACTTACAAGTCTACATACACCCCACTTACAAGTCTACATCACACCCCACTTACAAGTCTACATCACACCCCACTTACATGTCTACATCACACCCCACTTACAAGTCTACAACATCACACCCCACTTACATGTCTACATCACACCCCACTTACAAGTCTACATCACACCCCACTTACAAGTCTACATACACCCCACTTACAAGTCTACATCACACCCCACTTACAAGTCTACATCACACCCCACTTACAAGTCTACATCACACCCCACTTACAAGTCTACAAAGCCACACCCCACTTACAAGTCTACAACATCACACCCCACTTACATGTCTACATCACACCCCACTTACAAGTCTACATCACACCCCACTTACAAGTCTACATCACACCCCACTTACAAGTCTACAAAGCCACACCCCACTTACAAGTCTACAACGTCACACCCCACTTACAAGTCTACATCACACCCCACTTACAAGTCTACATCACACCCCACTTACAAGTCTACAACATCACACCCCACTTACAAGTCTACAAAGCCACACCCCACTTACAAGTCTACATCACACCCCACTTACAAGTCTACATCACACCCCACTTACAAGTCTACAAAGCCACACCCCACTTACAAGTCTACAACATCACACCCCACTTACAAGTCTACAACATCACACCCCACTTACAAGTCTACAACGTCACACCCCACTTACAAGTCTACAACATCACACCCCACTTACATGTCTACAACATCACACCCCACTTACAAGTCTACAACGTCACACCCCACTTACATGTCTACAACATCACACCCCACTTACAAGTCTACAAAGCCACACCCCACTTACAAGTCTACAACATCACACCCCACTTACAAGTCTACATCACACCCCACTTACAAGTCTACAACATCACACCCCACTTACAAGTCTACAACATCACACCCCACTTACAAGTCTACATCACACCCCACTTACAAGTCTACAACATCACACCCCACTTACAAGTCTACAACATCACACCCCACTTACAAGTCTACAAAGCCACACCCCACTTACAAGTCTACAACATCACACCCCACTTACAAGTCTACAACATCACACCCCACTTACAAGTCTACATCACACCCCACTTACAAGTCTACATCACACCCCACTTACAAGTCTACAACATCACACCCCACTTACAAGTCTACATCACACCCCACTTACAAGTCTACAACATCACACCCCACTTACAAGTCTACAACATCACACCCCACTTACAAGTCTACAACATCACACCCCACTTACAAGTCTACAAAGCCACACCCCACTTACAAGTCTACAAAGCCACACCCCACTTACAAGTCTACAACGTCACACCCCACTTACAAGTCTACAACATCACACCCCACTTACAAGTCTACAACATCACACCCCACTTACAAGTCTACATCACACCCCACTTACATGTCTACAACATCACACCCCACTTACAAGTCTACAACATCACACCCCACTTACAAGTCTACAACATCACACCCCACTTACAAGTCTACAACATCACACCCCACTTACAAGTCTACAAAGCCACACCCCACTTACAAGTCTACAACATCACACCCCACTTACAAGTCTACAAAGCCACACCCCACTTACAAGTCTACAACATCACACCCCACTTACAAGTCTACAACATCACACCCCACTTACAAGTCTACATCACACCCCACTTACAAGTCTACAACATCACACCCCACTTACAAGTCTACAACATCACACCCCACTTACAAGTCTACAACATCACACCCCACTTACAAGTCTACAACATCACACCCCACTTACAAGTCTACAACATCACACCCCACTTACAAGTCTACATCACACCCCACTTACAAGTCTACATCACACCCCACTTACAAGTCTACATCACACCCCACTTACAAGTCTACATCACACCCCACTTACAAGTCTACAACATCACACCCCACTTACAAGTCTACATCACACCCCACTTACAAGTCTACAAAGCCACACCCCACTTACAAGTCTACAACATCACACCCCACTTACAAGTCTACAACATCACACCCCACTTACAAGTCTACAAAGCCACACCCCACTTACAAGTCTACATCACACCCCACTTACAAGTCTACAACATCACACCCCACTTACAAGTCTACATCACACCCCACTTACAAGTCTACAACATCACACCCCACTTACAAGTCTACAACATCACACCCCACTTACAAGTCCACAACATCACACCCCACTTACAAGTCTACAACATCACACCCCACTTACAAGTCTACATCACACCCCACTTACAAGTCTACAACATCACACCCCACTTACAAGTCTACAACATCACACCCCACTTACAAGTCTACATCACACCCCACTTACAAGTCTACAACATCACACCCCACTTACAAGTCTACATCACACCCCACTTACAAGTCTACAACATCACACCCCACTTACAAGTCTACAACATCACACCCCACTTACAAGTCTACAACATCACACCCCACTTACAAGTCTACAACATCACACCCCACTTACAAGTCTACAACATCACACCCCACTTACAAGTCTACAACATCACACCCCACTTACAAGTCTACAACATCACACCCCACTTACAAGTCTACAACGTCACACCCCACTTACAAGTCTACAACATCACACCCCACTTACATGTCTACAAATTTACACCTTACTTACATGTCTGCAAATTTACACCTTACATGTCTACGAAGTCACACGTTACTTATATATCTACAAAGCCACACCCCACTTACATGTCTACAAATTTACACCTTACATGTCTACGAAGTCACACGTTACTTATATATCTACAAAGCCACACCCCACTTACATGTCTACAAATTTACACCTTACTTATGTGTCTGCAATGTCACACCCCACTTACATGTCTACAACGTCACACCCCACTTACATGTCTACAACGTCACACCCCACTTATAAGTCTACAACGTCACACCCCACTTACAAGTCTACAACGTCACACCCCACTTACATGTCTACAAATTCACACCCCACTTACATGTCTACAAATTTACACCTTACTTACATGTCTGCAAAGTCACACGTTACTTATATATCTACGAAGTCACACCCCGCTTACATGTCTAAAAGGTTACACCTTTCTTAGATGTCCAGAAAGCCACACCCTACTTACATATTTACAAACTCACATCCCACTGGCATATCTACAATTATGATGATGATGATGATGATGATGATGATGATGATGATGATGATGATGATGATGATGAAGGTTTACGTTCTCCATGACTCTTCCTGTTGCCAGGTGTTGTCCAATTGACCGACTGAGGTCGATTCTCTGGCAACATGAGAGGTGTGTGCTACACCTCATTGGGTGGAGTTGTCTGTGTGTGGGTTGGTCTAGAATTTGGAGATGACTCGCAGGCCGATTGGTGTTGAGTGTCTGGACTTTCAGTGCTGGTGGGAGTCCTATCTATGGTGTACTGTCCAAACATCTAAGCTGTCCTAATTCTGAGTCCTTATTTTTAGATTGGGAAATTTAGAAGTCCATGCCTGATTATGGTTATGATAATGATATTAAGGCCGAATAAAGTCATAAATTATTTGGGCCTCTGGGCGGCATTAAGCGCCTACTCTTATTATTGATAACCACAGGTGGATCTTTTATGTTCGAGATTGGACATTCCTCACACGAACCACCATTTAGAGTCCCATCCGCCATACTTTGGTTAGTAGTTAGTGGTTAGATTAGTGCAGTTGCAATTTTAACTAAGGTTTTGTTGTTGTCCCATCTTGAAACCTTTCTCATCATACGGACTAAATTACTTATTCACTTTGCTAATGTCTGGGAATCCTACCTGTTATATATAGTGTTGTGTAGTTTTCTGATGTTCCAGCAAGTGTGTGATATTGCACTTCTCATTGTTAGATAAAATTTTAATCATGAATGCAAGTATTGGAGATGAGTTTGATATATGACCCTATGGTGAGTGTTCAGTAAACAGTTCTGAAGAAATAATTATAGGGTTCCATATGCTACCAGCCAGGATAGAAGACCTGAATCTGACTGCAAAACAGTCCATGACCTTTGTACCCTGAAGTTACTTTTTATGTGTAATCTGCACTGAATGTAGGGTCTTTGGGTGTAGAGTTTGTTTGTGTATTTTGTGTGTCGTTTCTTTATGTGTACAGTTTCAGCAGCGAGAATTCTGCTCTGAAACCCTTGGGGACACACCTGTCTTCACTGTACATGTTGACTAGTCTAACTAGAGTGGGAAGAGTTATCTCTCTTGTGAGGTGTTTTATTCTTTGTGTGTTTGTGATTTATATATGTTTAACATAGTCTTTTTTTTTTCTGAAGAATTGTAGTGATACATATCTACAAAGTCACACCTCACTGATATACTTTAAAGTCACATCTCAAATTTCTACAAAGTGACATGCATGGTAGGTTCAATTATACCTCACTTTCAATGTATTTCACTTCCATATCTACAAAGACACATAACAGGTACGTTAATCTGTAAGTTATACATGTCTGAAGAGTTGACAGGATGTATAGTATTATGTTGTCATACAAGTCAGCTGGCCACTTTCGTATTTACAGGAGAAGGTGACAGTTCTGAGCATGATCAACCCATCGAAGGATCTTCTGGCAGAGCTGATTGGTTATCAGCGTCTCCCTGACGACCAGCTGAGGAAGGTGACACAACTGAAGGACCTTCTTGAAAAGGTTCTTATGATGGACCCTAGTAAGAGGATCACCATTAACCAGGCTCTCACTCACCCTTTTATTCAGGAGAAGATTTAGGCCATTTTTACGATGTGATGACAGCTACCTTGACTCTTGATACTTGAGATAGTGGACTGATAAGTTTTTGGTTAAGAAAGACAAAATGATTGACTGGTAATTTTGGAAATATTTTGTCAAATGTGATGTGAATTTACAAACACAGGTGAACCTATACCGTGGAATATTCCCCTTACATTGGAATATATGACTCCATGGAAAGTTACAAAATGTTTGTGGCGGTAAGAACGAAATGTTAGTGGTGGTAAAATATGATACCTGAGTTACGTGTTTTTCTTACAGGGATCAATGTTGCTGTTTTTCTTCTATATACACCAAGTTTACATTTGAAACTAACACAGATGTGATATTCTTGTAAAAGGATGAAGAAAGGTGATTTTGTTCATAATTGATACCATGCACTGTATTACACATTATGATAATTATGTGTTTACATTTCAGTGAATGAAACAACAGATATGTTCCATGAAATCAAAGATGATGTGATGGACCAATCACAGAGCTTGTATTATGTTTTGATGGAAGGCTGTGATTATGAATGGACCAATCACTCACCTTGTTAATTGTAATGATGGAAAAGGTTTTTCAAAGGTAACCATGAGTATGAGACCGAGTGTATTTTTTGATATGTTTCAGTCTTTATGTTAAACATGTCCCAGGTTAGTTCTAGGCTTGTGCAACACCTGTGTATGTTTGTACTATACTAGGTAAGTCCTACTTTTTTCACACTCTGTCAATACCCATAATTGGAAGGGAAACAGTTATATCTTTCTGTACAGGTAAAGTTTGATATTTTCAAGATTGAATGCAAGTTGAGGCAATATAAAAAATCTATTATATTGTAATATTGTATAAATTGCAATACTTTTATTTTACTTGTAATTAAATGATGTCTCTCTCAGTGGTACCATTTTTTTTTCTTTTTAGATTTTAAAAACATTTACATGAAAATCAAAGTGAAGGGTAAAGTTATATTGTATATTGTCATTTATATTCTCAATAAATTTTTTTCTTTTTTTTTTCATTTTTTGTATTTTAATTATTTTTTTTATCATTTCATAGTATTTTTGCCATTCTATAGTTAGGCATGATTTGGAATCAAAGGTTCTTTTCCTAAATTATATTGACTTTTTCATTCCAGGTCAGGCAAGCTTAGGCCAGACCTACTTCTTACTGCCGTTGACAACTTAGGTTGTCATATAACTCAGATAAGTCTTTACACTTTACATATCATTATCATTAACCATTTTAGAACACAAATTAGCCATCTTACAGGGAAAAAAACTAGATTTGATCACTTTACTGTTTTAAGGTACCAAAACAATTTCTATACATGTAGTAGGGGAAGAAAAGACAGAGCTATTGTCCATTTGATATCAGAAATAATTCATCATTGTTCAAACAAGTGTCTCGTACATTGTGCCAAATGTGAATTGTAGACTACTGTTTACATGGCTGTGGTATTATGTTATTAAGGTCTGTTCTAACTTTTTAAGTCTGTAGCCACCATCTGTATTTGTTATATTGAATTCGGAGAGGTGAAAATCTCTAAAATTGTATATTTCTTTCCGTTTGGACAGATACAACTATGGATTAAAATTTCCAAGCCGTTTCTTAAGTTTTCCTGTTGTATTGAGTGGTAACTACATTTCTTACTCGTGAGATTTTGATTTACATTCCAATATTTTCTTAGAATATTGCCTTTTCTACTGAATTGGAAGTCTTGTTTTCTCCAGAAACTCTTAATTTGCATCTTTAAATAATAAGTATACACTGTACATGTACATGCATATTTACTCTTTATTCCTTCAAATGTGCAGTGCGTTTCATAAATGACTCATTGTTGAAACTGATCAAAGTTATGAAAATTACTGTAAAAAACTCATATATGATTTACATCTTAATGATTATTAAGAACTGGAGTAAAGCAATAATCTTTCAAAGAAAATATGAAGTCTGTGGAAAAAAAAATCCTATTTCCTAGTAACCTATTGTTCAAAAAAAACTTTTGAGAATATTACACAAATTCCAAGAGAAGTGTTACATAAGATTTTGACTTTATCATGGGTTAACTGGATTGATGCTGTACAAAAGAGTTGATGACAAAACATGTTGTTAATACCGGGAAGAATCCTTCTCAGATAGTGTAATTCTTCTCTTTTGCATCCGTCTGGTTCGAGAGCTGTTCCCTCTTCAGAAGCGACTGGTCACGCAATTATAGCTACAATGGCAGCCCATGTTACCATGGAAACAGGGAGTCAGTCAACTATGACAGATCATGTAATGTTACCCGTTCCTGGACATGACAGTCTTATTTATTGACATGCATGACTAAATATTTTATTACATTGTGCCCATTCACTTTTGTTTCAGAAACTGTCTGATTTGTAATATGCACAAGGGTCAGATTTAGTTGAAACAGATACATGCATGAGAAATTTTGTTATCATTCATATTCCAAAGGGAAAAAACTGCACAGACCACCACCCCTTTGAATACCAATGATTGAAAAATTTAACAAGAATGAGATAGTTTTATGAAGTTTACTTTAAAATATTAAATAGAGGCAAGAATCGTATTTAACAAGAATGAAATAGTTTAACCAAGTTAGCACCTTAATTCAACAAGAATGAGAGACAATAAAACTCACTCGGTCAAACAGGCTTGAATTGAATACATCAGATAAGTCTAATGTTTTGTTTGGTTCTGATTTTTCCTCTTCTTTACCATAGTAAATTGAAAACAGATGATTTAAATACTGCGTTTGTGTCGAAAATACTAAGTATATATTTATGTAGTTTTATAAGTATACATAGAAAGATTAGATAGAGCAAAGAATCGTCATGTAACAAGAATGAGATAGCTTTATAAAGTTTACATAGAAAGATTAGATAGAGGAAAGAATCGTGTTATTCTATAAGTGATCTTATTATCTAGTATAATGTAAACATGTTCGATTTAAAATTATATAATATATTAATAACTTTTCATGCACTTGTCAATAATCCAGAACATAAACAAAAGAAATAAATTTGATATTTTTTTAAGTAATATCTCGATTAAAAATATGAAAAATTACCCTAGAAGTACCTCCTTTAGTATGTAATCGAATAATGAAAATAAAGCTACAGGTTTTCTAGAGCAGCATGTGACGCTAAACGAGGATGCTATGTTGTCATAGTAGGTCTGATGCTTAAATTGTCTAAAATTGAATCTTTTATCCCAAGACACGATGTTCAATACAAGTGTTGCACATATAAGGTTTGTATCGCCTATGTTTTTGTTGGAATGATGTCTGATTATCATACTGCATGCTCAACACTTGATTGCCTTAATATTGAAGGGAAAATAATTCTTTAACAGAAGAAAAAACTATTAATTATCCATATAGCAAACTTTGATGCTTCCAATATACCCTGCAGATGCCAAACTTTGGTGTACCCTTCTCAGGCCTCTGATGTTCATTTGAAGATTAAGGGGGCTCATATACATACCATATAAGAATTTTTTTTCAAAAGTTCAAAAGCATCATTCAAATGTTCAAATAGGAAATTTTTATGTTGAAAAAGAAGCTATTGGCTAAAAGGCATTTAAAACATTTCTCTTATAAACAACGGAGTTAAAAATCGGAGAAATGTTTTCAGTGATATAGCAATACAAGTTGAAATAAGAGAAAAGTTTTTGGTGAGCCCCCTTAAAGTGTTGTTAATAAGGCATATTACTGGTGACTTGTTTTTGTTTTCTAGGTGGCACGTCCTCCTACGGAGCCAGGACTTGACTTCTCAAGGTTGTTCATCAATCCCTCTGACACCTACAGTATCTTCACCGTATATTTCTTACAATTAAACACAATTGTTTATCGCTTCACTACAATGTATTTTTGAGGACATGAATACTTTTCATAAATGAAAATAATCTGAGTGATTATTTGATAGCAATTTAGAGTTTTTTGGATCTTTTTAGTGAAATATTTGAATATTGATATGCTGAAAGAAGGTTTGAAAGGAGCGGTAAACAAATATAAATTGGAAATTATAAGGCATTTAGTTTGACGCTATAAATTTTACTGACAGTAAACTTTTTTTCATATGTTTGATATATATATTTACCCATTGAAATTTGGATCATTTTGGCCTATTGAATTGTTGATATCTTCATAAATCATCAGCATTTTACTTTGAAAGCCATGCAATTAAATTTTTTCAGAAATATGTTTTGAAAGAGTAACTACAGAATAAGATTTGTTGGTATAATGGATGTTTTTTTACAATTGTTTTAACACAGGTGACGAACAGGTAAGTATTTCAGTATTTTTTTTCTGTCTTTTAATTGACCTTTTTCTTTTCTAGGTAAGAAATTTTCCTCATTCATCTTCAAATGTTCAGAGATAACTACTGTCCTTCCGTGCCAAAGTTAAAGGAAACTGGAACAATTCTTCTATCAGAAATGCTGGACCTTGGGAATCTCCATTTTTCCAACGGATTCTGTTGAAACATTAAGATTGATTACATTGACAAAGACTGTAGACACATACATTCTATCATCAGTGGCATTAGCAGTGTCTGTGCATGAGAACTTTGATAAACAAGTATCTTTGATAAGGATGGATTTTTCTGTATTGTTTATAATCAATATAAATTTGTTGCAATGCAAGTCCTTGTTTTTCATCTTTTTCTGAAATGATTTAGACCAAATCAGTTCTAGCATCTAGTCTTTGTAAACATGGCTCCTGTTACCCATAAATAGAATGATTGAAGGTACTTGATTTTAAAACTATCAGTTGTTTCTCTGGCTTTATCTTTCGTGAACTGGTGTGTGGCTACCTCACTGAACAAAATGCAGGAAGCCAGTTGCATGTTATCATAAACTGGGAGTAGAGTAATATGCTCAAGTTTCAAATGAAAAAAAAACACAGGATGGAGGGTGAACTGAGCTTCTGTAGAAACACATACCTCAGATTTTCACTTAATGGTTGAAGAATAGTGCTGAGCAACCAAGATTCATAACCTCCCACGCACTACATCATCATTGTTCATATTATGTCTATAAAGTATTAAACAAAAGGCATCTAGGAGAATAGCTCCTTTCTTCATCTAACTGATATAGTTAAACAACATTTTACCACTGTTTCATCCTTTCAGATAGGCTGTACTAACTCCCTAGACAGGGAGAGGAAATAACTCCCCAGATAGGGAGGTGAACTGACCCCCAGACATGGAGATGTATTAATTCCCCAAGCAGGGAGATGTACTAACTTCCCAGATAGGGTGTACTAACTCCCCAGATAGGGAGATGAACTGACCCCCAGACATGGAGATGTACTAACTCCCCAGATAGGGTGTACTAACTCTCCGGATAGGGAGATGTACTAACTCCCCAGATAGGGAGGTGTACTAACTCCCCAGATAGGGTGGTGTACTAACTCCCCAGATAGGGAGATGAACTGACCCCCAGACATGGAGATGTACTAACTCCCAAGATAGGGTGTACTAACTCCCCGGATAGGGAGATGTATTAACTCCCCAGATAACGAGGTGTACTAACTCCCCAGACAGGGAGATGAAATAACTCCCCAGATAGGGAGATGTACTAACTCCCCAGATAGGGAGGTGTACTAACTCCCCGGATAGGGAGATGTACTAACTCCCCAGATAGGGAGGTGTATTAACTCCCCGGATAGGGAGATGTATTAACTCCCCGGATAGGGAGATGTACTAACTCCCAAGATAGGGAGGTGTATTAACTCCCCGGATAGGGAGATGTACTAATTCCCAAGATAGGGAGGTGTAATAACTCCCCGGATAGGGTGTACTAACTCCCCAGACAGGGAGATGAAATAACTCCCCAGATAGGGAGGTGAACTGACCCCCAGACATGGAGATGTATTAACTCCCCAGACATTGAGATGTACTAACTCCCCAGACATGGTGGTGTACTAACTCCCCAGATAGGGTGTACTCACTCCCCGGATAGGGAGATGTACTAACTCCCCAGATAACGAGGTGTACTCACTCCCCAGACAGGGAGATGAAATAACTCCCCAGATAGGGAGGTGTACTAACTCCTCGGATAGGGAGATGTACTAACTCCCCAGATAGGGAGGTGTATTAACTCCCCGGATAGGGTGTACTAACTCCCCAGACAGGGAGATGAAATAACTCCCCAGATAGGGAGGTGAACTGACCCCCAGACATGGAGATGTATTAACTCCCCAGACATTGAGATGTACTAACTCCCCAGATAGGGTGTACTCACTCCCCAGACAGGGAGATGTACTAACTGCCCACATAGGGAGATGTACTTATCCCCAGACAGGGAGATGTACTATCTCTCCAGACGGGGAGGTGTACTAACCTCTTACACAAGGAGATGTACTTTCCCTAATGTATAATTAATTTCATATCTTTCAAATATGTGATAATAAAAACAACACAAATACATTCCGTGCCATTTTTCACTTATCTCAGAATAACGTTTGCTTTTCAATTTAATCTTTAGGTATAGGATTGCCTCCTATGGACCGAATCAAGAGATTTCATCTTTAGGTATAGGATAACACTTCTATGGACCGAGTCAAGAGATTTCATCTTTAGGTATAGGATAGCACTTCTATGGACCGAGTCAAGAGATTTCATCTTTAGGTATAGGATAGGACTTCTATGGACCGAGTCAGGAGATTTCATCTTTAGGTATAGGATAGCACTTCTATGGACCGAGTCAAGAGATTTCATCTTTAGGTATAGGATAAAACTTCTATGGACCGAGTCAAGAGATTTCATCTTTAGGTATAGGATAAAACTTCTATGGACTAAGTGAAGAGATTTCATCTTTAGGTATAGGATAACACTTCTATGGACCGAGTCAAGAGATTTCATCTTTAGGTATAGGATAACACTTCTATGGACTAAGTGAAGATAATTGATCTTTAGGTATAGGATAACACTTCTATGGACTAAGTGAAGATAATTGATCTTTAGGTATAGGATAAAACTTCTATGGACTAAGTGAAGATAATTGATCTTTAGGTATAGGATAACACTTCTATGGACTAAGTGAAGAGATTTCATCTTTAGGTATAGGATAACACATCTATGGACTAAGTGAAGATAATTGATCTTTAGGTATAGGATAACACTTCTATGGACTAAGTGAAGAGATTTCATCTTTAGGTATAGGATAACACTTCTATGGACTAAGTGAAGATAATTGATCTTTAGGTATAGGATAACACTTCTATGGACTAAGTGAAGAGATTTTATCTTTAGGTATAGGATAACACTTCTATGGACTAAGTGAAGATAATTGATCTTTAGGTATAGGATAACACTTCTATGGACTAAGTGAAGATAATTGATCTTTAGGTATAGGATAACACTTCTATGGACTAAGTGAAGAGATTTCATCTTTAGGTATAGGATAACACTTCTATGGACTAAGTGAAGATAATTTATCTTTAGGTATAGGATAAAACTTCTATGGACTAAGTGAAGATAATTGATCTTTAGGTATAGGATAACACTTCTATGGACTAAGTGAAGATAATTGATCTTTAGGTATAGGATAACACTTCTATGGACTAAGTGAAAAGATTTCATCTTTAGGTATAGGATAACACTTCTATGGACTAAGTGAAGATAATTGATCTTTAGGTATAGGATAAAACTTCTATGGACTAAGTGAAGATAATTGATCTTTAGGTATAGGATAACACTTCTATGGACTAAGTGAAGATAATTTATCTTTAGGTATAGGATAAAACTTCTATGGACTAAGTGAAGATAATTGATCTCTAGGTATAGGATAACACTTCTATGGACTAAGTGAAGATAATTTATCTTTAGGTATAGGATAAAACTTCTATGGCCTAAGTGAAGATAATTGATCTTTAGGTATAGGATAAAACTTCTATGGACAAAGTGAAGAGATTTCATCTTTAGGTATAGGATAACACTTCTATGGACTAAGTGAAGATAATTGATCTTTAGGTATAGGATAACACTTCTATGGACTAAGTGAAGAGATTTCATCTTTAGGTATAGGATAACACTTCTATGGACTAAGTGAAGAGATTTCATCTTTAGGTATAGGATAAAACTTCTATGGACTAAGTGAAGATAATTTATCTTTAGGTATAGGATAACACTTCTATGGACTAAGTGAAGATAATTGATCTTTAGGTATAGGATAAAACTTCTATGGACTAAGTGAAGATAATTTATCTTTAGGTATAGGATAACACTTCTATGGACTAAGTGAAGATAATTTATCTTTAGGTATAGGATAAAACTTCTATGGCCTAAGTGAAGATAATTGATCTTTAGGTATAGGATAAAACTTCTATGGACAAAGTGAAGAGATTTCATCTTTAGGTATAGGATAACACTTCTATGGACTAAGTGAAGATAATTGATCTTTAGGTATAGGATAACACTTCTATGGACTAAGTGAAGAGATTTCATCTTTAGGTATAGGATAACACTTCTATGGACTAAGTGAAGAGATTTCATCTTTAGGTATAGGATAAAACTTCTATGGACTAAGTGAAGATAATTTATCTTTAGGTATAGGATAACACTTCTATGGACTAAGTGAAGATAATTGATCTTTAGGTATAGGATAAAACTTATATGGACTAAGTGAAGATAATTTATCTTTAGGTATAGGATAACACTTCTATGGACTAAGTGAAGATAATTTATCTTTAGGTATAGGATAAAACTTCTATGGACTAAGTGAAGATAATTTATCTTTAGGTATAGGATAAAACTTCTATGGACTAAGTGAAGAGATTTCATCTTTAGGTATAGGATAACACTTCTATGGACTAAGTGAAGATAATTGATCTTTAGGTATAGGATAACACTTCTATGGACTAAGTGAAGATAATTGATCTTTAGGTATAGGATAAAACTTCTATGGACTAAGTGAAGATAATTTATCTTTAGGTATAGGATAAAACTTCTATGGACTAAGTGAAGATAATTTATCTTTAGGTATAGGATAACACTTCTATGGACTAAGTGAAGATAATTGATCTTTAGGTATAGGATAAAACTTCTATGGACTAAGTGAAGATAATTGATCTTTAGGTATAGGATAACACTTCTATGGACTAAGTGAAGATAATTTATCTTTAGGTATAGGATAAAACTTCTATGGACTAAGTGAAGATAATTTATCTTTAGGTATAGGATAAAACTTCTATGGACTAAGTGATCTTTAGGTATAGGATAAAATCTATGGACATCTTTAGGTATAGGATAACACTTCTATGGACTAAGTGAAGAGATTTCATCTTTAGGTATAGGATAACACTTCTATGGACTAAGTGAAGATAATTGATCTTTAGGTATAGGATAAAACTTCTATGGACTAAGTGAAGATAATTTATCTTTAGGTATAGGATAACACTTCTATGGACTAAGTGAAGATAATTGATCTTTAGGTATAGGATAAAACTTCTATGGACTAAGTGAAGATAATTTATCTTTAGGTATAGGATAAAACTTCTATGGACTAAGTGAAGAGATTTCATCTTTAGGTATAGGATAACACTTCTATGGACTAAGTGAAGATAATTGATCTTTAGGTATAGGATAACACTTCTATGGACTAAGTGAAGATAATTTATCTTTAGGTATAGGATAACACTTCTATGGACTAAGTGAAGATAATTGATCTTTAGGTATAGGATAACACTTCTATGGACTAAGTGAAGATAACTGATCTTTAGGTATAGGATAACACTTCTATGGACTAAGTGAAGATAATTTATCTTTAGGTATAGGATAAAACTTCTATGGACTAAGTGAAGATAATTGATCTTTAGGTATAGGATAAAACTTCTATGGACTAAGTGAAGAGATTTCATCTTTAGGTATAGGATAACACTTCTATGGACTAAGTGAAGATAATTGATCTTTAGGTATAGGATAACACTTCTATGGACTAAGTGAAGATAATTTATCTTTAGGTATAGGATAACACTTCTATGGACTAAGTGAAGAGATTTCATCTTTAGGTATAGGATAACACTTCTATGGACTAAGTGAAGATAATTGATCTTTAGGTATAGGATAACACTTCTATGGACTAAGTGAAGATAATTTATCTTTAGGTATAGGATAACACTTCTATGGACTAAGTGAAGATAATTTATCTTTAGGTATAGGATAACACTTCTATGGACTAAGTGAAGATAATTGATCTTTAGGTATAGGATAACACTTCTATGGACTAAGTGAAGATAATTGATCTTTAGGTATAGGATAACACTTCTATGGACTAAGTGAAGATAATTGATCTTTAGGTATAGGATAACACTTCTATGGACTAAGTGAAGATAATTGATCTTTAGGTATAGGATAACACTTCTATGGACTAAGTGAAGATAATTGATCTTTAGGTATAGGATAACACTTCTATGGACTAAGTGAAGATAATTGATCTTTAGGTATAGGATAACACTTCTATGGACTAAGTGAAGATAATTTATCTTTAGGTATAGGATAACACTTCTATGGACTAAGTGAAGATAATTGATCTTTAGGTATAGGATAACACTTCTATGGACTAAGTGAAGATAATTGATCTTTAGGTATAGGATAACACTTCTATGGACTAAGTGAAGATAATTGATCTTTAGGTATAGGATAACACTTCTATGGACTAAGTGAAGATAATTTATCTTTAGGTATAGGATAACACTTCTATGGACTAAGTGAAGATAATTGATCTTTAGGTATAGGATAACACTTCTATGGACTAAGTGAAGATAATTGATCTTTAGGTATAGGAGAATCCTCTTATTACTCTCCTTCATTTAACATAGCAAACGGTAAAAGTTATCTGGGTACAGAGAGATTTGTCCAACAAAGTTCTGCTGAAAACAAAACAAAAACAATACATGTAGGATATTTCTCCGTGTAATCTTTATTCCCTCTACTACATATGACTAAAACATGACACTGAAATGACCTGGGCATGGAATGAATTGCCCTGCAAAGTCGTGGAAAAAACTTTCAATAGCTGCCTGGCACAATTGCTCCAACCGACTCCAGGCTGGCTCCATCTTGTAATGCAGAAGTGTAATACATAGTTTATGTTAACATATTATCAACAATAAAGAAAGAAGAACGACTGCAATCGAAAGGCATGGCTATTTGTTTTATCTACATTTGAAATTATTGACAAATTGTTAACGCATTAGCAATTCCAACTTCCTATCTCCATTTCCCTACACAATACAGATCACTTTCTGACTGTATGACTTGTGTACAATTAAATCAAATTTATCCGATCAATTTTCAGTGTTCTATAAATATATGCACACAATAAAAAATATGTATATTCAGATCTATGGTAAGCTGTGAATTAAACAAAAATAACAATTAAAAAAAAATCACCCAATCAAATTCAACATTCAAAGTAAAAAAAATGAGATAATTGATGAAGCCGACATTCTATAAAATAGAGCCATTGTTACAAGGACTATCAAAAATTGTGACCATATATGGTCAGAATTGTGTTTAAAAGGAATTCTCTGGTTCTTTAATCTAACCTCTTCAAAAACGCCACCTGGGTATAAAGGCCAGTTTTCACTGCTCTCTTGAGTGGTCTCTATAAACAGGTTTGACTGTATTTCCTTCCCCCAACAACGTTTCTGACTAGACAAAATCAACGAAGATGCTAAGAAAAAATCGTTTTAAAATGAAGCCACGATTTTCTCACGGTTACCAATGTTCCTTGTATACATGTTTCGGATATATTTTTGTTAATATCCGCCGATGCTTTTGGAAAGGGCATAATCTGAGAGCCATCTTAGGCAATTTCCGCTTTCATTTACACCAAATCTGATTGTCCTTCCCTAACAATATCACTGACCAAAATTTCATAAAAATCCTGCAAGGTTTTCAAGGGGAGGGTGGTTAGAGAGTGGAGCACAATTTTCCGTTTTTGGTTGATAAAACTATGTTTGTCATTCCCTCAGAATTTCACGTATATGACTGAGTTCTATGATTCATAAACGAGATTTTAAAAATTTCCATCATGATCCCACCCCAAAGGGAATTATCAAAAATGTTTAAATTGCATTTTCTTAAGGTATTTCAGACCATTTGGTTAATGTTCGCCAAAAGGTTTGTTAGGAGTAGCATTTATGATTGTATCACATAATTGGTTATACTTGGCATGATCGCCTTCCCCTACAAAAATTTTGGTCCTGATGGAATTTCATTGATCCTCCTGATCAGAAAAGCTAAACATTAAATAAAAATGACATATATACACGTAAACATATTGTATAATCTACACATACAGGACCCCGACGAACCGCAGATAGGGCACTACGATAACAATGAGATTCTGTAATAAACTGAGGCAAATGATGACTACAAACTAATTATAAATCTGTCTATTAATAACTATCGAGGATAGTAATTTGAAATAAGATATTAAACATATATATTTTTTAAAATCAGGCTAAAATATGAAAATGCTTCTATTCATTTTTCACTTCATGGATAATTATGTATAATAAAAATAATATCCCAAAGGACATCAAATATGTATATACATTTCTACTGTTTGGTTTTCATGTTTATTGCGGGTTTTGTTGGTTTTCCTGTTTATTGCGGGTTTTGTCGGTTTTCATGTTTATTGCGGGTTTTGTTGGTTTTCCTGTTTATTGCGGTTTTTGTTGGTTTTCCTGTTTATTGCGGTTTTTGTTGGTTTTCATGTTTATTGCGGGTTTTGTTGGTTTTCATGTCTATTGCGGGTTTTGTTGGTTTTCATGTTTATTGCGGGTTTTGTTGGTTTTCCTGTTTATTGCGGTTTTTGTTGGTTTTCCTGTTTATTGCGGGTTTTGTTGGTTTTCATGTTTATTGCGGGTTTTGTTGGTTTTCATGTCTATTGCGGGTTTTGTTGGTTTTCATGTTTATTGCGGGTTTTGTTGGTTTTCCTGTTTATTGCGGTTTTTGTCGGTTTTCATGTTTATTGCGGGTTTTGTTGGTTTTCATGTCTATTGCGGATTTTGTTGGTTTTCATGTTTATTGCGGGTTTTGTTGGTTTTCCTGTTTATTGCGGGTTTTGTTGGTTTTCCTGTTTATTGCGGGTTTTGTTGGTTTTCCTGTTTATTGCGGTTTTTGTTGGTTTTCCTGTTTATTGCGGGTTTTGTTGGTTTTCATGTTTATTGCGGGTTTTGTTGGTTTTCATGTCTATTGCGGGTTTTGTTGGTTTTCATGTTTATTGCGGGTTTTGTTGGTTTTCCTGTTTATTGCGGTTTTTGTCGGTTTTCATGTTTATTGCGGGTTTTGTTGGTTTTCATGTCTATTGCGGATTTTGTTGGTTTTCATGTTTATTGCGGGTTTTGTTGGTTTTCATGTCTATTGCGGATTTTGTTGGTTTTCACATTTATTGCGAATTTTGTTGGTTTTCATGTTTATTGCGGGTTTTGTTGGTTTTCCTGTTTATTGCGGTTTTTGTTGGTTTTCCTGTTTAAAGCGGTTTTGTTGGTTTTCATGTTTATTGCGGGTTTTGTTGGTTTTCATGTTTATTGCGGTTTTTGTTGGTTTTCATGTTTATTGCGGGTTTTGTTGGTTTTCATGTCTATTGCGGGTTTTGTTGGTTTTCATGTTTATTGCGGGTTTTGTTGGTTTTCATGTTTATTGCGGGTTTTGTTGGTTTTCATGTTTATTGCGGGTTTTGTTGGTTTTCATCTATCGCTTGTGGAGTTTATCTATAGTCCTTCTGTGTAAGCACTGTGAGTTCAGTCGTCCCTCTTCTCCAGGAATTCCTTTATTTTTCCCTTTATGGTCAGCACAGCTTCATCCCGATCATCCCATTGAAGGTACCTTTCACTCGCCATCATGGGATGCAGTGCTTTCGGCACGCTTTTCGCCCTCAAATACTGACTTGCCACAACAATAAAGTCTTCGATGATCCCTTTGGCCTTCAACATGATTGTGAAGTCTAATTCAAATTCATACCGGGGGTCGGAAATGTAGTTATTGCTGAGGATGACGATGACTTTTCGACTGGACTCCATGCTGTCAACGATATTGGCTATGTTAGACTTACCAGGTTCAGCATTTCTCTGGTCAAAGTAAAGCTTGTATTCACCATCAAATTGTACATTCATCAGCTCACCGTTATCAATATCTGGAAGAATGTTATCAAGCACCCATCTCCAATCATCATCTGCACACGACAAATAAGCATCATACTTGTTATCCCTGCCAGGGATGGGTTCATAGTTTAATGCATCCTTCCTTTTTCTGCGAACGCGTCTGCACATGCGATGGCATCTCAGTCGAATAAACCATCTTTTCCTGTAGAGACATATGATAATGATGATTACAATAATCACAGCCACGCCAACCGTCGCTAATAGCACGGGTAGGGTAAAGAACAGACAGTTTATTTTTGTCCGGTCAAAGGACAACAACTTCTTCCCGCGCCAGGCCACAGGACTGTTACAGATGTATGAAGGCAGTCCAGGAATAACTATATCCGTTGTGTTGACCCAGTCTCTAAACCAGCGAAGGTCACATGTACAAGCAAACGGATTGTCTGTCAGATTGAGTGTCATAAGATTCATTAAATCCTGCACGGAAGTACTGTTGACAAGTGCAATCAAATTGTGACTGAGATCGAGAGAGCTTAAATCGACCATCTTATTAAAAAGATGCGGACCCCATCCCGAGACACGGTTCTGACGGAGATTTAACGTTACCAATGAGCTTAGATCGCGAAAACTGGTGTCGTAGATCTTTTGTATCTGATTATTGGACAGGTCAAGGATCTGAAGTTTTGAAAGTCCTAAAAATAGTTGTCCTTGCTGATCTAGTTCCATGACACGTCCAATGTTGTTGTTCGCTAACTGCAGAGTTTGAAGAGAAGACAACTTGTTAAACAAAGCAACGGGCATTGTACCGAGAGCGTTGTCGGCCAGGTTAAGATATTGAAGAGCATTCATAGATTCAAATAAAGAAGGTCCGTCCGCAATGCTTTTTATGTTGTTCTTGTTCAACTCCAAAGACAACAGACGGGTCAAGGGCTGGAACACTTTGCCTGGTAAGGTGGCGATCTTATTTTGGACCAGATGCAGTGTTTTAAGATTGATTAATCCGTTAAATGAAGACTGATACAGCGTAACAATCGTGTTTCCTCCCAAATACAATTTCTGAAGGTTGGTGAGATCGACAAAGATGTCGTTTGGAAGTGAGCTGATCCGGTTTCCGTTTAGATATAGCAAAGCTAAAGTAGGCGGCATATTTCTGGGAACATCATCTAAAATATTGTCGTTCAGTTTGAGATTAGTCAAAGCTTTTAGACCATCAAACGCTGTGTCAGCTACAGATGTGATGCCACTACTGCTGACGTCAATTAACTGTAAATTTTCCAAGTCCGCAAATGCTCTATTAGGAATGGTGCGAATCTTATTGTTCGACATGATTAATGTATTAATCGTGGTATTTCGGAGAAGTTCGAATGTTGCGTTGGGAAGGAAACCTCCAAGAGACAAGTTAGCGATGTTCAAAGACAGAAGAGGTTTTCCCTGCAGACCAACAAGTGCACTTTCAAGCACTGGGGCGGTGATTGGGTTAATACCTAGCTTTAGAGACTTGATCTTAAGCAATGGAGCAAAAGCTTGGTGAGCTATTTCATTGATATTGTTTCTTGACAATTCCAGCTTGACGACGCTAGTTGTGTTCAAAGCCTCAAAAGTTCTGTTTTCCAGAGTAGTCACCTTGTTGTTGCTAAGACCTATATTCTTGAGTTGGGTAAGATTTCTGTACTCAACAGGAAAGGTTGCATTCTTAATGACATTGGCTGGAATGTAAAGACTTTGCAATCCCAGAAGTGTACCTAAGGAAGGAATTCTCTCCAGTTTGTTACTGTCCAAACCGACAAAAGTGACACTCGTACATCCGAAAAAAGCGTTCTCATCAATCATCTTGATATAGTTGTTTTCTAAATATAACGAGCCGAGATTTGTGAGGTTATAAAACGACCACTTTTCCAGAGAACTGATTACATTATTGTCTAACTTAAGTGTAGACATTCTAGGGGTATTCTCTCCGTGGAAGGCGTACTGTTGTAACTTTATGATCTTGTTGTTTTGAAGATACAGTTCCTTCAGATTGGGAAGAAAGCCGAATCTTGAACTATTTATTGTGTCTATGTAGTTATGGGACAAGTAGAGTCTCTCGACAGTTGGTGGTATGCCTGTTGGTATATCATACAGCGGTATACCCTCACAGTTAACGCTGGTCTTTTCTTTGTTGCAGAAACATTTCGACGGTAAACTTTTCGGACAGTATTTATTGAACTGTACTCCTAACACACACTTCCAAGTGACAAATGTCAAACAAATGACAGTCAAGTGAGCTGAAATTCCCATCTGGAACAGCAATAAAATATCAAACCTAACAACAATATCTCAAAAGGAAAAGAACATATCTCTACATATGACTTCCGCTGCATTCTACAATGCCTTATTAAATTCGTAGTCGTCTTTCCAAGACATTAAACAAAACTTTCGTAAGGTAAGTCCTCAAAATTCAAAACATTCTACAAAGTCACATTAAGGCAATCCTGATAAACCTCTCTCCAACACATTCTACAAAGTCACATTAAGGCAATCCTGATAATCCTCTCTCCACCACATTCTACAAAGTCACATTAAGGCAATCCTGATAATCTTCTCTCCAACACATTCTACAAAGTCACATTAAGGCAATCCTGATAATCCTCTCCCCAACACATTATACGAAGTCACATTAAGGCAATCCTGATAATCCTCTCTCCCACACATTCTACAAAGTCACATTAAAACAGTCCTGATAATCCTCTCTCCAACACATTCTACAAAGTCACATTAAGGCAATCCTGATAATCTTCTCTCGACCACATTCTACAAAGTCACATTAAGGCAATCCTGATAATCCTCTCTCCCACACATTCTACAAAGTCACATTAAGGCAATTCTGATAATCCTCTCTCACACACATTCTACAAAGTCATACTAAAGTAGTACTGATAATCCTCCCTCCCACACATTCTACAAAGTCACATTAAGGCAATCCTGATAATCCTCTCTCCCACACATTCTACAAAGTCACATTAAAACAGTCCTGATAATCCTCTCTCCCACACATTCTACAAAGTCACATTAAGACAATCCTGATAATCTTCTCTCCACCACATTCTACAAAGTCACATTAAGGCAATCCTGATAATCCTCTCTCCCACACATTCTACAAAGTCACATTAAGGCAATTCTGATAATCCTCTCTCACACACATTCTACAAAGTCATACTAAAGTAGTACTGATAATCCTCCCTCCCACACATTCTACAAAGTCACATTAAGGCAATCCTGATAATCCTCTCCCCAACACATTATATGAAGTCACATTAAGACAATCCTGATACTCCTCTCTCTCATACATTCTACAAAGTCACATTAAAGTAGTACTGATAATGCTCTCTCCCATACATTCTACAAAGTCACATTAAAGTAGTACTGATAATGCTCTCTCCCATACATACTACAAAGTCACATTAAAGTAGTACTGATAATGCTCTCTCCCATACATTCTACAAAGTCACATTAAAGTAGTACTGATAATCCTCTCTCCCATACATTCTACAAAGTCACATTAAGGCAATCCTGATAATCCTCTCTCCCACACATTCTACAAAGTCACATTATAACAGTCCTAATAATCCTCTCTCCCACACATTTAACAAAGTCACATTAAGGCAATCCTGATAATCCTCTCTCCCACACATTCTATAAAGTCACATTAAAGTAGTACTGATAATCCTCTCTCCCACACATTCAACAAAGTCACATTAAAGTAGTACTGATAATCCTCTCTCTCACACATTCTACAAAGTCACATTAAGGCAATCCTGATAATCCTCTCTCCCATACATTCTACAAAGTCACATTAAAGTAGTACTGATAATCCTCTCTCCCATACATTCTACAAAGTCACATTAAGGCAATCCTGATAATCCTCTCTCCCATACATTCTACAAAGTCACATTAAGGCAATCCTAATAATCCTCTCTCCCACACATTCTATAAAGTCACATTAAAGTAGTACTGATAATCCTCTCTCTCACACATTCTACAAAGTCACATTAAAGTAGTACTGATAATCCTCTCTCCCATACATTCTACAAAGTCACATTAAGGCAATCCTGATAATCCTCTCTCCCATACATTCTACAAAGTCACATTAAGGCAATCCTGATAATCCTCTCTCCCATACATTCTACAAAGTCACATTAAAACAGTCCTAATAATCCTCTCTCTCACACATTCTACAAAGTCAAATTAAAGTAGTACTGATAATCCTCTCTCCCGTACATTCTATAAAGTCACATTAAAGTAGTACTGATAATGCTCTCTCCCATACATTCTACAAAGTCTCATTATAACAGTCCTGATAATCCTCTCTCCCACACATTCTACAAAGTCACATTAAGGCAATCCTGATAATCCTCCCTCCCACACATTCTACAAAGTCACATTAAGGCAATCCTGATAATCCTCTCTCCCACACATTCTACAAAGTCACATTAAGACAATCCTGATAATCCTCTCTCCCATACATTCTACAAAGTCACATTAAGGCAATCCTGATAATGCTTTCTCCCATACATTCTACAAAGTCACATTAAGGCAATCCTGATAATGCATTCTCCCATACATTCTACAAAGTCACATTAAGGCAATCCTGATAATGCTTTCTCCCATACATTCTACAAAGGCAAATTTAGACAATCCTGATAATCCTCTCTCCCATACATTCTACAAAGTCACATTAAGGCAATTCTGATAATCCTCTCTCACACACATTCTACAAAGTCATACTAAAGTAGTACTGATAATCCTCCCTCCCACACATTCTACAAAGTCACATTAAGGCAATCCTGATAATCCTCTCCCCAACACATTATATGAAGTCACATTAAGACAATCCTGATACTCCTCTCTCTCATACATTCTACAAAGTCACATTAAAGTAGTACTGATAATGCTCTCTCCCATACATTCTACAAAGTCACATTAAAGTAGTACTGATAATGCTCTCTCCCATACATACTACAAAGTCACATTAAAGTAGTACTGATAATGCTCTCTCCCATACATTCTACAAAGTCACATTAAAGTAGTACTGATAATCCTCTCTCCCATACATTCTACAAAGTCACATTAAGGCAATCCTGATAATCCTCTCTCCCACACATTCTACAAAGTCACATTATAACAGTCCTAATAATCCTCTCTCCCACACATTTAACAAAGTCACATTAAGGCAATCCTGATAATCCTCTCTCCCACACATTCTATAAAGTCACATTAAAGTAGTACTGATAATCCTCTCTCCCACACATTCAACAAAGTCACATTAAAGTAGTACTGATAATCCTCTCTCTCACACATTCTACAAAGTCACATTAAGGCAATCCTGATAATCCTCTCTCCCATACATTCTACAAAGTCACATTAAAGTAGTACTGATAATCCTCTCTCCCATACATTCTACAAAGTCACATTAAGGCAATCCTGATAATCCTCTCTCCCATACATTCTACAAAGTCACATTAAGGCAATCCTAATAATCCTCTCTCCCACACATTCTATAAAGTCACATTAAAGTAGTACTGATAATCCTCTCTCTCACACATTCTACAAAGTCACATTAAAGTAGTACTGATAATCCTCTCTCCCATACATTCTACAAAGTCACATTAAGGCAATCCTGATAATCCTCTCTCCCATACATTCTACAAAGTCACATTAAGGCAATCCTGATAATCCTCTCTCCCATACATTCTACAAAGTCACATTAAAACAGTCCTAATAATCCTCTCTCTCACACATTCTACAAAGTCAAATTAAAGTAGTACTGATAATCCTCTCTCCCGTACATTCTATAAAGTCACATTAAAGTAGTACTGATAATGCTCTCTCCCATACATTCTACAAAGTCTCATTATAACAGTCCTGATAATCCTCTCTCCCACACATTCTACAAAGTCACATTAAGGCAATCCTGATAATCCTCCCTCCCACACATTCTACAAAGTCACATTAAGGCAATCCTGATAATCCTCTCTCCCACACATTCTACAAAGTCACATTAAGACAATCCTGATAATCCTCTCTCCCATACATTCTACAAAGTCACATTAAGGCAATCCTGATAATGCTTTCTCCCATACATTCTACAAAGTCACATTAAGGCAATCCTGATAATGCATTCTCCCATACATTCTACAAAGTCACATTAAGGCAATCCTGATAATGCTTTCTCCCATACATTCTACAAAGGCACATTTAGACAATCCTGATAATCCTCTCTCCCATACATTCTACAAAGTCACATTAAGGCAATCCTGATAATGCTTTCTCCCATACATTCTACAAAGTCACATTAAGGCAATCCTGATAATCCTCTCTCCCACACATTCTACAAAGTCACATTAAGGCAATCCTGATAATCCTCTCTTCCACACATTCTACAAAGTCACATTAAGACAATCCTGCAAATCCTCTCTCCCACACATTCTACAAAGTCACATTCATTAGAGTGTTCAGATCTCATGAACTTAATGGGGCACCGTATATAACAAGGAACGACAACTCGTGTAGGTATGATTTAAGTTGTCCTGCTTTATCAACCTAATGGATTGATACACAACCCTTACGAATGTTTTGTTAACTATATCTCATATTTTCATTGTTATTATCATTTATATGGTGCTATATCTACACACAAATTGACCTGCGATAGAAATGCCTTACTAATTTGTGAACTTCTATTTTTCTAGGTTTGAGGGATATTTCGTCTAATTGTTTGCCCTAAAAAATACTGTTTTATTTATACTTGTTATCTTTTTTACAACTAGCCTAGTTCTCGATCGGTGAAACTGGGATAAATGTACCACGCACTTGGATATACAGTCTGTAAAAATTATCATCATCAAAAACCAGTGTGCAAACATACAAACACTGCACCTAACAACAGCTCTCACATATGCACATACCTTCATAGCTTGTCCAGAGGGTAGACTTGGTCTTCAGTCTCAACATATGCAGACCCAACAATGTCGCGGCGACTATTATCGTCGTTAGACTAGGGCCTGGCTACGTAAGGGATTTCCAGAGCTATCGTGCGGTTTCCAGTGACTCATAAACTGGTCTATAAATAGTACAACAAATATCTGTCCTGCTTACATAACCATGTTGTTTTTCCGAAAGCAAGATTCTCGGAAAAGCCCTAGTTTCGATTTGTTCTCTAAACAGTACCGGCAAGGTGAACGCCCGCGCATAGCGATTCACATAGCGTGACTTGGTATGTTTTCAGTAATTTACTGTTTGTGCACAGTGCATTTGAATTGTAAAACGACACAATTCGGGCTAGCTTGTGAGAAAATATATCCAGTTTGAAAAAAGAAAAGGAGTTTTCATATCTAATTTTGCCCATATCCCCTTTACTAGGTCTCCGTGAGAGGTTAGCTATGAAAAGAAATAATTTCCAATTTCCTTGATATCGCGTTTGTATATACCATCCAGAGAAACTAACTTCTTCTTTACCTAAGCCAGATGCCCAATAGATCATTCATTATTTCTGTCTCATTTCTATCACACATTAATTTTTTTATATTTTGAATTTAACATTAAACACATCACTGGATATGAACTTCCGTGAACCCTGTCTGTCTTATGGACCTTACCAACTGTTAATTTATTTAGGGTTTGCACTGAAGTATATGTAGTAAATTCAAAATAGTGTCTGAATATGAACCGAAAATGTGCATCTGAACGCCAACAGCCCACTTCCTGTCTATGGTAGAAAACACTTTAAAAAGAAATTCTGTATATGTCTGAGTCTTTATCGGAAATGAATGACTGGTAAAAAGGGGAAATGACTTGGCCTCAATAAATAATAATTTTGACCTTCAACTGTAGACAATTTTTTTTATTATTTATCTTTTGATCATTGAAAATTTCCAGAAATGAAACAAAAACTTTACAAGAAACCACAGATGGTCAGACTTGACTTTTTCATCCTTTCTGTTATCGAACACCTCTCTGCAGAACTGATTGCCACCAGACCTAGTACCAGCCCATTACCTTGTAATGCTTTAAAACCCACCTCCAAACTTCTACCCAGTGTTATTTTCTCTTTATATCTACATAATCTTCAGTATGATGAAGGAGATCGATTGACGAGTGGATGCTTTCAATGTCTGTATTGCCGTTACAAGAAAACTTCTTACAATCCACTGCACCAAAGTGACGCCTTAGGCAATATGAATTAGCACCATGATTCCAAATAGTGTCTAAATCAACTAAAATCTTCGTTGAATATATAAACTTGTTTGATTCCATAATTCTTACACTCCTAGTATTTGATATTGACAACTATTAACGACGCTGATTTTGGTTTGTGTTGAAACACATTTTCCTGCATGATTTTCAGTTTATCAGTTAAATTGATAGAAATCGAAAGATTGATAGACATTTGAATATTACTACGTGGTACTTTGTGTAGCAATAATAGTGGTAGACACCTTTATATTGAATATGTGGTACTTTGTGTTACAGTAATAGTGGTAGACATTTGTAAATTGACTATGTAGTTCTTTGTGTTACAGTAATAGTGGTAGACATCTGTATATTGACTATGTAGTACTCTGTGTTACAGTAATAGTGGTAGACATTTGTAAATTGACTATGTGGTACGTCTGTGTTACATCAATAGTGGTAGACATTTGTAAATTGACTATGTGGTACATTGTGTTACAGTAATAGTGGTAGACACTTGTAAATTGACTATGTGGTACTTTGTGTTACAGTAATAGTGGTAGACACTTGTAAATTGACTATGTGGTACTTTGTGTTACAGTAATAGTGGTAGACACTTGTATATTGACTATGTGGTACTTTGTGTTACAGTAATAGTGGTAGACATTTATATATTGACTATGTGGTACGTCTGTGTTACAGTAATAGTGGTAGACATCTGTATATTGACTATGTAGTACTTTGTGTTACAGTAATAGTGGTAGACATCTGTATATTGACTATGTAATACTTTGTGTTACAGTAATAGTGGTAGACATCTGTATATTGACTATGTGGTACTTTGTGGTACAGTAATAGTGGTAGACATTTGTAAATTGACTATGTGGTACTTTGTGTTACAGTAATAGTGGTAGACACTTGTAAATTGACTATGTAGTACTCTGTGTTACAGTAATAGTGGTAGACATTTGTAAATTGACTATGTAGTACTCTGTGTTACAGTAATAGTGGTAGATATTTATATATTGACTATGTGGTACGTCTGTGTTACAGTAATAGTGGTAGACATTTATATATTGACTATGTGGTACTTTGTGTTACAGTAATAGTGGTAGACATCTGTATATTGACTATGTAGTACTTTGTGTTACAGTAATAGTGGTAGACATTTATATATTGACTATGTGGTACGTCTGTGTTACAGTAATATTGGTAGACATCTGTATATTGACTATGTAGAACTTTGTGTTACAGTAATAGTGGTAGACATCTGTATATTGACTATGTAGTACTTTGTGTTACAGTAATAGTGGTAGACATTTATATATTGACTATGTGGTACGTCTGTGTTACAGTAATAGTGGTAGACACTTGTAAATTGACTATGTAGTACTCTGTGTTACAGTAATAGTGGTAGACATCTGTAAATTGACTATGTAGTACTCTGTGTTACAGTAATAGTGGTAGACATCTGTATATTGACTATGTAGTACTTTGTGTTACAGTAATAGTGGTAGACATCTATATATTGACTATGTGGTACGTCTGTGTTACAGTAATAGTGGTAGACACTTGTAAATTGACTATGTAGTACTCTGTGTTACAGTAATAGTGGTAGACATTTGTAAATTGACTATGTAGTACTTTGTGTTACAGCAATAGTGGTAGACATTTGTAAATTGACTATGTGGTACGTCTGTATTACAGTAATAGTGGTAGACATTTGTAAATTGACTATGTGGTACTTTGTGTTACAGTAATAGTGGTAGACATCTGTATATTGACTATGTAGTACTTTGTGTTACAGTAATAGTGGTAGACATTTATATATTGACTATGTGGTACGTCTGTGTTACAGTAATAGTGGTAGACACTTGTAAATTGACTATGTAGTACTCTGTGTTACAGTAATAGTGGTAGACATCTGTAAATTGACTATGTAGTACTCTGTGTTACAGTAATAGTGGTAGACATCTGTATATTGACTATGTAGTACTTTGTGTTACAGTAATAGTGGTAGACATTTATATATTGACTATGTGGTACGTCTGTGTTACAGTAATAGTGGTAGACACTTGTAAATTGACTATGTAGTACTCTGTGTTACAGTAATAGTGGTAGACATTTGTAAATTGACTATGTAGTACTCTGTGTTACAGTAATAGTGGTAGACATTTGTAAATTGACTATGTAGTACTTTGTGTTACAGCAATAGTGGTAGACATTTGTAAATTGACTATGTGGTACGTCTGTGTTACAGTAATAGTGGTAGACATTTGTAAACTGACTATGTGGTACTTTGTGTTACAGTAATAGTGGTAGACATTTGTAAATTGACTATGTAGTACTCTGTGTTACAGTAATAGTGGTAGACATTTGTAAATTGACTATGTAGTACTTTGTGTTACAGTAATAGTGGTAGACATTTGTAAATTGACTATGTGGTACGTCTGTGTTACAGTAATAGTGGTAGACATTTATATATTGACTATGTAGTACTCTGTGTTACAGTAATAGTGGTAGACATTTGTATATTGACTATGTAGTACTCTGTGTTACAGTAATAGTGGTAGACATCTGTATATTGACTATGTAGTACTTTGTGTTACAGTAATAGTGGTAGACATTTGTAAATTGACTATGTAGTTCTTTGTGTTACAGTAATAGTGGTAGACACCTGTATATTGACTATGTGGTACTTTGTGTACAGTAATAGTGGTAGACATCTGTATATTGACTATGTAGTTCTTTGTGTTACAGTAAATTTGTGAGGGTTTTTTTAATACTTATGATGCGATTTATTTTCTATGAACACTTTAAAGTTTAGAGACAAAAACAAGTTTGGTTTGTTTTGATGGGATCACTTTCATTGATTCTATTTTATTTTCATTTACTCAATCTAACACATAACAATAACTAAAAAAACCCCAGTAAATTGGTATTTTTACAAATCTAGGCCTAATTGTATATTTTTGTTAAAGTTCCTACCTTAGTAAAATTGACACTTCACATAAGTCAGCAGATGAAGTTTGTGACCAGATCTAAATTAAATATATTGAAAAGAGGATGATTGTTTGATATGTGCGTTTGTTGAAAATTTTAGCCTCTAGACGACAGATGACTTAAAGGTGCGCAGTATACCAAACTTTTAAAGCAATTTTAATTTGTCAAAAAGACATTGCTAACAAAAGGTTACTTCCCTTTGATAAACTATGGTTACTCTAAATCGACCCACGTTGGCCTAGCGAAATGACCAAATTTTAGGAAATACTTTACTGTCACTAAACCAAGGGGGTGGTCAGAATGGACAATGAAATATTTTCCAAGCAAACTTTTGTAGATTGTTCCAACTTTTGAAAACCCTGGATCGATTGGTGCATTAAAAGAACGCATTTTTCTCAAGCCCCGCTATATGATTCATTAAGACTGTGCACCGGGAATCTGAACTGTGATATTTGACAAGATAACACATATGGAATGGAAATACCCTCCCCCTCCTTGTCACGTGTTGTATCCTTTTGGCAGTGTTATTGTTTTGCATAAACATATGAATTTTCAGGAAATCAGGAATTTGAAGCGGGTAATGAAAACCTGTTTTCCTTGATACAGAAAACTTCATAATACAGATGGATTTCATGGTTAAGTTTATTATTACGTAAAAAGTTATTTTGCTGAATTGACATTTTAATCCATCCCGCCCCCCTTTTCTATATGCAAATTTCGTATAAACATAAAGCGCGAAGAAGTTTGGTGTTGAAATAAAAGAATATCACTGAATGATTTGGAGTGAATACTGAATCTATTCCAAGTTAAAGTCTAAAGTCGAAGAGTAGCACTGTTTATAAGATAATTATGCCGCTGTTTTTGGTCTGCGCAGTCTTATCGACTTGGCTTTCTTTCGGTTTAATTTTGCTATATTCTTCTCCGTGTCCGTTAATGAGTCACGTCTCTGTGAATAGAAACTTTTGCCCGGATGTGCAGCATTTCTACTGCGCGGTCTTTGTACACGAGCCGTGCTGGGACGAGAAGACTGGTAAGGGTCCATCCCTAATTTTTCGAAATCCCTGATGACCTCGGCATTGATAGCCATATCCGGTCCTATATGTCTGATGTCCTTGGGTTTGACGCTGGCCACCCCGCGTGAGTAGGTAACGTTTCCCGATTTTGGCCGACCTAACACTAAGTTGTTAGCGTTAATTAATTTTCCATTGTGCCTGCTCTGACACGACTTGCACCTCGACGCCAATGGTTTTGGACCTGTTGGGGGTTTTTCATCGTCAACATTGCGAGTTTGACGCATGCGTTGTTCGTATTTATTATCTTTACAATTTCCTATACAAAACGGTTGTCTACATAAATCACATATTTCCGATTGCACAAATTTCTCAGGACAGTCACCAGAACACGCTGGCTGTAAGCACCTATTGCAACAACGCTTGTCCTTATGTCCCCCCTTTGCACTTATGACGCGTTGTCGCTTTTTGAGTAGTTGTACAGAGCGTTTTTGCTCCCAGTCCTCTGTTTCCATTTGGAGCCTCTCCAGTTCCACCATTCGATCCATGATGTCTTCTGTAATGCCATCATTTGGTCGGTCTTTGGTTTGATCACGCCAGCTCCATTTCAGTCTAGCAATCTGTCTAAAATCAAGTTCTCTGAACGATTCTGGTAACACCTCCTCAAATTCGTATGGCGGAATATCTGTTTCATCAACATCAAAGTCAAATTTTCGCCATCCTTTCGCGGAGTCTGGTATCACGAAGGAATCCAGTTTTTCTGGTCTGAGATTAAGATCAGGGACGTCTCTATTTCTGTCCACACTGGGTTCGTAATCACTGTCTTCATCAGAACTACTACTACTACTACTGATATCCTCCTCGGCTGAGTGCGTACTATCTATCCCACTTGTGCTGACGTCATCGTCCTTTGGAGGCGTTGTTGATTTCTTGTTTTTATCTTCCACTGATTCCTCTCCGAAGTGACCACGGTCCCCGTATCTAGGGGCAGTTTTGTAAGAATTACCACTGATGAGGTTAGCCAACACGTTCGGAGTGAGGGTGTCGAAGTTCCCAGGACGAACATCAGTTGGCGTGTCTGAGCGTCGGAACCCACTCGGAGGCCGGCTGGAACCGTTGGGGACGGATCTTGGGCGGCATAGCCGTGAAGGAGACGGGCCTCTCGACACTATAGGCCTGAAAAATACGATAGAAAATAATGTAAGGTGATTCGAATACAAATGAATACAAAACATATAGAGAGGTTCTAGATATCTATTAGATTCCTTACGAACAGTAATTTGTATCAGTACCAATAACATGTCAGATATATACACTATATGTTTGACCTTACTACATTATACACTTGACACTACTACACTATATATCTGACACTACTACACTACATATCTGACACTACTACACTATATATCTGACACTACTACACTATATATCTGACACTACTACACTACATATCTGACACTACTACACTATATATTTAACACTACTACACTATATACTTGACACTACTACACTATATATCTGACACTACTACACTACACTATATATCTGACACTACTACGCTACACTATATATTTGACACTACTACGCTATATATCTGACACTACTACACTATATATCTGACACTACTACACTATATCTGACACTACTACACCATATATCTGACACTACTACACTATATATCTGACACTACTACACTATATACTTGACACTACTACACTATATATTTGACACTACTACACTATATATCTGACACTACTACGCTACACTACATATCTGACACTACTGCACTATATATCTGACACTACTACGCTACACTATATATCTGACACTACTGCACTATATACCTGACACTACTACACTATATATCTGACACTACTACGCTACACTTTATATCTGACACTACTACGCTACACTATATATTTGACACTACTACACTATATATCTGACACTACTACGCTACACTATATATCTGACACTACTGCACTATATACCTGACACTACTACACCATATATCTGACACTACTACGCTACACTATATATCTGACACTACTACGCTACATATCTGACACTACTACACTACATATTTGACACTACTACACTATATATCTGACACTACTACGCTACACTATATATCTGACACTACTACACTATATATTTGACACTACTACACTATATATCTGACACTACTACACTATATACTTGACACTACTACACTATATATCTGACACTACTACACTATATATTTGACACTACTACACTATATATCTGACACTACTACACTACACTATATACTTGACACTACTACACTATATATCTGACAATACTACACTATATATCTGACACTACTACACTACGCTATATATTTGACACTACTACACTATATATCTGACACTACTACGCTATATATCTGACAATACTACACTATATATCTGACACTACTACACTATATATTTGACACTACTACACTATATATCTGACACTACTACACTATATACTTGACACTACTACACTATATATCTGCCACTACTACACTATATACTTGACACTACTACGCTATATATCTGACACTACTACACTATATATTTGACACTACTACACTATATAGTTGACGTTACTTCACTATATTTGTGACGCTAATGCCTTTTACTAAAAATCAATTGAAAGTATTAGTGTAGAATGACAATAAGCTGGTATTTATACACAGAATATCTACGTTTTATGCCTAACACTATATATATATATTATCCTGTACGAGTTCCTATTTGTATGTTTCCTGTCCCGACTGTACGTCACGTCATTCCTTTATAGTGCGGGGCTTTTTTATACAAGGACATGTTATATAACACATGAAGCAGTAGAATAATTATAGCAATAAGTGCCGAGCACGAATTGGCGTGACTGATCGACCCACGTGACGTAATTAACTGTCTACAATAATCAATGTGGGGAACAGTTTTTGTATGTCAGATACTGAGCACAAATGAAGGTATAAATAGATATGTTCACATTTCAAACGTGTGGCTTCAGTGTCTGTCAATAGTTATCTGTTATTGTAAACTACAGAAAAAAAATCCATCCAATGTAGTTAGTGTTATACAAACAAAATCAATTTTATAAGTACTGTCAGTTGATCGAGGACATATCACAATTCCATAAATAATACGAAAAAGAAGATTGATTTTTTTACCGCGACGAAATCGCCTCAAGGTATGATACATGTGTTTTAGTCAGAGCATCATTCGATAGCACAGACAGTGCCCATTGTACAGGACACCTCAGATAACACCTCAGATACTGGTCTGGATACATCACGTGATACATGACAATTACTACTCAAGTGATGTCACGGCTTGATAAGTAACGCGCAGGACACCTCAGATAACATCCAAAATACTGGTCTGGATATATCACGTGATACATGACAATTACTGCTCAAGTGACGTCACGGGTTGATTATGTAACAATACATTTGTATATTAGTCTTGTTATGTCTATCTCTACACCAATGTATTTGTAATATATGGTCATATCATTATGATTATTGAATAAGCAATACTAATTGATCATCGATCTGTAATTATTTTTCATGTCATATTCTATTAATACATACTATGTAATGGAATATGAATTGATGGGGGGAAAACACGGCCGGTAAGTTTGGATACTAATTAAGCTAGTTTAAACACAAGTAAATAACACAATATGATTGATGAAAAAGCATCACAATAAATAAGTATTTTTACCTACAAATTCTGGTGAATATTACAGGAGTGTCATGCTTTTTCATTATTATTATCATTATTATTAAAAAAGAAATATTCCAAGTATAGTATTATGAGGGCCAGAAAGAAAGTCATACACAGCGTTATAACAATGAGATAACCATACATCCCCAACAAGACAATACGTCCCGACATTTGCCAGTACCTTGATAACACAATTCATTAAAATTCACGCTCAACCTGTGTGATATAACCAGTCGAGAACATTTCTCACTGATAAAAAATGTTAATTTCCACAACCTAATTGCGTTAATACATTACCAACCACCTGCGCGTTATTGAAAGGAAATATTTCCTCTTGATTAGAACCTAGACTACCACAGGTAACACGATACTATACACCTGAACACTTCTCACCTGGTGATAAATGCAAGTTCTACTGGGTGTCTTCGTTCAGTTTCCCTGTCATAGGACCAACGGAACACTCATTAATTAGCTACCAGATAAATGTATCTACTTACCTGTGATACAGATACACCATGCAATGTGATGGTATTGACAGACAGTGAAACGTAGTACAAGGGGAAGCATCATATAATATTAAAGTATAGCATATTTTTCAGATTATAACATCTGTGCCAATCTTCTGCTTATTTGTGAAGATATAAGATTTCTCTATTGTGTTTTTCCATATTTAGATATCAACAATTTTGTTTCCCCATTCTACAGTGTTCACATGTCGCAATGGATTCGATATACAAGATCTTGTTAACTATATCACGATTTTCGTACAAGATTTCAACAGCTAACAAATAAACATATGGTCGACATAATGATCTCCTTAGGAAATATATTATCTTTTGTGCGATATGAAGTTTGGCATGCTTGATACCCGTGAAGCTCGTTAGAATACCTGGTAGTTCCGTTGTTGTTAACATTGTTCTTATTTGGGAATGTGGCATTACTTACTTGGATTGACCAAGAATTAGAATTGGGGTGTCGTGAAGCTGAAAACGTGCACCTGTTGGAACATGTGGTATTATTCACTTCATCCTTTTTTAAAGGGTCTTGTAAATCTTTCATTTGTATGTGTCTTGCTCTAGTCTCATCGATTTAATGTTTGAATGAAGATTCTGTTGACGTGCCAATAATAACTTTGTTCTTTTGTCGCAAATCTTATCAATGTAAGAACCCCATCATCTAGATTCGAAACATTCTTTCATATTGATAAAAACACACGTATATTTAAAATGATCGAAGTACAATTTCAATCTATATATGTCTCATGAAATCTGGTAAAGAGATGAAATATATTTGGAGTCCGGATTAAAAATTACCATCATTGCTTATTTTTCAAAAACTATGTACATATGACGTTATCAGAAAAAAGTGCTTACCTTTCAGGTGCTTGGCAGGTAACCGGTTTACATCTGAAGAAAGAAGGGTCGGTATCAGAGGATTTGAGAGGGGTCCAGTCTTTGGGCTTGAACGCTCTTAGGCTGGCGGCCAGCTGGCTGCGGTAGATATTGGTGTTTGTGTCGGCGTACTGTTGTTGTTGCTGCTGCTGTTGGGCTAACTGGTTCTGAATACTCTGAATCTGCTGTTGCTGGTGGTACAACTTCTGAAATGTATTACAGGCACTGTCATTAACAATCTCTTATATGAGGAAAACGATCCATTGATGGTGCAGCCACATGCAATATGCAACACATACCAGTAATTACGCTAGAGGATGGTAGATCGCGTAGAAAATATATATGTCACAAGTAATGTGTCACATAGACCAATCGTGTAGAAATTGAATGTGGTCACCCTTACAAACACGATTTACAAAACCCCACAGAAACATATTGTTTTAGCTCGTACTTGAAAGTCATCATTTGTGATTGATAGTATGGTCCACAAAGCGAAATGACTCAATGCAAATGTTATCAGGTGTAATTAGCTTAAATCCATTGTTGTGCTGACGTGTTCGCTCATCCAGTTTGTTAACCCATTGTAAATATCCAATTAATTATCTGATACCAGTCAACATTCACAAAACAAACAGTAGCCAGCCTTCCAACCTCACATGGCTTAAAGTATAAAGCATAGGCAAATCGCTAAAGCATCCACTCAGTTCTGATATACTCTCATTCTGTTTCCATAGAAATGAAGCGCAACGCACGTAACCCGTTGCTAGGCGAGACATGCGGACATAGCAAAGCCATTACAAAATGATTAATTGCAAAGGAGCAAATCCTGTACAAGCTACATATCGATATATATTATGGATCATTTGATCTTGTTAGAACGCATCAATTATCGTATTTTAAATTACAGGAAGTAGCGTAGGAAGCGACGTGAAATCCCTTTGTTGGGGCGTAGGACAGTAAATGTGTTGTGGGTACTGGCTGAAAGGGCAGGATTCGTTCCAGACAATAAGTTAGAACAAATTGAGTACATTATGATCTTCCCCTGGGAAATCGTTGATGATAATTAATGAAATATTTATTGACTTTTGATCATAGTACATGTATTGATTCCCGTATAACCAGTTGTTTGATTATTTAAAATTTACCTACATCCGTTCTGCTTGTGCAGGTCCCAGCTATAATCAGGTCATGTCCCTAACGGCCAACTTTCCCTATTTATGTCATATATTCTAGAAGTTCAAAATGTCAAATTAATTAATTATATATCTATCTACAAGCTAAACTGTCGGATACATGACTACATGTAAAACACAACATATAGCCCCTATATAAACAGACCTGTTTTAGCTATCCTATATTTATAATAATTTATATCCCTAATTTACTTACGTCTGGGACATTCGGGAAGCTGAATGTACCTATTGAATGTAATGACGTGACCGTTTAGATCAGAATTGTGTTATGATGCAGAAGATAACGATATCTTGATTTGTCTAGGGGAAGTCGGTTTAACCTTGAATCTTTAGATATAGTTAGCAAGGCTGATTTTTGACGGTCATTTTAGAACATTTAAGATGGACAGGTATTTTAATCGTCTGGGCCCTTCTTGACTAAACAGCTTTATCTGTTATCTTGTTGACCAAATGTTTAAAGTCTAAGGGTTTCGTCTAGATATATCTCTATCATTTACGAGCAATTCACTTCAATTGGTGACGCTCCGAGAACGTGATCAGTGGAGTTAAGCCACCTTTAAAACAGGTAAGTTTCTCAGTCGTATTTCTGACTGTTGTCAATGCGATAATTTAAGTATGTAATCAGAGAGTTGGAGAAAAACTTAATTTATAGTAAATTTGAATGGATTTGATATCAACAACCCACGTTAATTATGCAGACTAGGTTTCAAACGAAATTGGTTAATGTATTGCCTATCAAATTAAATTGTCAAGTCAATTGAACATAAATAAATCATTCGAACATGGTCTGATCATAGGTTCATAGGACGTTAATATATGGTTACGTACCGATACCACTTATCCACTTGTAGCTATTGGACACAGAACAAGAAAACCATACCATTATGCACATTAAGATATTTGATATAACCTGTATACCGTAAAGTTCCAAATATAGGTGTGTCGAATTAATCGTCTGGGTCCCTCTTGACTGTTATCATGTTGACCAAATGTTTTAAAGTCTAAGGGTTTTCTTCTAAGTATCTCCATATCCTTAATAAACCACTAACTTCCATTTGAAACTCGATAAGTGGCATAACGTGGGTCAAAACCCACGTATTATGCAATTTATTATTTTTTTAGTAACAAATTTAAAAACAAAAGCAGCATTGTTAAATAAACTAAGTGTATATATCCTTAAGTGTGTTTTTATCTAAGGTCAGACCCGAACGGAAGGTTTACTGACATTCATCCACGTGGCAGCAGATTCTAAGTGACCATGGCGGCGGTTTTAGGATATTGGAAACTGGACAAGAACGACGATAAATGGGACGAGTACATGAAAACCGTCGGTTGGTATTGTATCGAAAGATTGTAGAATAAAGTAATACGCGATATCCAAGACTGCTCTTAAGGACAAGGTCAAAGGTTAAATTGTAAATCAACCATTACATGACTCCTTTTCTACAGATAACCAAACACACTATATGCCAGTATTGATAACTAAGGTACTTGTCGTAGTGAATATAGAGTAAACTCTCGTGTAAAAAACGCGTGGCCTCCTGACGTTTTTTGGTTCATGTTCTTGTGAATGTTGCTATTGTAGTGTCCATGTTTTACATTCTAATACTGCGCAGATTTTACAATACCAGTCCCCAATCTTCTAGAGTTACGATCACTTTCGCCCTCTGCACCCCTGGAACATTTCCTTTCAATGACCAAATGGCCATTGTTTTTCTTATTACCGGAACCGGAAACCACCATTTACATAATGTTAATCATTTCTGTTAGTTTGCTTGAATTAAATTTCATTCTGTTAAATTAATCCTATTTCAGTAAAAGTTGATGCAGAAGTCCATCTAATGTGTTGAACTCGTTTCTTACTTCTTTCCGACTGACTTTAACCTCTTGATAAAACACATATAACTGCTATACCATCTGTTACATTAGGCGTCAGACATTCATCATATTTCATAAAGCCATTATTGTGTACCGTAAACGATTGTTATATATGATGTAACTACCCATGAAAACAATTTTGCGTCACAGAGCAAAAAGTGTCAACGATCATCAATTTTAAAAAGTCGTTTGATGAGGTCGATATATGTCTTTATCCTTTCTAGCCAATCAGTAAGTGTGAAAAACATTATTTACTACAGAACTCGTGAACCTTTAAACATGTAAGGATCTGTACAGAATGAAAAATGACTTCAGAAATTTTAGCTGAACTATTGATGATAACTATAATAACCTATCTATACATGACGTCACTTTATCAGTAAGGCAGATGATAACTAACATCTTGTGTTACATAACCGTAAAGACCACTCCATCAGATCTGATAACGTCTGCACCGGACAAAAAAGCTTAAACACCTTAATTTTGGTTTGATAAAAAACTGAGGTCAAGGCTACTCCATATATTAGATAATTATAAACGGAAAAATGAATCAGAATTTATTTTTCATGGATTTAATTAAGATGACATTGTGGTATCGATAACATTTTGAGCAAACGCTTTGACACTATTTCACTATAACACCACTGGAAATTCCATCACTAGTTCTATTTCCAGCATGCATCCTTAACGACCTTTGTCTACTTGTGTAATACCTGTGTAGCCTGTAACATGGACCCTGATTACCATCACGCCTTCGCTATTGTAACACAACAGATCAATAGATCATTGACTGGCAGACATGGAGTAGAAATATGATCATTTATATATAATTACCGGAAATATCACTTGTCACTTGATTATCTCTGATGTCCAACGTCTATTAAATTCAGAGTAAAGATATTCTTAGCTCTGTTTTATTTTAAAAGCCCATAAAATCAGTACTTACCTATGTGCCTACATAAACACGTGATGGCTAGTGTGCTATAAATACACTTTCAAATTCAAGGACACTGCTCTAGGGCTCATTCAAGGGATAACACGTTTTTATATCAGGACAATCAGAAGCGTAAAGAAGCCTTATGTTGTAGCAGGCTCATTACATAACTTCGTAGGTTGGTGGTATACATGGTCCAACACATGTTTTAAAATCATATATACAATAGGTTAGGTAAATATTGATAAAATAAAATTATGACGTTTATTGTCAATCTCACCATGAATGCCTATGGATTGTATAATACGAAGTGTTATTACTGGTTTCATAAACAGTCTCCTACTCATAAGTTTCGACCGTAAAGTCACTTTTCCTATCACGAAAATTATTGCACGGGGATGAACGTGACAATACCAAAGGTTAGTTTAAGTATCGTCTCATGTTCAGTGTATCTGGATGCTGTCAAAGGTATACTGACAATACTTTGTGGTATTTGATATGCCTACTTTCATATTTTTTTCTCGTGATCTAATAGGTGATTATTTTTTACATTTGTAGGGGTCAATTTCGTACTCCGTAAAGTAGGAAATTCTATCACGAGTTATGAAGACATTGTACAAAATGGCGAAAACTGGGAGATGCATTTGTTGTCAACATTTAAAAACCATCATCTGCAATTTAAGATTGGAGAGGAGTTTGACGAGGTCACTCCAGATGGAAGAAATTGTAAGGTAATAATATTATTCTATATGTCACATCTTGTTTTGAGTCACAAAAGCTGAAACTCTCGGGTATTAGTTAATCAGAAATATCTTTTCTATTTTAATATTTTATTCAATAAAAATGATAAAAAGCAGTAATTTTTTTGTTAATAATCGCTGTTTCGAGCGTGTGCTTAAGCATACAAGCATACGTTATTGTTACGTCACTGGTGTATGTACATACAAGATGATTATTTTCCTTGTAAATAAGTATATGATATGATATATATATGCCCTATTAGACATGCATCTCTTTATAAGTAGAGATGTATTTGATAAGTATGATATATGAGGAGGTCCTGGCTGGCAAGAAAACGAAAAGACATAATAAACGGGTGTGATAGTATGTGACCTTAGTTACAACATTTGTGTACCTGTTTATAACGGTATCACTGAAGGAGTGCTTCACGTGTTGACACTGTAACTATCCTACCAGATAGCCAGTCAAACATTTACCCGTCAGGTATACATAAACCTTTTTATTCCTTGAATATTTTAAGTTTCGGAATACTCTTTACCATTCGATATCTATCCAATTTTTAAATACCAGAAAGGTGCATAATTAGGCCATCAGGGCGCCACAGTTTGGTGAAACAAGGAGTTTAGTTGTATTGGTGATAAAGACTACGATATGATAGAAAGTTGATTACATATTCAGTATCCACAACAAAGGTGGCTGTATAGTTCTTAGTATGTTGTGTCAGTTACTTATAGAGCCATCACTATCATTTCTTATCCAATCACTCGGAATAGCCGAGCCTTATCATCATTAAGTGTGTCAGTCAGAGAATATGTTGATGATGTCTTTTGTGAAGATTAAAGATATTTACAAAACGTAGCCAGTACCGATTAAAACTTTTTATGGTGTTTTCATCGATAATTATTAACTTATTTGTTTATTTATGAGAAATCAGAAATTATCAGATTTTTAAAAAATTCATTAGTATATTGAGCTTAACAATAGCAGTCAAATGAACCTTCATTAACATAACGAAATTAATTATATATAGAAAAAAATGGTGTTAATAACAATTTCATCACCTTTTGATATTTATCTCCAAAACTGTTTCGCAATTAAAAAAACCGCTCTGAAAACTGAGGTCATATAAGTTATAAACACATAGAACAACAGTTGATGATATATTATACTTGAACATAAATAGAGATATTTTGAATCAAATATATACTTTTGCTTACCTTTAGACCTGCTCTTTCGTGAAAACCGACGTTAAATTAATCTGATATCTATACTTCGTGAGCAGACATGTATTGTTTGTGACACCCTTTACGTACTTGTCAGACACATCGTGTGTTCTCATATAAAGTATCCTTTACTTCAGCATACCAATGTGATAGCAAGTTTGTGACACTTTAATATGACTCTTGACCCACCAATGAAAAAATCACGTTTAAAACATTTTTGTAATAAGGTTAATTGCAACCGAAATCGACTCATAATATATATCCAAGATTTTTGCGTTGGGACTATTAAAGCTTTACGAGTCTATCATTAAATACTTATAGAGGACACTGTAAGTTTAACAATACCAGAAAACAGTGTGATTTAAGGCTCTCACGATACCTTTTACAACCTTAAGATATATGGAAACTTTTATCACATCAACTAGACTCAATACGTACTAATGGGTTCGAACAAAGGCGGAAAGTTCATGTTTATATAGAAATGATTGAACTGTTTATGATCCTTTAATATTTGTCTGCACTACCATGTAAAGGGACATTTCGCCAGATATTGTTTCGGACCTTACTGATCGTATCCTTAGATTTGACTGGTTCCCTACTATCCTACGGTTTTGTAGTTTAAATATCGACGGTGCTCATAAATACGATATACACTTTATCAAAATAATGGAAAACAGTAGTTTGAATAAGTACACGAATATACCATTTAACCTGTATGTTATTATTGAGAAACTGGTAATTACTTCAGTAACTTTGAAAAATGTATGATATCATTTTGTTTTGTTTCAGTCAACATTTGTAATAGAAGGGGAGTCTCTTGTACATTACCAGAAAGGAACAAAGGCTGGAGATGTGAACTCTAAAATCACAAGGACTAGATTGGACGACGATACAATGACAATAGTATGTTTATCTAACATACTAGAATGTATACCATTAACGAGACATAAGTATTGTACAATATAACAGGGCTAAACGGTTTACGATTTAAAACTAAATGTTAAACCGGAACTTCACATTTTTTATCAAATGAACCTATTATTCAAGACAACTGGGGTAATTTCAGTGTAAATGAAACATAAATCTAATCGTAACGAATTTATGAAGTGATAATGATTTTGAAAATATAGTTATGAGTTACACCGACAAAAAAATTGAATCGATTATATGTTTAGTTAAATATTATATAGAATAAGTCCTAAATATATATGGATATGAAATACTATGTCGCACTTTTAATCATAGTAGCTAACACACAAAGACTTGCTATTCTATTGAAATAGTATGGGATTTATTCAGTATGCTGTGTCATACATTCTTGGCAAGCTGATCAAAATTCCACATGGATGAGTACCACTCCAAGACCGAGGGTAAACATGGCTGATTAACCTCGCCAATTAAGTCTTTACTACCATTACGATAAAACATGATAGCTGTATAAAACAATAACGGTACACACTTATTAACGTTACACTATCACACATACATTCAGGTATAAACGCTATCATGATTTACACTTAATGACTTTACACTATCACATTTACATTCAGATATAAACACTGTACTGATTTACACTTAATGACTTTACACTATCACACATACATTCAGGTATAAACACTATAATGATTTACACTTAATGACTTTACACTATCACATTTTCATTCAGGTATAAACACTGTACTGATTTACACTTAATGACTTTACACTATCACATATACATTCAGGTATAAACACTATCATGATTTACACTTAATGACTCTAAAATGTTGAGTTATCAATCAATAATGTCTTTTCTTGTTTTACAGACATTTGTTGCCGAAGGAAAAGATATAACGTCAGTGAGAATATACAAGAAACATCCAAAATCCTGAAGAGCATACATATAGTAACAGTGATAATTTGTAACACAATATTGTCTCACAGAGAAAGACGAGAAGATAAGACAATGCAAAGGAGTGTTAAGTTTATCAGTAACTGAATATATGAATGCTATTACAATGCTCATTTAAGTTTATATGTAATATTTGCTCAGAAATTTACTAGGACATCCACTTACAACTTGTGTTGACTAGTGTGAAGAGATGCAAAAGTGTCGACTGAGACAAAACTATACCATTTGTTCAACTGGATTTTTAGTGTCATCGATCCTTCAGGTATAACTTCGATTATTTCAAAGCAGGGCGTTAAACACATGTGAACAAAACAGTTTATGATTAATTTCTAAGCATCCCAATTTTTTTCGGGATATGACGAGGCAATAAAGGTTATATACCATACCTGTATCATGGTATTTTTTTCAGAAAATAACTCTATATGTTTTCTATACAAGTAGACTAATTAATCAAGATTATTTAAATGTAATATAGCTATTCTGTTCAACAGTTTGTCACATGATAATCAAGTAATATACCCAGATAATTACATATTTCACACATGTGATAAAGTCAATTTCAATGTCGTAATAGAGACCATATTTTGTATAGATTGTAAGCTGTATATAATTATCATGTAGATTATTGAAAGGAACACGAGCTTGCTTTATGTTACTAATTACATTAATATGTTTTGGTATTATTCACATGTAATATGACCTAGCGTGATCGGTTGAATGTTCCCATTGTTTGCAATATCACGTCATAGTTTCATCATTACAAATACATTGCGACATCACCAAAGAAATAGATATAGAATGAGAATATCGCTTATGCTTAGTATAATAAAAGCCTAATTAAATGCCGTTTTCACGAATATTTGTAAAACTTTTAAAGTTATGGGATCAATAGAATCTTGTATTTGTTTCCAATTTACAAAAGGCTCGGTAAATTGAAAACCTCTAAGACTCGTTTCATAAATCTAATCTTGTAGGGTTCAATGTTGATTAAACAGAGCAGAAATCTAAATAAATATCAGTATACTGATGAGCTGATCTGTTGAATTTTAACATATAAAAAGCATACTAAAAAGAACTTTGTTTTATCGGCACCACCTATTAACATTTCATGTAAGGACATTTACGAAATACCTTTCCATAATTTCAACACTGTGTATATTCATATGTATGGAATTTAAAGGCGGTATTATTCTATGAGATGATAATTTGTGTCAGAATTCCAGCTATCGTGGAATAAAGGACAAATCACGATCTTTCTAATCAGTGACTGACCCTTGTTTACTGTTAATTGTACCTGAGGAAGCCGTACCGACAGAATACACACACAGCGTGGTGGTACCCTTTGTGGTAAGAACCTCCCGAGATCTACACATGTAATTTCTGTTCCATGTGAAGTGCTGTCAATACGGGTTCGACGTGTACATGTTTCTGCATACATTAATTATGGCCCTGTTTCTTTGTTTCTTAATCTGATAACGACATTTTATGTTTTTCAACACAAAAACAATTATTAAAATAGTGTTTCAGATAGACACGTTATCGCCTAATAAGGGCGTTATGAACAACGATTCGTATCATTTAACAAATCTAAATATGATATAGACATAAAGAACTTTAAATAACTCTTCATGGAAATTCAATTATTTCAAACACATGCTTATCTCAACTTTGTCGATTTGTTTTCTTGAATACGTCAGAAATTTTTTTGACATTAAAAGAGCGTCATCTTTGAAATTAATCATCTTCCTTGCTTCTATATATAGCGCATTTCAAATTGATAAATGACAGCAATTATAATGTAACCGATATTGGTGTTACCATCTGTATACCTGAAAGGTAACTGCTACAAAACAAATCACGTGACCTTTATTGTTTTAAGATCTAGGTGACACAACGGTGATATTACTTAGATGTCAAAATGATCTTTAAGATTTTATTTTTTTTGAATTTTTTTAAAAAATTTAATAAAGGCATCAGCCCGCAGCAATTAAACCTGCAAGCATTTGTTAGTACTGACACCAATGTCACCAATATGCTGAGTTGTGTTTTGTTGGTATATTTTCATTTGAACAGAAAGGCTGTAATCATTTTAAACAGATCTAACCTAGTTAAAATATCATTACGATTTTGGTAAATATGTATCTTTCAGTAAGTCTGGCACACCATAGAAGGAACCAGTTGTTCATATATAACCTCGGTAGATGCAAAGTAATCCGAATGTTCATGTTGTGGCTACCAAAGTATCAAAGTTGCTATGAAAACGTTGTCATGTTTCTATATTACCGTTTCAAGGACGCATCAGAATTTCAACGTGAAGATAACAATGTAATCAAATTATAAATCAATATGCAGCAATTTTCATCATGTTGGCGACGTAAGTATCGGGCTGTATTGACAGAATATTCTGAACTTTGTACTAACCAAACCTAAAGAATATGTATGGATTTTTAGTGGAGAACATTTCCTCAACATTACCATACACTATTCAATTTCCCTTGATTTTACTATACTGTTCCAAGTCTTATCAGGAACCACCCGCAGAATACTATTGATCGTGACGTGGTTTTATGCAAATATAACATGACATGGAAGATTTGAACTAACTTAACCGCTGTAGTTCAGTTTTATAAATTATTTTAATGCCACATTATTCACAGTAACGTGTGTTTCGATCAATAACACAAAATCTGTGATCGTCAGACATTTACAACCTTGGTAATTGTATAGGATTAGAATTAGATACATTAAAGCAATTAAAACCCCATCATACAGCTATTTCCATGACTCTTCAGTGATGCTAAGGATGAAACCTAGCATTGAAATCTAAAAGGCTACTGAGGAAAATCCAAACTAGTTGAAAGAAATGTCAAAAAACAAGATTTAAAGTTGCATGAAGCTATACATTCACTATAAACATTGCTGACATAGGTAAAGGTTTTTGTAACATGAGCTAACTAATAGGAATAAGATAAAATACAGACCCTTTCTGGACCATGATAAGCTGTAAAAACGACACCTATACCGTATGATCTGAATCAATATCGGAAGATTATCTGCCCCGGATATGGAGTTACTGCGGTAATTAATCTAACTTATTCATGGATTAGTGGTGTTTGAATGGGTAAAAGGTGATAAAATACCTGTAACGTATTGATTGCCTCATTCTAAAAAGCTATGATAGGCTGTTAAGATACTACAAGCTGTAATCTTCCTGGAATTTTTTCTATAATCGATCGTGTCTATATCACGTTTACCTGTTCTATGGCCGATAGGTTGACTCGTTAGCAAATATACCGAAACGACATAAGTCGGTCAATCAGTGTGACATTTAATTAATTTGAATCCGATAGTATCAGGTTATTCAAGAGTTCTAGCAAAAACGATTATTCATGAGTTCATTGTATCATCTTTCACTCTAATGATATAGAATTGATATAATCTGACTTGCCTTTGAATTCAGTACAAAGTTATACATAACGAGAGGAGATCCACAGGACAAACTGTACTTTTAATTAGTGAACTGTCTTACCGAAAGAAGACTAGTGTCTTTCCTTGATAAAAAACAAGTGTCTTACCTAGATGAAAAAATCTAGTCTCTTATCTAGATAGGAAACGTTTATCTTAACAAGCAGGAAATCGATTGGCTTATCAATAGAAGATGTGTGTTTTAACAGGAGAAAACACGGGCGTGATATATAGAGATGACACAGACTAAAAAAAGCCGTAGTATAGCTAAGAGAAAATAAGAAAGTAGTGTCTTTTCAAGAGAATAGGAAGTGTCTTGCCTTGGGAGGACGCGATTGTCTTACCTAGAAAGAAGACGAGACGAGTGTTTCTCACCTCAAGAGGAGACAAGTGATTTCGAAAGGAACATGTATCTAACCCACAGAAGTGGCGATTAATCTAGGCAGGATACATGTGTCTAACCTAGAGAGAAAGTCGAGTGTTTAATCTAGACAGGATACATGTGTCTAACCTAGAGGTTTGCAGAAGAGACGAGTGTTAAATCTAGACAGGGGTCTAACCTTGTTGGTCACATCTGTAGAGAAGAGCAATGTTTAACCTGAAGTCTTATATGCAGAAGAGAAGAGTGTTTAACCTACAGACGATACAAGTGTCTTATCTAAAGTAGAGACGAGTGTTTTAGCTACAGACAAGACAGGTGTCGAAGCTAGAGAGGAAAAGCGTCATATTTGTAGAGAAGACGAGTTGTTTGTATGCAGAGGAGAAAGATGTCTAACATAAAGAGGATACAAGTGTCATATCTGTAGAGGAGTTTAATCTAGAAAGAAGACAGGTGGCCAACTTTGACAGGAGACAAGCGACTAGCCAAGAGATGAGACCTTAGGTGTCAGATTATCTCACGGCGATATAGTTGCCAAAATAGATATGATAATAATATGATATTCAAAACATAATTCTTCGATGAAATATAGTGGAATGCATGTTGGTATCAAATTGGCTTTGATTGTATAAAAACGTATTCATGTAACAAAATAAAACAATACCGTATACCTGACAAGACATATGATGAGTATAACAGTGTACTTAATCATAATTTTGGTGGAAATATGATACTATCATTTGATCAAGAGTCAGTAGAAACACAGCACTATGCTAGTATCGATATCAATAAATCGTGCCAGATTTTACCTGACAACTTACCCTCAGTGATTTGCGTTTCCGCCGTTTGTTCCCTAGTTTAGTCCCCATTTGTAATATTACATCACGGGATATTCTCACTTTTAATACGCCTGTATCCTCCTGACTTACAATAGTGTTTTGATATCCACTCAGTTAGTGCAGCACTACTCCTAAAGTGATACTGTCACACCACCAATGGTTACTGTTACACAGAAGCCACCCTGGCAGTCCAAACACCACGTGGGGTAATGCCGTACATTGATGAGAGCTCTTGTCTTATAGATAGCTTTGTATCAGACGGCGTTAGTGTGACAGCCAATACAGGTACAGAACAGGTAACGAGGGCTGACCGTACA